TTGTCTATTGTATATATATATATATATATATATATATATATATATTTTCGATGTGAAGCTTCTTTTATGTAAGCCTCAATAGGTAGCAACAATGAGAGGGCAGAAGTTGGGCTGCAGTACACAGGTCCGCGTGCGTTGTCTTCCAGACGCGTCTCTCCAGCTTACCAGTGTGGGCTTTTTTTCCTCACCTACTTCTTTACCGACTTCTCCGCTCCACGCATCTTTGGTCTCCTTCTTGCAATCGCTTCCTTTATTCGTTGCCGAGTTCGGGCCGTTGATATCCGCTGCGCAGTGTTTTTTCTTCTTCTCTGACACTTTTTCTTCATTGTCTCTCCCGTTTGTTGTCGGCTGAGGCAATCACACACACAATTTCTTTCACATACTGACTCATAGAGGCTCCCTTACTTCTTCATCGTAGCGAACGGAGCTTTCATTTGTTAGAGAAGTCGACTACGGCACTTTCTCCTTTTTTTTTCTTCTCCGCCTACGTGTGTGTCGTTCCGTCGTGCTTTCCTCTCTTTATTCTTCAGCACACATTTTAGATCATGCAGCCCATCGATCCTGATGACCCGCGGCTCGTGTCCATCTTTGTGGCGGTGGCCGAGAAGGCGTCATCGGTCAACTCCGTAGACCGCGACCAGGCCGAGCAGGAAATCAAGAAGTACCAAAACTCCGTCGACCAGCAGCGTGGCTTCGTGCAGCTGCTTCTTCATCTCGCCACAAACGGGCATCCGACGTCCGCCTTCTACGCCATTGTGCTGAAAAACACGGTGAAGCTGTGCTGGAACCCGTCGATGGCGGAGCACTGCATTCAGGAGGACGACAAGGCTGCGGTGCGAGAAGTCATCATCCGCTTAATGCTTCAGTCCCCGCCTGCCATTCAGCGCAACATGGCGGAGACGATCGCGCTCATTGCGGATGTGGACTTCCCCACCCGGTGGCCCAACGCATTGGCCTTAATTGTAGAAGTGCTGAACACGGCGCACTCAGTCGCCGTGCAATGCGCCGCCCTCTCCACCGCCCACAGTATCTTGCGCAAATACCGCATGCAGGGCGACTTCACGGAGACATTTGTTGCTGAGCTGCGCACCGTCTACACGGTGTTGTTCCCCACCCTCATGCACAGCATCCACACACTACTGAGCATGGTGGCCGCCAATCAACCCGGCACCGAAATCGCCACCTGCGTAAAAGGAGTCACGGCGGCGGTGGAGTGTGTGCGTGACATGACGTCGCTCGACCTTGGCGACGAGCTCATCGCGCAGAAGAAGGCGATGATGGATGTGTTCCTGCAATGCCTGTCGCTTCCTTTGCCCGTTGGTGGCGCGGCGTGTGCGCAGGCGACGGCAACCATCATCGCCCTCAAGTCGGCCGTCACGGCGTGCGTGACACACCTGCTGAACGCCTTTGACGAGGATTTCGAGGCCTACGCGCCGCAGTTCCTAAGCGTTGTGTGGGCGCTGATCGCCGACCCGTCCAGCCGAACGGCGGAAATGGATGACTTAGTGGTTTGCAGCATCGAGTTGCTCTCCGGGGCATGCCGCGGTACCTCACGGCCGTACTTCGACGACGTTGATAAACTACGAGAGCTGGTGCACAACATCATCCTGCCGAACCTCGCCGTGAATGACGAGGACTTGGAGCTGTACTTGTACGACCCCGACGCGTACATTCAGAAGGACATTGAGGGCTCCGACCTCCACACCCGTCGCCGCGCGGCTGGCGAGTTGGTGCGCACGTTGGTCACTCATCTGCCCGACAAGATGCGCCCGCTGATCTCCGCCGAAACGAAGGCGCTCTTCGAGACAGCCTCCAGCGACTGGAAGGCGAAGGACACGGCCATCTACCTCGCCTCGTCCTTAGCGCTGGAGGGCCAGCACGTCGACGCGCAGCGCGGTGCCGCCGCCCAGCAGCTGAGCAACCTCATTTCCTTCGACGACTTTCTTAGCAGCCTTGTCATACCGGAGCTGACTTCGGGTGTGTCGGTGAACAGCCCCGCCATCATCAAAGCCGACTGCATTCGCGTCATTGCGGTGTTTCGCTATCACATCGCTCCGAGTCTCTACGCCAACCTCATCTCCGTGCTGGCGGAGTGGGTGAAGACGGACGACCACGTAATTATGTCCTACGCCGCACACACACTCGAGCGGCTGCTGTGCGTGCAGCGGGAGCAGGGGTACGTCGCCACCGAGGCGGTCTTCCAGCCGCAAACAGCCGCCGTGCTGCAGACGCTCTGCACGCGCATCCAGAGCACGGAGCAGCCGAATCAGTTTCTCATGCAGTGCCTCATGCGGGTGTGCTTTCGCTTTCCACAGGCGGTCGCCCCGTTGGCAGGGGCAGTGGTGGAGAGCCTGAACCAGGTGCTGCACCGCGCCGCTCGCAATCCGTCCAACCCGCTCTTCAGCCACTGCCTCTTCGAGACCATCTCCAAGTGCATCGCAATGCGGCCGGAGCAGGGCACCGCCATGGAGGGCCTTCTGTGGGACAACTTAATTTACGTGCTGGCGCAGGACGTCGTGGAGTACGTGCCCTACGTGCTGCAGATCCTGTCGCAGCTCCTGCGCACCCATCAGCCCCCCTGCGACACCCCGCCAGCGCACTTCCCCTCCCTCCTCGACCCACTCACGCAGCCCGGCATCTACGAGAACAAAGGCAATGTGCCTGCCGTTGTCTGTCTGCTGTGCGCGTTCATTGAGCTGTACCCTAGCTACGTCCACAGCCGCAACCTGACCAACCCGATTCTCAACATTTTCGCCTACTTGGTTCGGCTGAAAAACTACGACCATGAGGGACTCAACATCATCACGGCGGTCTTGCTCGCGTACCCGCCCGATGTGATGGCCATCTACGTCGACAACGTGCTGAGGGTGCTGCTGGACCGCCTCAGCAACGCCCGCACGCCGAAGTTTGTCCGCATCCTGATTCTCTTCCTGTCTGTCTACGTGGTGGTGCGCGGCGCACACGACTTAGTGTCCCGAATGAACAATCTGAAGCCGGGGCTCTTCATGCAGCTGCTGGGCAACGTGTGGCTGCCGCACATGCAGAAGATCACCGGCGAAGTGGAGCGCAAGACTTGCGTGGTGGCCCTGGCGAAGGTGCTATGCGACTGCGAGGAGCTGCAGGCCGACACGAAGGCGTGGACGACGAGCGTCTTCAGCTGCCTCAAGATGATCCACGCAGGGGCGGAGCAGGACGACTACACGAGCTTTGCCCCAAAGGCTGGCACCCTGCAGGACCTGACGCAGTTACCGGGCAACTCTGCCGACGCCGCCGTGAACAGCGTGTTTTGCCCGCTGCAAGAGGCGGCGCCGAAGCCGCGCGACGTGTGCGCCGACGTGGCGAATGCCGATCGGTACTTCCGCGATCACATGATGGAGCTGCTGCGGGGTCGCGGGCAGAGCCTGGTGGGTCCATTGCAGGCTACGCTGACGCCTGATCTGCTGGCCTTAATTCAGTAGAGGTGCTTGTCGGACCTTTCCGTTGTTGCCGTCGTGGGGAGTGTGTGCTGACAGCTGATGTTATCCGTATGAAGCTGCGGCTCATGTTGCGGTAATACGACGCGCTGTGTTTTGCTTCTTTCTCCCTCTATTCAGATGATCGAGCCTTTTCACCTCGTCTTCTTCCCTTGTGCGCATCAACACACAGAGAAAGAGAGGGAGAGAGAGAGGCGTAGAATCTATGCGAAGCGGGGGCAGCTGCCCATTTACAACTATTGCCGTTTTGGTATCTTTGTGCTTAACTAACATAATGGAGTTGGTGATGAGAGGTCCTTGACGATAATCGACCGTATCTGTTTCCGTCACCTCACGTGGTGCGACCCTCGGCAGGCGAGGTAAGAAGGATGAAGCGCGCGTATGCGCTGAAGGCCAATGTAGCCAGGCGGCGTTGAGGTGAGGGTCTCTCCTACCCAATGCAGGGCACCACCTACACTTATATAATATCTACGAACCACAATGAACGCCTTCGTCTCACGCTTCTTCAATGTCGTGTGGGCAGCTATGCAGCGGATATTAAGATGTGAAAGAGTAGCTGTCTGCTGTTGTTCGCTGACGCTGCTGCGTAACAAAGAGGAAGTAAATAATAATAAAAAGTGGAGCATCCGTTTAATAATGTTGAACACCCGGTTGGTGGACGACCTAAGCTCCACATTGTTTTTTTTTCCTATTTAAGCCGCCTCACTGTTTCTCCTTCCCGTTGTATTCTCACTATCTCTTGCTCTCCCCTCCTTCGTGATCTTCCACGGCCATTTCAGTCCCCACGGCGCTGTACACTCTCGCACGCACCCGTCGGTGTCTGCACTTCCCCCAGCACACGACAAACAGGGGAAATCGACGGCGGGCACAGCGCATACGGTGTGGGCTCGGGAGACAATGGCGCCGAAGCCGATTGCACCGCAGGCGCAGGAGTCGAACTACGCTACGGTGTTCAACATCGGCTTTCGCCCCCCTCACAAACCGCTGCCCACCGGTGCCAACACGAAGCTCAAATGTCCTTCATGCGGCGTGTGGGCGCTGAAGGGATCCACCTGTAAAGTCTGCCGCACCCCTATTCCCGGCCCGCGCCGCATCGCCAATCGTTCCTCCCCTGCGCCGCTTACCGAGGTCGGCAAGGCTCGCTCTTCCAAGAAAGGTACTCCGCTGGCGAACGGCAGGCCACCTGCTCCAGCTGTCGCCCATACAGAAAACAGGTAGCGACGCTTGAAGTGAAGGCGTCGAAGGAGCCGTGCGGAAGCGTATGGGCGCCGCAACGACTTCTGTTTGAATTCACATTTTTCTCTCTTTTTGACTGTACGTGGTTTCTTTGCACGAACTGCGAACGGCAAGGGGAAAAAACACGTTGCTTCTTCATCTCTTCTTCTTCACGTTTCTGTGAGTACTTGTGAAGCATCGATTCACCGCGAATAACAGTTTTTTTTTGGTTCTTCTTGTGTTTGGTGTTGTTGTCTGTGTGTCTAACCGCTGTCACGGTCATGCCGATCGTGCTCGCCGTCATCGCTGCCTTCATAGAGGGAAACATAAGAAACGAACAAGAGAGACCAAAGAATCACCCTTATTAGGTGCAGTCACGGTCGCAGAAGAGCCGTTGTCCCGGTGAAAATGTAGCCACAAATTCGCTGCTACTACCGTTGTGTGTGTATTCTTCTTTAGCCTTTACGTCCAGAATCGCATTCCCAATATCCGCTTCTTTTCTCTTCTTTCTTCCCTTTGCGTTTTATCATCTTTTTTCTTAAGTTTGTATTGCATCTGCAGTGGCGCGTTACTGCTGCGGCATTGTTGGCTTCCTCTTTATCCTCTTTCTGCTGTGTCGGGAATCAACGCTATCTCTCTCTCCTTTTCTGTTTTCTTTTTAAATCTCCTGTGTATTTGTGTAGACCAGCACGTCACCGTACGCATTTAAGAAGGACCCTCTAACGCCATAGATGTGATGCAATCTAGAAAACACTCGGTCAAGAGCTCATACAATTGTTACGGCACTCTCACCCCGCATTCATGATCGTCTAAGAGGCAAAGCAAGTCACCGGATTTGCGTATTTTTCTTTTGTTACTACATACTCTATCGCTCTAGTCTCTGTTCGCATTTAGTGCTTTATTTTTTCTTTGTTTTCTTTGTTTTCTTTTCTTTTCAATGAAGGTTCATCTTGAGGATGCGTATGTGGACTTGTGTGTCGAGTACCACACAAAGCCCGTCGAAACCTTCCTCATGTGTCTCAGCAACACGCACGCCGCGCCTGGTGGGGAGGTCTTCATTGATGCGTCCTCCATCGAGGGCGACCACTTCTGTGTTTTTGTGGAGCTGCTCCGTCTTCTGTTGAAGCAGCCGAACACGTTCATAAGACCCACCATCATGAGCGACAGAACGTCGCTTTCGCTGCTGACTCGCTCGTCGATGCAGCAGCCCGCAGCTGCGGCGGACGACCACGTCTTTTACGCCATACCGCCGCGGCTGCTGCGCCTCAAACTGAAGCTGTCCCGCAATGCCAACAACGCTGACGTGGAGCGTGTTTGTGGGTTGGTGGAAGTGCAGAAGGAGCTGTCCTGCCTGCCTGTTGCCCTCCCACGTGGCGGATCGCTTCTCGAGCATGGCGAGACCACCGGGACACTGTCGCAGCTCACCTGGCCAGAGAAGGCGGTGCTCGAGTGCGTTGACCTATGCGACTCCGTCTTCGTCTCGCTTCCCGGCGGGCGTGCGTTACGTGCCGCCACCCGCCGCAACGTGTACCTGCTGAACGTGTTTTTATGTGGCTGTAGTGTGAACAGGGCAGTCATAGAGCAGATTGGGGCTGCGACGAGGCAAAACCGGCGACGCTTCCGCGCGGTGTGCGTGGCGTAGCAACGCCGTCGAATCCGCGACCGTGAAGACCACGTTCTCGATGCTCTATGTATAGTTTTTTTTCTTGGTTTTTATCGAATACGTCGACTCCATGTTGACGGTCTCGACTCCTCACTCCTCTCTGTCTCTCCCTCCCATCGTTTCTTGTTTCTCATAAAGGCTCTTGTTCTGTTCCCCTGTGCCTGCAGTTTATACTTCATTTGCTGTTCTTTTCTTTTTTCCCTTTCTAAACCTGTGGGTGAACATGTCAATTGAAGCCAATTGTTGAAGGGTGGTGCCGTGGAGTTTTTGGCACTCTTCGTCTAACGAGTTCCTCTCCGAGCATGTGTGTTTGTGTGTACCTCTTCTTCCTCTCTCTTTTTTTTTTTGTATGTTTCGTGCTACAAAGTTTTTTTTTCTGTCCATTCTGTTTTGTATGGTACTTACCCCCTCCAATAGTAGAATGACTTCTTGTTTGTTCTTTTGTTAGCGACATCGTCCTCGTCTTGTCAAAGCCCTGGATGCCACTTGGTGGAAGTGCGGAGGGAACGCGGTGCAGCGGCGCGAACAGCGCCATTTAGACAAGAGCACAAACGGAGGAGTGCGTGGGATTTCGCGGTGTAACGTGACTGCATAACTGCTCTGCTGTTTCATCAACCGCCACGAAAAAGAAAGGGAAAGCGTGCATTTGTTTATGCAGCGTACTTCCCTGTGCAGCTTCTCTGCAGTTGCAGTACTCGTCTTGCCACCGGTACACACACAGACCAGCGCTCGTCTTTCCATGTCCCCTCCTTTTTTCCCTCTCTCTATCTCCCTACGTACTCATTCCCCACCAAATGAACGAGCAACAACCAAAAACAAGCTCTTGTACAAACGCACACATACCTCCTTTCCTTTCTCTGCGCAGCGGACGTGAACACAAACGGCGTCAGACGTCAAAGCCACCACCACAAAACTCCAACGACATTCAAGCGAGCAACGCAACACAAAATTTCTCATAATCGTCTTTGCTTGATACTGCGTTCACTCCCACAAAATAATACCATTCACCCCCAAAAAGGTTTGACTTGCTGCACACAGGTATCTTTCGGAGTAGCTTACTATTGCTAATATTATTTCCCCTCTCTCTCTCGTCACGCACAGCTGAAAGAAACTTGTGTAGCAGCTACTTGCATACACTCACCCCCACACAAACGCACACGACACGTGCAGCGGAGAAGCCTGCTCTATTGCACTTCTTCCCTTTCACTGCCCTGGACGTCCGCGCGCGGTGTTCCACAAACCCCAAAAGCAAAGCAAGTCTTTTTCCCCTCCTTTGTTTGTTCCCTTCTCAGCGGAACGGCAATTCGTAGAAGCGTGGTGAACGGCCACCCGGTCCGAAGCATATTTATGTAAAGTTGAGTCTGGTGTTCATTTATACTGTGCACACCGACACGTTGTTGTGGTAGTTTTAGGTCTTTTTTGTTTGGTTGTTCCGGAACGTACACACCACGAATTCTGTACATCGTTTTTTTCTTGATTGTTTAGTGTGTTTGTATCTCTCTCTGTCTGAGTGTGTGTGTGTGTGCGCTTATCGAGCCTGTTTCTTTGGATTTACCCCGCGTTTTTTTTTCTTCGGTTGCTGCACGTTCTGATCCTCGACTATCTTTTCCTTAGCTGCGTGTGTACGCGTTAAGGTAACGTACGTGATTTGTTGGTGCTTGCTGAATTAGCCTGGCGTCTATTTCTGTTACTATCATTTCCCCTTTTCACGTCTCACGTGCAGTGCGCACTTACTTTGTTTCAAAAAAAAAAAGGAACATCATGTCCGCCGTGTACGCGAGTGTGATCGGCAAAGAGTTCGCTGCCGGCGTGACGCTCGACGACGCCAATCGAATTGTCCGTGTAGCCTCGTCGATGCCCTCGCTGTCATCACTGCAAGTGGGCATGGTGGTGCGCTCTATCAGCGGCGTGCCGGTCGGCGACGGACGCGCTGAGCAGGCGCGCCACCACAGCAACCGCTCGCAGGTCCTCGTGGTGTTGGGCACCCCCGCCAAGGACGAGTTCGATCTCGACTCCGATGAAGACACCGAGGCAGACTTCAAGCCGCCCACCTCGCTGCCTCCGCTGCTGCCGGAGTTCCACAACGCCGTTGCGCAAAACAGCTCATCGGTGATCTACGATGCCACGGTGAAGTGTGGGCCGGGTGGGTGCGTTATTATTATGTCCGAGGGGGCCAATCCAGCACTCCCCATCACGCTCGCCGCGGTGAAGGCGAAGGCGGAGGTGATGTACATCGACACCGTCGCCCGCATGAAGACGCGGCAGACCATCGACAACGCCGGTGGGATGCTGAAGAAGTCCCTCGAGAAGGGCCTGTGGATCTACGTGGAGCAGGCGACCAAGTCCATCACTTTCCTGCGGCAAGTCAGCGACTGCATTAACGAGGTGAAGGCGTCGGGCAAGATGCACGCCACGGCGCGCGTGCTGCTGATGTGCGAACCGCATCCACACTTTCCAGAGGCACTCATGCGCGGCAGCGTCACACTGCGCAGCCGCCTCCAAAACAACAACGCAGCGGAGGTTGACGTGAGGGAGGAACTCTCGGAGAGCACCCACCGTAAGCTGGCCATTCACGGTGACGACATGGCCCCGGGGGAGACGGCGGCCAAACCGGAGGTCACCGCCACGCGCAAAAAGGTACGCATTTCGAACCAGGTCAGCATCGTACAGCTGGAGAAGAGCACGTTTATGGAGATGAGCGCCAGTGCGAAGTTGACGGCAGAGCCGACGGCGTCGGGGGAAGGCATTACACGAGTCGCCAAGTACTCCTTCGGGTCCAACGAAAAGTTTATCTCGCTCTCGTACGTGCGGGATCACCGCTTTGCCGTGGGCACAAACAGCGGCTACGTCGTCCTCATCGACCGCGACGGCCTGCCGCTGATTCAGTTCCGCCCGCACAAGGCCTGCATCTGGGACGTCAGCTTCGCTTCCCAATTTGACTTCGCTACCGCCTGCGAGGACGGCACCAGCGCCATTTACAACTACTCCCTGACCAACCAGGAGCTGACCACCGTGTCCGTCGCGTCTTTCCAGAATGACGTTTTTGCCGTCACGTACGCCGACCCGAGCGACGTGAACAGCGCCGTGCTGTCGGGTGGTCTCAGCGCCACCGTGTGCGTGCTGCACTCGGATCGGCAGAACAGCTCCTTCATTGCCTGCCGCACCTCCATTCAGGCCATGTGCGCCACGCAGAAGAAGCAAGTCATCGTGGGCGGCGGCACGGGGGCCTGCACCCTCATCGACGCGAACTACTGCGTCGTGACGGACATCACGAACGCGCACAACAAGAAGGTGCCGGCGGTGGGCTCGCACGGCAGCGTGGCCGTGACAGGCGGCTTCGACTGCACGCTGCGCCTCTGGGACGTCCGCAACGGCTTCCATCTCACCTCGCAGCAGCAGTTGAATGAGGTAATTACGGCGGTAGCTGTGAATGATCGTTACGTCTCTGCCTGCAGCGGGTCAAGCCTTTTTGTGTGGGACCCGCGCATGATGGACCGCACGCTGGCGATGAAGACGAATGCGTGGCGGGATTTGACGCGTGGGCTAGTGCTGGATGGCAACATCATCGTGACGGCCTCCGTCGATGGCGTAGCCCGCATCTGGGAAGTGAATTAAGGTACCGTGAATACATTGCCACTCACAGCCGCGCTTCCACTAGCGCGCCATCACCAGGAAAGGACTGACATACACACACCGTTACGTCTCATTTCTCTCTCACAGTGGGACGTTAAAGGTACGTATAAGTGGCGTTTTTTTTTTCTCTTTTCTTCCTGCACTTCAGTTGTGGTTGTGGGGGCTGCAGTGCTCCGACCTGATAGCGACGAGTTGCGTTTGCCGTCTCCTCCTACCACCGCGAGGTACGTAGCCAGCATTTGCCTGACCCTCCCACCCCACCGAAGTGTGCGTTGCCTTTTCATTTTTGAAGACCACTACGACTATGCGACGTAGTGCTTCGGGTAATGTGCCTAAACGATCCGTTTTGCCTCTTTCGCTTGATTGCTGTCTCTCTTTTAAGCAGAAAACCTCGTCACTACTCGCCGTTTTGCTGCCACACTCTCTACACAAGAAAGAAAGAGAAATAGTAAAAGACGTCCATGACGGTGCCCGGTGTGCGTCGCTGTTGTCAAGCAACGACTCGCCGCCTTTTTTTTCTTCCTAGCACGCTCCGAGACGTGTTGGTGGACATCTTTCCGTGTTTTCATGTGTGTGAGTGTGTCGGTTCCGTAATATTCGCGTCTTTTACGCGGCGTGCTCGCTGAGTTAATCCTTATGACATGGAAATCAGGCAAACATACTTATCAAGCGCATGTGTAGAAACGGACGGAAGCAGACAGGAGAGGCGGGGTACGCCCAGCTCATCGGAGAGCGCCGCGGAGCATTGCGCTCTCATAGTTCCAGAGGTACCCAAAAGCTTCGCCATTCCGAGCGGTTGGGTGCCTAGCTGTCGCGCTCACCTCAGTTTTGCTGTTTTGGTTTTGCGTTCCGCCATTGTTCCCTATCGTTCCTTTTTATTATTTCGTAATTCAACACCTACCGTAGAATAAAAAGTGAAGCATAAGAAGCACACAAACACACACACAGACCTCAGCAAATACTTCGAGCGTATATGTCCGAAGTTGCTCACGAGGATGTCGGCGGCACCGACCCCACCGTGCCCAGGCCGGAGGTGCGCATCGCGGACACCATGTCGGAGCTGAGCGCCGCCATCCAGCAGCTCGTCGACCTCGGCCTCTCCCTCGACCCCGTTGTTCCCCTCAATAGGGATGAGGTAGAGCAGACACTCATCACAGACAGCTGGAGCTGCCCGGTGTGCGGCACCGCGAACACACCTATCTGCCCCTCCTCCGGCAAGCCGCACCGACGCCGCCTTGTCACGGTTGCCCAGCACATCCTGCGCCTGATTGAGCGGCACGTCGGCAAGGTGTACGTGCGTCCGGCGCAGCTCTCGCAGCGGGTCGAGGGGGAGGTGCAGGTGCGGACACACCGCCGCCTCATCATGAACCCACACACCTTCCTCCTCGCCTTCTACTTCGCCGCCGGGGCGTCGACAACGGCGGACCCGCTCCGCGACGGCAGCGCGCTCACGGCGGAGTGCGCGCAGCACCTGCTAGACGTACTGCGTGAGATCAAGCTCTACGGCGCGACATCGCCGGTTGACGATAAGTACAGCCTGTCGTTGCTCAAGTCCTTCCGCAGTGCGTGGCGGCAGTATCTGCGGCAGGTGAAGTGGGAGGTGGCGGAGAAGAACACCGGCAGCAGCCACCGCAGCCGCAGCGCGGAGTCCACCGAAGCGGAGGCGGAGGAGGCAGATGGGACGCACAGGCTGCACGCCAACAGCGCCGAGGCGCGCGATGAGTTGGTGAGCTGCACCCGCGCTGCCCTGATGGACGCGGTCACCCACTCACGCAAGGACCCGGACAATCAAGACCTCCGCCTCTTCACCGCCATGCTGTATCAACGCCTCTCCCGCCTGTGCACTAAGGAGGAGTTCGATGACGTGAAGCGCAAGGTGGAGCAGATCGAGGCGCGGGACACCACCCCCAAAATCGAGTACGCCAGTCCGCCCTGTCTGCCCTCCGACGCCAACACGACGGCCTCCGATGAAGAGGCGCCGGTCGGCGTTGGCGCCTCGCCGGACGCGTCTTCCTCCTCTGCGGGGCGGGGGCCGCGCCGGGCAGGGCCGGATCTCCCTCCGGGGTGGTACGTCGACGAGCGCGGCATCTCCCGCCCGCCCGCCGACCTCGCCGAGATGCAGCGACGCGAGCGGTATCGGGAGCGTGAAATGAAGGCCCAAAAGGCGTACGAGGCCGTGATGGACGTGAAGCGGGAAAAGGGCCAGCTGGAGCAGCTGCAGGAGAACGCCGTGGCGGTGTTGGACAAGGCGGAGCTGCAGGCGTTAGCGGCCGATCTGAACCGAAGTCCTCCCCGCCTGCAGCGCCTCTCTCGTCTGCTGACAATTGTGGAGGACCGCTTTGTGGAGGCCTTGCCGCCGCGCCTGCGCTCGCGTGTGCGGCAGGAATTTCACGATGTGCTGGATTGGAACGCCATCCAACGTCGCGCCAAAGGGAACGCGCTGAACATCGCCAACCTGGTGCGCTTCGTCGGCCAGCAGGTGATCAGCTACAGCGCCCCGGTGCGTGAGGACGCCACCAACACACGCATGACGGCCATCTGCGCCGACATTGAGCAGTGCGTGCCCGACGTGGGGACTGCCGTGGCCAACGCCTTCGAGTTTCTCTTCGACGCCATCCACGAGCTGCGCAGCGACGTCGCCGCGTACTCTCTCCTCCTCATCAGCGACTCGCTCAAACTGAGCGCCGTGCAGTTCATCCGCGATTTTGTCACGTCGTGCCTGCCGCCGCCGCCGAAGTGGTCCAAGTCAATTGCGTTTCTGCAGGGCGAAGTCAACGACGCACGTGTGCGGGCGTGGGCCGCGACGAGCGTCCCGCAGGCGTGGACCTCGACCACCGAGCCGGAGCGCCGCATACGGGGCGCGCTGCTGATGGGCACGCTGGATCTGCTGCGCAGCGGGCAGCACACCAGCCTCAACCGATGGGACGAGCTACCGCCGGAGATATTCTACTTTGAGAAGCACGCCATCTTCAAAGCCGCCAACACCGTGCAAGAGTGCACGCTGCTGCTGTTGCTGGAGGGCACCGTCTCCAGTGTGCTGGCGCAACGTGGGGTGAAGGCGGTGGTCGTGTCGAAGATCATTCTCAAGCTGCACGACCACATTCTTCAGCTGCTGACGCAGGACATCAAATTGAACGCGCTGAAGGAGTCGGTGATCGAGTTCATCGAGAGCGAGTTGTACCACCTGAACGTCGGGGAGACGGAGACGGCGGATGCCGTCGCACTGGCCGCCCTTACCGCCAAGATCACTCTGACGGAGGCGGAGCGGCAGGTGGTGTGGTCCATCATCGACAAGATGACGGACACACAGAACCAACTCTACGTCACCTTTGAAAAAAAGATTATTCAATTTATGGAGTCGATGCTGGTGCACAACAAGGATGACGCGGCACCGGTGGGTCTGGTGACGGAGTCGTTGAAGCGGTTGGTGCAGCTGATGCGGCGCATGTTGCTCTTCCACTGGGAGGTGTACGCACCCTACTACCACGAGCTCATCCCTCTCCTCACCTTTGACCCTGCCACGCCAGCGGCCGCCTCTATGCCGCCAGCGGAATGACGTTCAAAGTTGTGAAGCCGTTCATTTTTTTTTTCTTTCTTCTGCCTTTCCTGAGACAAGACGCTTGAGCCGCACGGAAAGGCGTGACTCTGCGCTTCTCTTCTTACTCAGCGCAGCCGACGTGCCGGCGCTGCGTTGGCGTTCCCCTATTATTATTATTATTATTATTATTATTGGTACATTTCTTAAGTTCACTTCTTCTTCGTACGTTTATGTTGTCGCCGCTTTTAACACCGTCGCTTGTGTGCACTTGCGGATACTCTTCTTTTCCTTCTAAAAAGGCGAATGCGAAACCTCCAACGGAAACGACGTGCTCTCCACCGGGCCAAAAACGAAAAGAACGCGGAAATCCAAACATTTGAGTGGCACTGTTTAGCCGCCATGCTGCTCTTGGTGATTGCTTCTCCCTCTTGCTTTTTCCTGCGTGTGCTCTTGTCAGGGGTGCGGAAGCGGTCTATTCCAACATCTGCCCCATAAAAAGAAAATAAGAAGAACAACAGTAATAGTGCGTAGCGGCATAGCAGACTCCCAAAAAGGAGAAAGAAGAGATCATACCCCGTCGGTTCACTTGCCTTCTCTCTCTTTGCAGCGTTTGATTCAAAAGCAGTAGCGAAGAGGTCATTCACGGGCTCCATTGCTCGTTGATCCTTTCGTCAGGAGAAGAGAACGTCGTTAAAAGGAGACAAAAGGAGATGATTTCTGATTTTGCTGTAACAAACAGCTTTTTTCTCTTCTTCTCTTCTGTCTCCTTATATCTTCAGGGTCAATGTTCCTAGAAGAATCTCTATCTTGTTCTCTCTCCCTCAACGTCTCTTGTCCCTTTGCTCGCAGCCGCATCTCGGTTTTTTTTTCTTTCCATTTTTCTTTTCATTATTCTTGAGCCGAGAAATCGGGTGTTTTGTCTTCTAAAAGGCCTCATCAGCGTTCTTTCTCTATCTCTGCCGCTCCTCCCTTTTCTGAGTTTCCTGCCCGCCCACGTTATCGTGTTCACAAGCTTCTGCGTTGCCCCCGCTTTCCGCCTCGCATACACCCAGCGCCGCGTATTTCTTTATTGTAGCAACGGACGTGACGAAGGTGTGTTTGTGTGTATGTGCAGGCGCGGCTATCCGGCTGAGGGGAACATACACATATATCATTAGATTACCAGTTCTTCTTTTACACAGTCCTCGTTAAATACGATCACCTCGTGTTGCCCGAGGCTGCTGGTTGGAGGGCGCGCGTCTTCTTTTCGTTTTAAGTTAGCTTGTTGACACGGCCTTGTGTCGCACTTATTATTCTTGTGTTGGTGTTCCTTCCTTCTTTCTCTCTTGGGCGCCCCCTCCACTCGCCCCCATTCGCACTTTCCCTTTCTCACCCCTCGCTGCAGCATGTACCCTCACACGAAGCAGGTCACCCCCACCCTCCAGAGCTTTGTTGCGGAGAACAAGGTGGAGGAAAAGGGGCTGAAGCTGAGCGACCTACGCCGACTGCCGAACTCCAACAACGTGTGTCTCGTCTTCGACGGCAGCCGTGTCCTCGAGGACGTCATTCAGGACGTGCACGCCACATGCCCCCTCACCATCTTCACCGCCTCCACCCCGTCCTCGGCCTACACCGTCATCAGTGAGTACACCGAGAATGTGGCGAAGATGGCGGAGTTCTTTGAGAGCCAGGAGGTAGACTTCAAGCCAATGTTCGTCTTCAACGGCTGCGGCTTTCACCCGGCGGAGGACATAGACACGACCTCGCCCCAGCCCCCGACGGAGCTCGCCGCGTACGCGGCCTACGACAAGACGAAAACGGTCCGCAACGTGCCGTTGGAGGTGCAGAAAAAGTTCGCCAATCGCTTTGTAATTGAGGAGGATGTGGAGGGCTTAATTGTTAGGAAGATGTGCGAGTCGGTCAAGGAGACCCTGCGCGCACCGTATTTAGCCTGGAGCCAGATCTCCGCCTTCTTCGCCCCGTCGAACACGGTCGCCTCAGAGGTCTTCGGCTCATTGGAGCTGCTCGCCTTCCCCGGCGTGGACCGCGTCATCACGAACATCGACGTCGACCGCGGCACCTTCGACTGCGTGTCCAAGGCGGTCTTGATGGCTGCACTGCGCCGCCGCTACGACCCCGATTTCCTCGAGGACGACTTCGCCGCCATCGCGCTCTACGACACGAAGAATCGCCTCTTCCGCGTGAAGAACCGCCACGACAACTTCGACCTGCTCTGCCGCCTTCCGCGCGACCCAACTCGCGTTGACGTCTTCTTCAAGCAGCCCCGCGTGGCGGAAGAGCAGAAGTCGCTCTTCCGCCGCAACCTGGCCGCGCTGGAGGCGCCGGTGCTGACCGCGGACGCGCAGGTGCTGCCGCTGGCCCAGCTCTACAACTCACCCAGCCACGGCGAGATCCGCGCGATCTTTGGCAGCCCGATGCCCGTCGTCTTTTACTACTTCCTCATGAGTGGGCCGCTGTTGCCGCTACCTTTTTCGATTCACAGTCAGGAGGTGCTCATGGACGACTGGCCGCTCATCGACACCTCGGCCTACCGCCGCGCCGCGGAGTCGATCCTGCCGCTGCGGGTGCAGGTCGCCTTCCAGCTCTTCCAGATTGCGGACAAGTCGTGCGACTTCTACTGGATTCGCCAGTATGTCGTGTTCAAGAAGGCCCAGATGACCGACCTGCCGCTGCGGGTGTGCAAGCTGAGCAACCCGCCGAAAATCGAGCTCGCCTACTGGAACTTCGATGAGGAAAGGCTGTTGGATGCGACACAGGACGCGGAGAGCGTGTACTTCACCGACGTGGTGCCGTATTGCGGGTGCGCGGTGGGCGAGGAGGTGCAGTACAAGTCGGCGCGTGCCACCCTCGCCGCTGTCTACCTGCGGTCCCTCGACTTCCTCGGCTACTTCACGCACGCCACGGAGGGGATGGAGTCCAGCGGGCCGTCGGTCTACTGCAAGGCGCTGGAGCGGTTCGACTGCCCGACGCTGAGCGAGTACGGCGTACTGCTGATTGAGCTGCTGCGGACCGGCACCCTGAATGACGACCCGCTCGTCGTGGTGCTGAACAACGTGGACAACAAGATGCCGATGGGCGTGCGCTTTGCGTCGCGACTGGTATCGATCATCCCGACCAACGTGAGTGGGCCGTGGACGGGCCCATTCGACCCGGAGATGGCGGCGTTTGGCGTTATCTCGCGCCTCTTTAGCCGCACCCTGCGCATCCTCCACGAGGTGGTGGCCACGCTCATCTTCGCCAAGCGCGCGACGACGGTGCCGTGGGCGGAGTTTAACAGCGTCATTCAGCAGATTCCCTTCACCTTCCCCGCGGAGTTCTCCGCTGGTTTCCTGATGACGTATGTGCTGTGCAACCCGCACTGCACCATGGAGGAGCTGTGCGTCACGTTCCCGGAGATGTACGCGCTGGAGACGGACCTGCAGACGCTCTTTTGGTTCTTCACGATGGGCTTTGAAGCGATCCGCGTGCTCAACTACGAGGAGCCGCTCTTACCCGATATGCTGCAGGTCGTCAACGCGTCTCGCCTGCTGGTAGGTCAGGCCTGCGAGCGTCTCTGCCCGAGCGTCTTCGCCGAGCACTTCCCGATGGAGGACATCGCGCTGCTGGAGGAGTTGGACATGCCGCAGGCGGAGGTGGCGATGCCGCCGTCTCAAATGCCGATGCCGATGGACATGGGCAACATACGCGGAGGGCCGATGCCGCCCAACATGAACATGAACATGAACATGAATATGAACATGCACCCCGGCATAAACCAAAACATGATGCAATACCAGTCCAATCGTATGTACTAGAGCACACTTGCCGACGAGACATGGGATGAGCTGGACACCCTCGAAACGAATGAGCTCCGTACAGCTTTCATTTTTAACTATTTGTGCGTAATCTAAGTAGCCGCATGAAACCTATTTCTGTAGAGAGTAAGAGGAGGCGGAGGAAGTCTCGTTCCTTTTGGTGCTCCGACTTTTTTTTGTTGTTAAGTGTTATATATATCTCTATCTTTGGCGTTTGTATTGTGTTATTGCTGGACGGGTGGTGGTGGACCAGCACATAGAGTCGTTTAACAGCAGTCCAAGGCGAGAACTGGTTTTCTCTTTTTCCTTCTCTGCTGCTTCACTCCCCTCCCCCTTCGTTACTGACGAACAAGACCGGGCGTGAGAGGTGAAGGTATATCGAAGGAATAAGAAGACGCACGACGGTACCGACCACCGAAGAATTTCCGAGTAATGGGCTCACATTTTTTTTTTCCTTCGTTATTATTATTGCATGAAATAAATATATCATTGATCTCTCCATTATCATGCACTCTGGAAAGACGAGGTCTGTACTTATATTTCGAGTGATGCGCAAACCTGGCTCTGTTTCCGTTCCCTCCCTTATTTTGGTTATTAATTAATTCTCTCTTTTGTTGTCCGACTGTTTCGTTTTCGTTTTCTTTTGTTTTTGAATTGTCTTGTGCTGTTGTTCTGAACAAAAAAAGAGCCTGTCTCTTCTCTTCTCCACATAGATGAATCTTCTTTGGAATAGATTCGCGTTGTGCGGTTATATGGGCTTGCGGCTCAGTCCACGACGGCTTGACGAGCATCTCGATGTGCTCTAGATGGGGGGCCGACACCTACCCCAGGCATACGGCGTTGTGCCCTGAGGCGGGCGGAATGGAAGCGGTTTGTTTTGCTGTTACTTCTCTTCTCTTTTTGTTTTGGGTGTGTTTCTTATACATTTCTATCTTCTGGCGCTGTGTACGCTGTTCGGTACTGTTCTCTCTCCTTTTCTGGCCTTTCCCAACCCTTGTCTTTTCGCTGATCCCGGTGGCCCTTTTGCGCTTCTTCTTTGCTCACTCTGCACTCTATTTTTTTATTTATATTATTTCTCGTCTATGGACGATTCCGTGCTTTGTTGCTTCGATGGATCAATTTCGTTTTCCATGCCTTTCTGTTTTTGATTTTTGTTCCGCTGATTCTGCCTTTCCTTTCCTCCATTCCTCTGTGTGGCCCTCATGTTTCGATTGAGGCCTCTCCCTCAAAAGGACCAGGTGAGGGTAAAGAGCAGCCACGCGTTTTACACAGGACAGTCACATACGCATACGTAGACGCTCGTGCGCAACGAACCTTCGCAGCCATGAAGAAGTAATCTAAAGCTTCTCTTCACAACGCATTTTTCTTCTCCTTTGAAATGAACCCTTTTTGTCTTTACTGTCGTTGTTTCGATCATAATTTCTTTGTTGTCCCTTGTGATCACTTTTCTTTCCTCCTTTTTCCGTTGTATGCGTGCTTGAGACGCCGGTGGGTGTCTCGTGCCTATTTGACTGTAGGCTGTCGTGGGGTTGAGATGAGCGCAACGGCGTTGCAAAACAGCTAAAAAAGACCCCGACGTGCTTCCTGTGCTGGTCCGTGAACACTGACAAAAAACCCCATAAGCGCGTCTGAATTTTCTGCGGTACCCCCACAAAGCTGTTTCGCCATTCGAGAGGTTTCTTTCTACTGGGACTCTCATTCTGTTTCCCCTGTTGTTGTCGATTCACGTGGTGCGCTCGTTTGTGAACGTTTGTTTTATTTCTAGTTTCGTTATTAATATACCAGAAAAGGAAAATGTTGGCTCCAGGACAGAGCTTTACTTGCTGCGGCGGTGCCGCGACGGTGGAGCAGCGAAACACGCTGGACGAGTGCGAGTGGGAGAGGGGTTGGGGAAGTCGTCGTCTGATGCCAGGCGTGAGACCTTCTTCGCGCAAAGGTACTTTTGCACTTTGTTGTGCTGTATCGCAGCCTTTTGTCGCACTCGTGTCAGTCAAAGCAAGCAGCGGCGCTGTTTACGTGCTGCTCTGTTATTTTTGTATTGATGCCCGCGTCGAGAAGAAAATGGTCTTCCTTTTTTCTCCCTTCTTTGGCCTCGTAGGCAGCGCGGCTGCAGAGGGAGAAGTGCCGCGTTACGCGATGAGCAAGCGCAACGGCGTTTTGCTTTCAACCCCCTCCAAAAACAACTCCCTCGCTTTTTTCACTTCTCGATTCCTTTGGCCCATGACGGTTACAACGCACGTTCAAACCAACTCACTCTTCTCCCTTGTGCTTTCATGGCAGAATTCGTGGCATCTTTGGTTTCCTGAGTGCGCACCGTGACGCCTCTCACCCTCATTAAAGAAGTGATTTCAACCACTACATAGAAGTCAGGCACCACAAACTGCACCAGCAGCCCTCACTCCATCGGTACATACACACATACATCCACACGGAGAGGCAGCGACAGAACGGTGTTTTATGCCCACTTGCGTTTCGTGCGCTTCTCTCCCTTTTTTTATGTTTGTCTTCGCATGCGCACTCTCGCACACCCGCGCACACGTTCGTTGACCACAAACCTCACTGCAGTTTGCAAGAAGGAAAAGAAGAAAGAACAACTGTATTCGATCCGCTTCATGCGAGCGTTGTCTCGATGCACCAAACCACGTTCGAGAGCTTCTTCGCTCCAAAGAAGCGCGCTGCCCCGGCGAGCCCTTCTACGGCCGTTGTGGAGACGACGTCCGCATCTGCTGATGTGCCAGAGGAAGATAGGAAGCGGGTACGTGTAGAGGCGGAGGACAGAAAAGTGACGGATGGGGCAGAGACGACCGCCTCCAACCCCACCTGCACGTGGAATGAGCCTACTAACGCGTACTACGCGCATCACATCGCGGAGTACAAGTCGCTGGCCGCCGATGTGGCCGACCCATCTGCTACGTCCATGGCGAGGTTATTCCTGGAGAGCACGTTCGATCCAGTGAAGTCCTTTGAAGTTGTGTGGCGCGCCCCGCCAACAGCAGCTGCCGCGGCGAGCACCGCCGCACCGCTCAAGTCGGAGCCAGTCCCCTTCTCTGCCGTGGTGGACGTGTTGGCCGACATCAGCGCGACGGGGTCCCGCCTGGAGTGCGTGCGCCACCTCACTTTTTTGCTCCTCGCAGTGATGGAGCGCTGTCCGGAGGACTTGGTGCCGGTGATGTACCTCGTCATCAACAAGCAAGCGCCCCAGCACGAAGGCGTGGAGCTGGGGATTGGCGATGCCGTGCTGGTCAAGGTGGTCGCCGAGTGCTGTGGAATGACGGAGGCGCGTGTGAAGGAGGAGTACCGGAAAACCGGTGATTTGGCCGAGATTGCCCAGAACCACAAGCAGCAGCAGAGAACGCTGATGCAGCCGAGACCCCTCTCGGCACGGCACGTCTTCAACACCTACAGGGAGATTGCGATGATGAGCGGCAAAGACGTGATGCGGCGTCGCTCCGACCTGATCAAGCGACTGCTGCGTGACGCGCAAGGACCGGAGACGAACCTCATCGTGCGCGGGTTGCAGCAGAAGATGCGCATCGGACTGGCTGAGCCGTCCGCACTCGCGGCGATTGGCTACGCCTTCGCTTTGCACTTTCTGGGCAGCAAACAGATGCACCGCATGAGTGAAGGGGAGCTGCAGTCCATGCTGAACACCGGCGCGACCAACCTCGCCCGCATCTTCTACGAGGTGCCGAGCCTGGACGTGGTGCTGCGTGCCGTGCTTGATTACGGCTTCATGGTTTTGGTGCCCGGCAGCACCGTGTCGAAGCAGCACACGCGTGCCTTGTCGATTCGCCCTGGCCTGCCGGTGAAGCCGCAGCTGGCCCACCCCACCAGTGGCATCACCGTCATTCTGGACCGCCTGAATGGCAAGCGATTTACGTCCGAGTACAAGTACGACGGCGAGCGTGCGCAGATCCACTACGAAGAAGGCAAAGGCTTCCAGATCTTTTCGCGCAACTCGGAGACGCACACGGGGAAGTATCCGGATGTGATAGCGATGCTCCCCAAGACGTTTGACGCGGACAAGGTGCACTCCTTCATCGTTGACTCCGAGGTCGTGGCAGTGCACCCGGAGACCGGCGGGCTGCAGGCGTTTCAGGTTTTGCAGCACCGCGGCCGCAAGAACATCGCCGAGGAGGACGTCCGCATCCCCGTGTGCGTCTTCGCCTTCGACATTTTGTACTTCAACGGTGCACCGCAGCTGGAGAAGACGCTGCAGGAGCGGCGGCAGGTGCTGTGGGGTGCCCTCCACCCGCTCCCGTCCGCCTTCGCTTTTGCGACGCACTTGGACAGCGACAACGTCGAGGACATGCAAAAGTTTCTAGACAAGTCCATCGCGGACGGCTGCGAGGGCTTGATGGTGAAGACGCTGGAGGAGGAGGCGACCTACACCCCAGCGAAGCGCTCGCACTACTGGCTGAAGCTGAAGAAGGACTACATGGACGGCGTCACCGACACGCTCGACCTCGTGCCCATCGCCGCCTTCTACGGAAAAGGGAAACGCACCGGCGTCTTTGGCGGCTTTCTGCTCGCCTGCTACGACCCCGAGTCGGACGAATACCAGAGCATCTGCAAGATTGGGACCGGCTTCCAGGACGAGGAGCTGGAGCGGCTGACGCAGGCGCTGAAGCCTTTCATCGTGCATGAGAAGCCGCGGTACTACCGTGCGGGGGACGAGGGCCCCGATGTGTGGCTCACCGAGGCACAGGTGTGGGATGTGAAGGCGGCCGACCTGTCGGTGTCGCCGGTCCACTTCGCCGCTATTGGGCTGGTGGACCCCACGAAAGGCATCGCGCTGCGCTTCCCGCGGTACATTCGCGAGCGGGACGACAAGAAGCCCGCTGACGCAACCAACGCGCAGCAGGTGGCGGAGATGTACAAGGCGCAGTCGTTGGCCCTCCAGCACGAGGAAGACGAGGACGCTGAGTAGCGGTAAACGCAGGCGCATCGCTAAGAAGACCAGTGTCGCTCCTCCTTTTTTTTTTCTTCTAACCCGAAGACGGCGCTCTCCTTGTCGTGCCATTACTTGTGTGTGTCCGTTCTGCTGCGTTGCGGTACCACCGTTTTCTCTTCGCCCGAGTGTCGAAATGGGAGACGACAAGCGTTCATGCAGTCAAAAGGAGGCAGAAGCGGTCTTGGAATCAAGTCGGCTCGCTACGCAAGGCAGCCGGTGTTGTTGGATCGAGGGGCGAGTCGCAACGTCCTTCGGCGACGCAGACGTGCAAAAGAGAACGGAAATCCTTTTTTTTTGCCAAGTCGTTGGAGATTCTTGATGTTTGCTGTGTCAAGGTATAAATCGCACTCTGGCGATCTCGTAGCAGTGGGACAACAAGCGCTATCTTTGGCAGGAGTGACTGAATCAGCACTTCTTTCTCCATACTTTCTCCCTCTCCTCTCTTCTTCCTTCGCCTTCGCGGATTCGATGCATCACGCCCTCTTTGCTTGGCGCTTGCAAGGTCGCGACGGGAACACCGTGGCGTAACACCGCGCAGTGATCGGCGCCCAGCGATTTCGGTGTGTTACAAAATACGTACCGCGTGAGTGAAATACATTTTGTTTCCACGAGCCCCCACGACTCTTGTTTTCACTCCAGTAAATGGGGGCGTTGCTCTCGTCGCTGCTCTTCCCACGGAAGCGGTGTCGTGACAACGGCGGTGGCGGTGGTGAAGATATCGCCACCGTGTCCCGTGAGCCACGCAGCCCACGTGCGTGCGGCGGCGGTGCACCCGCCAATATGGTAGATCCTTCTCCGTCTCTGCTGGCCAAACATCTCTGCCGGCTGCGTTATCGCTGCACGAGCTCGGAGAAGGTGGGCTCGTTGGTGTGCCGTCACGTGGCGGAGGATGCAACGACTCGACAAACGTACGGCTGCCACGCCCACCTCTACGAGACGGTCACCGCCGAGGAGAGCCACGGCGTGGCCCTCGCGTGGTGCGTCGACGAGGCGGATCCGATTTCAGCGCTCTCGCTGCTCTCTTTGTGCCGCGTTGCGAACAGCTGTCGGAAGACGACGCTGTTGACTTCGCCGCTTGGAGACGCGCTTATCTTAACCTACACTGCTACCTTATAACGGTGAATTCAAAAACCACAGCAACAAACGACGGTACATTGTTACTCGATCTCATTTGAGACTTCAGAGAAAAGGAACACGGTATGCAAACTTCTCTGTTCTGTTTCACTCCTGGCTTTGTTTGGTGTTCCTAGCTCGAATGCTTTCCTTTTTTAGATTTCCCGCTGGAAGACGACACTCTCCCGAGTGATGTTTCGGAACTCAAGTGTGAGTGCACTGCAACGGATCAGCGTTCACACTCTTTTACTGAGTTTCATCAAGTCTCTTGCTATGTATCGCCGTTACGCTCTCTCTTCCTTCAACGAGTTCTTTTGCTTCTTGTTGTGCTTGTGGCAGCCAACTCTTCCATTATCTGCTCTTGCACTTCTTGTCGCATTTGCGGTATCAAAGAGGCGCAAAAACCAAAGAAAATATACCTGCAGCTCACACTGTTGCGCTTCTGTCTACTCAGAACGTTTCTACGTGTGCTTCGGTACCCTCGGCCTCTCCCACACGTACACATCTGACTAGCGAGTTCACAGAAGCACGTTTTCACCCTGCAGTGCTTGCGACGACAAAGTATCCTTCAGTTCGAACAACTTCTGTGCCTCTTCACTTGTGCAGACGCTGTCTAGTTGAGAAATTAAGTGAAAGTAAGCTATACGCTGAAGTTGGCGTCGTCTTCTTAATATCTCCCCCTTTTTTTCTTGCATCATTACATCCACACCTTTTATTCTTGTTCCATTCTTTCCGATTAGCTTTTCTCCTCCAGCAAGGGTCTCGCAGGGCCGCAAACGGTGGCGTTGGTTTGTTTCCATTGTGCTTTCATAAGAGGTCTCGCACAGGCGTAGCCGGGTAGCTGGCCGCATTCCGTAGCGTTCACCGTTGCCCCTTAATTTCGCCACGCACGAGACGACAAAGAAGGAAGCACCCACAAAATCGCATCAGAACAAGGCGACCTCAAAATGACCCCCCTCGATGCACTGGAGAAGGAGGTGGCAGACCTGAAAAACATCCGCGTCTTCAATGAAGCTGTTCGCAAAGGTGCTGAACATGTTTTAGCGACTCTGCCGTCGCCGGACAAAGAGAAGGACCCCAACACGAAGGTGCGAATTCTTTTACTGCGCAGCCGTGCGGCGCTCCTCCTGCCGCGCGTGTCGCGTGACGCGGAAAAAGATTTAAATGCGGCACTAAAGCTGCAGCAGGGCTCAGCGGACACGTGGGTGGAGCTGAGCGAATGTTTGCTGCGCCGCAACGCTTTCAAGGAAGCGTGCGATGCCCTCGACAGCGCCCTCCGCATTGACCCGAATCACACGGAGGCGCTCTGCAAGTACAGCCAAATTCAACGCAACCGCTGCGGCGAGAGCGGGGTGACGCCGGAGCAGCGCAGGATGTACCTCGACGATGCCGTCGCGAAGGGCCGCGCCGCGGTTGCCTCAAACATCGACGATGCCGATGCCTGGAACACCTTGGCGCTGTCGCTGCTGTCGAAGACCACCTTAGAAGGCATGACGTTTGAGGGCGCCCGCAAGGCCCTGTCTGCTATGTCGCAGGCGGAGAAGAAGGCCCCAGAGGACCCCGATGTGCCCTACAACAAGGCGGTGCTGGAGAGCTTGCTTGGTCACTTCGGCACGTCCGCCATGGACTACTGGAAGGCGCATGAGCTGGACAAAGACCGCCTGCGAGGCTCGCGCCGTCTCTGCGAGGAGAACACGAAGGTGCTGCTGCGTGCGCTGAATCGCATGAAGGCAGTGAACGGCATCGGCAAGCGCGAGTTCAAGAAGCTGTGCACACGGGTGGAGCAGGCGCACAAGCGATACCCGGAGAACGCGTCGACCAAGGTGGTGGGTGTGGTGGACATCATCACGGAGCCGACGATGCAACCTGTCACCTTGCTGGTGTCGGATGAGCAGGGCAAGTTTGGTTTAGTGCTGATGCACGAGGTGCGCCCCACCACCTTCAAGATCGGTGATGTGATCGCCTACGCTGCCTCGACGCTGGTAGAGACGGTTACACATCGCGTCACGGCGGGGCCGGCAGTTGATGAGGGGCCCGTTGAACTCGCTATTGAACACGCGTACCCCAATGCGAAGGTGTTGCTCTTGAACGGCCAGCCGTTGCCGAGCTCTGCGCACGTGCCTCTCCAGATGGCCTCGCGTCTCTTTGCGTAGAGGTTTTCAATAATTGGCATCGCCTGTACCTGTTTGGAATAATTCGGTGCTGTGATTTGACTGATGTATGGTGATGATCCGTTTGTTGAGGTTTTTCTTCTCTTTTTTTTTTTGCAGTGAAGCGTTCAGCTTGTGCGTGAGAGCAAAAGGAGCTTGTTGATAGCACAGGCCAATGCGCCAAGCGAAAGGAAGCAAGAACGATGAAGTATAACTGTGTCCATCATCGGTAAAGACTCTACGCTGGCTTTGTGTCGTTTGTTCGCTTCACGTGCGTTTCTGTCCTGCGCTGCGATGCGTATTTGCCGATTCTTCGCCCATCCCGTGTGATTGACGCGCCGGGGCAACTAATACAGCCACCTTCCTCTCTGCGGTTGGTTTGCCAACTGTTCTACCTTTTTCTCTTTAACCCTTTGCTTCCTTCTGCATGCGCCATCCGCCGGCCAGCATTTTCAGCTGTGCTGTACCCCTCACCCCCCCCCCTCAAAACACCTTCACGTTTCCATCACACAAAAAGGAATTCAGTGCGTAAGATCACGTAGGTGCGTGCTGCGTCTCTGTGCCGACTGATTCACCTGGCCGATATGGTGAAGAGAGTACGCACGCGCTTGGCGGCCGCAGAGGGTGACGAAGGCAGCTTTGGCTGCGGCTTCTGCGGCGCCCACCTGTGCGTTGCGGACGACGTCGTGTCCGACAACTTTCGGGGTCGCCACGGCAAGGCGTTTCTTGTTTCTCGGTGCGAGAACTCGTACTACGGTCACCAGGAAGAGAAACAGCTCATGACGGGGCTGCATCGTGTGCGGGATGTCTTCTGCTCCAACTGTGATCAGTACGTCGGATGGGGATACGACTTCGCTGTGGATGAGCGCGAGATGTATAAGATGCAGCGGTTTGTGCTGGAGCGCCAGCTGATACGCGTCATCACGCACGACCCTCTCTGCGGCGGCCTGGGACGCAAGATTCCAGAGACGGCCGTCACCAATTCGGTGCCAATCGGACACTACTAGCCGTGTGCGTTGAGGTCAGCAAATCGTGTTCCCGGACTTTTTTTCCTCCTCTTTCATATACCGTCACCTTTTTTTTTCTCTTTCGTTGAGCCAACAAACACGCTGAACACGCCACGTGGCGAATTCGTTGGCGCCGCCAAAACGCGTCTCCCGTCACGTTTCTTCTTCCCCTTCTGCTTTGCCCTCTTGTTAAAACTTCGAGTGTTTCCTCTGCGTCTCTTTCCTTCAACATGTACCACGTCACTGCACCGTTTGCAAAAGGAAAAATAAAGGCGCTACGCTGTTGTTTGGGAAGGTGAAAATGAATGCTGACATTAGACTGGTGGGGTCGCGAGTCTCATTGTAGCGACTGAAGAGAACAACGCGCCGCTTCCGTTCCTTTTATGATGACACGGACGAGCACAAAACAGTCGTCAACGATTTCGCCTGTTGAGCAGTGACACAATTCTGGGCTCGCAAATAATGTCCACGCGGACAGCTTTCCCCGTAATTCGCCTTCATTTTTTTTCTCTCTGTTTCTTTTTGTTATTGCCCGTTCAGCAGTTCAGTTCATCACGCCTCAGGTGCTGCTCAACGTGTTGTGTTATCGTAGCTCAAAAGAATCGAAGCATCGCGTTCCTTCATCGCTCTTCAACTCGTGCTTCCGGTCGGCATCTCGTTTCCTGTGTGCTTCCTTTTGCTCTTCCCTTCGTTTCTCACGATGCCATCTGCATCGCTGAAAGAGAACACCGAAGTGGACGCTATCAATGCGAAGCGTGCGCAGGAGATTTTGATTGGGGGCCGTTTCCGCATTCAGGAACGCCTCGGCGGTGGCGCCTTTGGCGAAGTATTTAAAGGCATCGACGTCAACAGCGGCCGCCCGGTGGCGATGAAGATGGAGCTGACGAAAGACGGTCACCGCTCTCACCTGAACCTGGAGCACAAGATTTACAGGAAATTCAACGAGTGCCCCGTGACGGTGGGTATTCCGCAGTCTTTCTACTGCGGGCGGGCGGGCGACTACACGATCATGGTGATGGAGTTGTTGGGCCCCTGCCTGGAGGACCTGTTCGCGCTCTGCCATCGCAAGTTTACCCCCAAGACGGTGTGCATGATTGGCATTCAAATAATTCAGCGTCTGCAGTACCTGCACAGCGTTGGCTACCTGCACCGCGACATCAAGCCAGAGAACTTTGTGATGGGCGTCGGCAACAACTCCCACGTGGTGTATGTCATCGATGTGGGTCTGTCCAAGGCGTGGCGTGACGCCTCCGGCAAGCACATCAGCTACGCTGAGAACAAGTCGCTGACCGGGACGGCGCGTTACGTCAGCATCAACACCCACCAGGGCATCCAGCAGTCCCGCCGCGATGACCTCGAGTCGGTGTCGTACCTTCTCTCCTACTTCGTGCGGGGCAACCTGCCGTGGCAGGGCCTGAAGTCGGCCAAGAAGGACGTCCGGTTTGAGCGCATTCGGGATTTAAAGATCGCCACCTCCCCGCATAAGCTGTGCGACGGCTACCCGCGGCAGCTGGGCGATTTTGTCGCCTACACGCGCGGACTCGAGTTTGAGGCGGAGCCGGATTACGGCTACTGCGTCGACCTCCTCTCGCAGGCGATCAAGGACATGGGCGAGGAGTACGACTACTGCTACCAATGGATTGTGTGCAGCGAGGACGACAATGCCTCTGACGCGCGCGTCTCCATGCGCAGCGCGCACCCCTCCGGCGCCCAGTCTGCCGTCGCCGTTGGTGGTTCCAGTTTTATGGTGTCCTCCGTATTTGTGGGCGACAGCGTTGCGGGTGAGTTGGAGAAGTCGCAGATGAACAACAACTTCATCGAGGAGATGCAGGACGTCTACGGCCTCAACGACTACTTCTAAAGCGAAGGTGGGGAGCGGACCGGTGCAGTCTCTGCTATTTCCTTTCACCGTTTGGCGAAGAGGAGAGGCAATGGCACACGATGTATTGCCTGAACTTGCATTTCTCGATGTGTGTGTGTGTATATGTAGGGCCTGGTACGAGAAAAGTAATTTGTATGTGCACCCGTGGCCGCCGCCACCTGTAGTATAGCTTCGGTCTCTCCATCATTCAACTGCTTGTGATTTGTCGCGACGTCTTCTTCGACCCGCCCGTCCCTTTTCTCACTTGCTTTTCTCGGAGTTTCTCTGCTACCGTCGCCGAGACCTCGTTTTGCCATGAATTTGTCATCTTTCGTTGTGTCCATGTCGGTCGCCTTCTTCTTTCTTTTGCTGTGTTTTCAAACCGGCAGAGTGTCGATGGTGGACTGTTCATGCGCCCATTCATTAGGGAGATAGAAAGCGGGCAGACGCAGCCTTGTGCGTGCATCCGTTGAAGAGTGTGTGGGTGTGTGGGGTGCGTATGCTTTCCTGTGGCTATTGTGCCGTCATCACCGTTGCCGTTTGACATCGCAAACACGAACGAGGCGCCGTGAAGCAACCTTTTCTCTCTTCATTTCTGTACCTTTGTTTTGGACTATGGAAATCCATCAGTAATCACAATCAGTCAAAGGTGTGCTTTGCTCTCTTGTACGAGTGCAGGACGATGTTTATTACTTTTCTTCATCTGGTATTGTTTTATTTAGTTATGTTTACACTTGTGTGATTTTGTTATGTTGCCTCTTCTCGTTTGACGACCTCCAAGAGGATATATATGTGCAAGCCTTTTCCCTTTTCGTGTCTTTTGTTGTATTGTTCCTCGTTTCTTCTGCTACGACCCGCAGTATTTGAGATGTCTCTTCTGTTGTTGTGACTGCTGTTCCCCTCATTGGGTAGCTGGTCGTCTCTTTACCATTCAACGGGTTTTTGTTCCTTTCCTATCTCTTCCTGTTGCCATGTATTGTCAATCATCTATTTCTTTTGCACACACCTGCGTTACACGTGAAGGGAAAAGTGTTGGGGGTCCACAAACGGCGTGTGTGGTTTGTTTCGTTTGCCGTTGCTCGCTCTTCGATAAATACGTACAAGTATGTTGTCTTTTTTATTTGAATCATTGCTCAGGGACCACGTAACATCTCTCGCGCTTTCGTAGCCGAGTGTGTGCCTTTTCAGATGTTCACGTGCCGAACTGGCCACCTGCGCGCGTGACGGTTGGGTGTGCTGAGCAAAAACAACAACAACTTGTTTCTCTTCTTCCTCCCTTTGCGCTGCTCCTCTCTCTCCTACTTGATAAGGTGTGTGTGCGTGCGTGTGTGGCTTTATGCGATAACTCCATGTATACATCGCTCCCTCCGTAGAGCCTGGAAAGTGAACTCTGCTGTGCTGAGTGCCTGTGCTGTTTTCTTTTGCGGCGCTTCGCTTTGTTTGCACTCTTTATCGCTCTCTCTCTCTCCTTCTCCATGTGCCGTTGATAGAGTGGTTGCTGTGTTGTCCCGTTTTTTATTCGGCGTCGGTTTGAGCCCTCAAGTGATGTTTGTCGTCTTCGCTTACTTCGGTTTTTGGTTTTTCTTTCCTTTTCTATGCATTGGTTGATGATGTCGTATTGCACGAGCTGAGCGCCAGCTGTGCTATTCCCAGAGCGCTTCCCAGAAGATAAGGAGAAAAGTACGAGCGAACAACAGCAGAAAAGGAGAACAGCCGCGGCTTTCTGTGACGAAAACAAGACATGGTGGCGGTGTCGGGCGCTGTCGAGGAAACAGATGGGGCCTCCAAAAACCTTGTTTCCCTTCGCCTTGGCTCTCCGTGCTGTACGCACTATCGTTGCCAGCTGCTTTCTTTTGCTCAACGCTTTCCCGCTGCATTCTTCTCTCCTTCTGCTTCTCTTGTCCTCCCACTACGAACGTCGCAACACGGACACGCATCCACACACCTGCACTTGCGCTACAACTCGCGTGACGATCAGGAGAACGCGGCCGTCGCTCCAGTTTGGCCCCCTACCCCCTCCCCCTTCACTTCCTCACGGGTCGGCTCATTGGAGAGTATTTGCCTCACCGCAGTCCGCGATCGTAAGAAGAAAAAAGGGGCGACGAAAGATTCATAGAGCCTGTCCTTTTTTCTTTGCCCCTCACGCTTCACAATGGACACCGCTACGTGGACACCCAAGACGGTCGAAGACCTCCTCTTTCGACAGTACATCCAGGAGGAGGACGTAACGCGGCAGCTGCCGCCACCGCCGAAGGTGTCGAATGAGAACTTCCTCGAGAAGTACGACCAGGCCACCAGAATTCTCTTCTCGTACGTGCGCAACGGCCCGGTGTCGGCGCTGGCCTCGCAGAATGTGAACACCGCCGCTGGCAAATACGGTGGGGCGACACCGATGAAGGCGTTTGTGGGCCGCACGCCCGCCACGAAGCCCGTGCCGCCGGAGCCGTCGAAGGCCTTCTCTCGCACCGCCACGCCCACCCCGACCCCTCCGACGCCCCCGCCGCAGCCCTCGCAGCCGACTAGCACCGCCTCCGCAGCTCCGCCGAAGGGCACGATGGAATCTCCGCAGGCGTACCGGGTAAAGCGGCAGCGGGTAGAGTGGCCGCTGAACGTGCCGACGAATCAAATGCTGAAGAGCAACAGCCGATCGAAGGTAGCGCATCTCACGGCGAAGCGCGTGGCGGCCCAGCAAGGCGTGGACCCGGATCTTATCTTTATGCAGAATAGCGGCGATTTGCCTCTCCACACCATCTTCGCTCCGTTCCCGAAGGCGCTGCGGTCGGTGGCAGCGGTGCGCAACGCGAGCGGCGACTGGCGCGCGGATGCGTTCACCGTAGAGGAGGAGGACGCATACAAGAGTGATCTCGGCTACACGACGTTTGGGCCGAGCCAATGCGGCTACGGTAAGTGGCTGCCCTCGCAGCCATAGCCACGCAGCCCGACAGGCAGACACATTATATAGGTTTCCTTCTCGAACATGTTTCGTTTTTCGTCTTTGATTTGCTTTCTAGATCACTTAGACCTACTCAACTTTCGCTCTATTTTGTTTGTTCATCTGTAACTGTGCTGAGTTTTCTCGGTGCTTTTCTCCTCTAGACTTTTACCTCCTTTTTTCCCCTTAATTTGTTGTTTTCTTGGTAATGAGAGGTGCTCTTGTTCCCCAGCAGGAAAGAACTGAAACGGAACCGTCGCATTAGGAAGCCATCTTCTCCGTGCTTCGCAACTACGACGGCCATATTCGATTCTTTCGTTTTTCATTTCTTTTGCCGCCCGTGATTTCAATCAGAGCAGCAGCGCAGCGCTCCCCGTTGATCTGCGGTGTGTTGCTATGTGCATTTGATGGAAGAGGAGTGAAGACGTGCACGTCCGTTCTTCCAGCTGGATTTGGAATTGCGATGCTGTTGCCCATGCGGCGCATCGTCCACACATCTCCCTGAGAAGGCGGCAACCCGTGAAGGCGCCTTCTTCGAGCCTTCGTTCTCCTGAAAGGGAGAAAAGAAATGCGTTCATCATTTTGCTGCCTTCGTTTTAACTCCCTCCTTTTTTCGTCCTTCTTCAAATTGTCGTTTCCACACCTGAATTGATGGGCGAGGTGCAACGACGGAGCTACGGGAACGATCCTGCCTGCGGGTCTCCTGCACGCCGCGTGCAGAGCCACGGCAAGTGTCAGGCACCCCCACAAAACTAATAAAAGCATGCATATATTAAAAAAAAAAATAACATCTGTATACTTCGATCTCTCATTGGCTTTTCTGGCTCTCAACAACCGCGACATTCACATCAGCCCCGACCTTGTTTCGCAGATTCTCTGCTGGACCTGCGGTGCCGACGTCATCTACATGCGGTTTCCGCCGGGGACGCAGGTGTGGGTGCGATGCGACGACAGTGTGTGGTGGCCCGCAAAAGTGAAGGAGATGGACGCCGAGATGCGTGCTTTTCTGAGCGCTGACGAGGACTGCTGCGTCGAGTTCTATCACAGCCCCGGAGAGCTTTACCCTCTAGTCTCCTCGGACGACAGCCGCGTGTGCGTCTTTCACGCCCAGCCACAGGCACGCACGGCTGAAGAGGAGGAGTGGCTCGCAAACGAGGAGGTGAAGACGGCTGCGTCGAAGGCAGTGCGCGATCATCAGTGGCGCGAAGGTATGCACCCCTCTCCGGGGCCTCCACCACTTCCCCAACCCGCGTCCCTCCCCGTTACAGCTGCCGTGGCAGCCCCCACCCCCACCCCCACCGCAACGCCCTTCTCCGCTGCGGAGCTGCGTAACATCCAGGCGCTGCTCGGAGCCGTCGGACCGGAGATATCGTCACGGCTTCGCCAGCAGCTGCAGCACGCCCGCGTCTCCGTCGCATCGAGGGGCGTACAGAAAAAAGAGGCCAGCGAGCGGAAGTCCCGTAAACGGCAGCGGGCCGTCCCCAACACGCTTCCGTCGCCCTTCTCCAGCGCGGTGCAGCAGTGGCGGCACGACGTCGTTATGCCTCTTCCGGTGCGTAGCCCTCCGCTTCCTCCACTTACGTCGTCTGCAACCCTGGGAGCGAGCACCGGTGCGGCCGCCCCGGACCGGTCCAACTGGGAGGCCTCACCTCGCTCTTACCCCTCCACCCCGTCGGACTTTCCTCGAGTTCCTGCTGGAGAGGACAGCGATAGCGACGGCAGCGACGCCTTACCTTTCGTCCCGGCGGCACGGCGGCACGTCTTGGAGGTTCTGCGTCACGAGGTCTTCGACAACCCCGCCAGATTCGTTCTGTCTCCCGTCTTCCACTTTGTGGAGCTGCTCGGCGCCGTAGCGGTGGAGAATCGAAGTCTGACCACGACGCTGCCGTCGCCACGTGCGGTGCGTGAAACCCCCGCCAACGGCTTTTCGCCGCATCGCCGTGTTTTGTTGGTGCCGCTGACGGAGGACTACGACCACACGACGGGTTGGATGGTGCCGATGGAGTTGGACGGCGTGTCGCTGTCCATGTCGCTTTACATCGATGGCGCGCTGGTGCCGCTGCCGCCCAACTGGCAGCTCTCACCCGCGAAGGAGGCGTCGGCGGTCAAGACGGCCGTCACTATGGACGTCACCGACGCTGTGCTCGGCGCAACAAGAGATCTGTTTTCACTGAGCGTTGTCTTTTCGGGGGATGTGGAGGCAATGGAAATGTGGCGCGGTGTGATCGCGTGCGTGTTGGTGGAGGATATTGGGCTTTCGCGGCTCGGGGAGCGCATCGTCTCCACGTACCGTAAGCCGCGCCTCACCTCCGCCTCCCGCTCTCCGTCGCACACGCGAGGCGATCGCAGCCTCGTCGACATCACCGAGGCGTCGGTCAAGGTTCAATGCCCCATCACCACCCTCACCATGGAGATCCCAGTCCGGAGTGTGTACTGCGAGCATCTACAATGCATGGAATTGGCAGCGGTGCTGATCCAGTCTGTGCGACAAAACGTGTGGAACTGCCCGCTGTGCAACGCCGCCATGAAGCCGGAGGACATCTGCGTGAATTATCGCCTGAAGGACTGGATCGCCTCCCATCCGCAGCAGCTGTCGCGCGTGGAGTTCGTCGTGGAAACGACGGCGGGAACTCCGTTGAAGGTCGTCTACAGAGCAGCGAAGGAGCGCGACGACGCCGCGGTGGAGGTGGTCGACGACGACGACTGATTCCATTCCTTCCTTACTCACGCACAGACCCCCACATACAAATACGCGTAGAGGGTTGGGAAGGAAAGCACGCTGCTGCGAGGTTGGGTGTATTATATCTTTACCGGAGCCCCCCAACAAGAAGCTAAACACGGTGGCCGAGGAAGATCGCGAACAATGAAAAGGAACACAACCCCGCGCTTCAGCCGCTCAGCAATTTCTTCACTCCGGCTCGGAGTGCCGCCTCACAGAAGCAATCGACGCTTTTAATGATCAATCGCCGATCTGCCTTTGTTGCTATGGAGGGCACTTCAACGGTGCTCTATCAAACAACAAAGAAAGCGTTTTGCGTCCACCTGGAGCGAACTTTCATTTCAGTGGACCTGTATTGGAAAAATCAACAACAATCCAAACGAAAAGCACGTTCCCCCCGTGCGGTCTCAAACGCCAGCGCCTATGAACTGCATTTTCAAGCACACTCTCTTCTCCCCTTGTTTCGCTGACCTCGCCTCACTTCAATTCATTCATACCATCCACAATGCTAGCAACTAATCTACGCCTATTTGTTCTTCACCACAATGTCTCTCCACACCATTCTCTTTTCCTCCGAGCACGTGACGGAGGGGCACCCCGACAAGCTGTGCGATCAGGTATCTGACGCCGTGCTCGACGCGTGCCTCGCCGGCGACCCGTTCTCGAAGGTCGCGTGCGAGACGTGCGCCAAGACGGGCATGGTGATGGTGTTCGGCGAGATCACGACCAAGACGATCCTCGACTACCAGAAGGTCATCCGTGACACGATCAAGGACATCGGCTTCGACTCCGCGGACAAGGGTCTCGACTACGATTCGTGCAACGTGCTGGTGGCGATCGAGCAGCAGTCGCCGGATATCTTCCAGGGCCTGGGCGATTTCGAGGGCGAGAACTTAGGCGCCGGCGACCAGGGCATGATGTTCGGCTACGCGACGGACGAGACGGAGTCGCTGATGCCGCTGACGTACGAGCTTGCGCGCGGCCTTGCGAAGAAGATTAGCGAACTGCGCCGCGACGGCACCCTTGCGTGGGCCCGCCCGGATGCGAAGACGCAGGTGACGGTGGAGTACGACTACGACACGCGTGAGGGCAAGCAGGTGCTGACGCCGAAGCGCGTTGCCGTGGTGCTGATCTCCGCGCAGCACGACGAGCACGTGACGAATGAGAAGATCCGCGAGGACCTGATGGAGAAGGTGATCAAGGCTGTGATCCCCGCGAACATGCTGGACGCGGACACGAAGTACTGGCTGAACCCGTCTGGCCGCTTCGTGCGCGGCGGCCCGCACGGCGACGCCGGTCTGACTGGCCGCAAGATCATCGTGGACACGTACGGCGGCTGGGGTGCGCACGGTGGCGGTGCCTTCTCGGGCAAGGACCCCTCCAAGGTGGACCGCTCCGCCGCCTACGCGGCCCGCTGGATCGCGAAGTCGATCGTTGCGGGTGGTCTGGCCCGCCGCTGCCTGGTGCAGCTGGCGTACGCCATCGGCGTAGCGGAGCCGCTGAGCATGCACATGGAGACGTACGGGACCGGCAAGTACGACGACGCGAAGCTGCTGGAGATCGTGAAGAAGAACTTCAAGCTTCGCCCGTACGACATCATCCATGAGCTGAACCTGCGTCGCCCGATCTACTACGAGACCTCCCGCTTCGGTCACTTCGGCCGCAAGGACGAGACCGGCAAGGGCGGCTTCACCTGGGAGGTGCCGAAGAAGCTTGTGGAGTAGATAGTTGAAGGAGGTTTCGAAGTGTGCACGTCAACCGACACGAAGCGAGGCGTGGCGGCAGAGAGACCCTTTCGTTTTTCTCTTTCTCTCGAGGGAGCCGCAGCAGTGACCGTCTGAAACGGAATAGCACAAAATGCCCACGACGCGGTGTTCGTCGTGGCGCCTGACGCTGATGAGACTTTTCGAAGAAAAAAGCTTTATGTTTGTTGTGTTTTCCTATTTTAGTGTACGCGCTTTTTCATACCTCCATCTTAAGTAAGTACCCTTTGTTTTTGTTTTTCTTTTCTTTTATTACTTTTGATGTGGGTGCACACGGATGCGTCGGTGGCTCCGTGGGCACAGAAATATCTGTTTTCTGGGCCAAACGCGTGGCTTGTGCGGCGGGCTGCTCTCCGCTTCTGCGGCAACGGCCACAGTGTTCTCTTTATTCCTTCCGAGCGAGAGCGCGTTCGTTTTTTTCTTCTTTCTTTTTCGTTTTGTGACCGGAAAACTAAAAAAAAGTCCGCTCACGTTACCAAGGTGCGTTCTCTCTTTTCCACTCTGCGTGGAAGAGAATGACCAAGGCTTCCGTGGTTTATCTTGCCTCTTATTGTGTGAAAGCATCGAGTTGTAGAAGAAGAAGCAACGGAGACAGCCGCCGTCCCACACGCACGTACTCACCCGCACACACACGCTCCAATTCCTTTTCCACGCGCAATGTCGATGCGAAATCGTTGGGTAACAGACTTTTTCTCATGTTTCGGCAGTGTTGCGCGGTCAGGAGGCCACGCTTAATTTCCTTTCTCAGTTATGATTCTTATTTTTTTCTTCTTGGTTTTCTCCCCGATAAATAGGGCCAAGATCTTCTTTTCTCTTTGTCAGTGAACTTCGACTCTTGGTGACTCATCTTCTAAGCGCCAAACAAGAGAGCCACAAATGCCCTCAAAAGAGAATCTCTGGTGTTTGTTAGACATCTGTACTGGACTGCATCTCAGCGGATTTCGTTGAGGTTTCGCCTGTTTCGATGACGCTGTTGTGACCTCCACCGCCGCGCTTCCCGGGTCCCTCTGCGCAAAGGCAAACCACAATCTCTTCCTTTTTTTTTTCCTCCCTCATTTGAGAAGAGACAACAAGTTCATCTTTCAGTGGACGAGTTTGAGCAACCTTTGCATTCGCTCTCGTTAGTTCTAAAAAAGAAAAGAGAAACATATTTTTTTCACTACCTCTCTTCTCCTTTCACTTCTTCTTGTTTCTTCCATGTCTTCTTTTTCTTTGCGTTTTGTGCTGTCGCTTTCCCTTGAGCGCTGCTGAAAGTAATATCTTTATCTGTGCCAAATCATTTAACTTCGCTTTTCCACACATCATACAAGTGTCTCAAACTGGTATAATTCTCCTTTTTTTTTCTCGAAAGCAGTCAAATCGTTCAATCGGAAGAATAAATCTAGCTTTTTCCACGTAACTTCCTTTTACAATGTCTCTCCACACCATTCTCTTTTCCTCCGAGCACGTGACGGAGGGGCACCCCGACAAGCTGTGCGATCAGGTATCTGACGCCGTGCTCGACGCGTGCCTCGCCGGCGACCCGTTCTCGAAGGTCGCGTGCGAGACGTGCGCCAAGACGGGCATGGTGATGGTGTTCGGCGAGATCACGACCAAGACGATCCTCGACTACCAGAAGGTCATCCGTGACACGATCAAGGACATCGGCTTCGACTCCGCGGACAAGGGTCTCGACTACGATTCGTGCAACGTGCTGGTGGCGATCGAGCAGCAGTCGCCGGATATCTTCCAGGGCCTGGGCGATTTCGAGGGCGAGAACTTAGGCGCCGGCGACCAGGGCATGATGTTCGGCTACGCGACGGACGAGACGGAGTCGCTGATGCCGCTGACGTACGAGCTTGCGCGCGGCCTTGCGAAGAAGATTAGCGAACTGCGCCGCGACGGCACCCTTGCGTGGGCCCGCCCGGATGCGAAGACGCAGGTGACGGTGGAGTACGACTACGACACGCGTGAGGGCAAGCAGGTGCTGACGCCGAAGCGCGTTGCCGTGGTGCTGATCTCCGCGCAGCACGACGAGCACGTGACGAATGAGAAGATCCGCGAGGACCTGATGGAGAAGGTGATCAAGGCTGTGATCCCCGCGAACATGCTGGACGCGGACACGAAGTACTGGCTGAACCCGTCTGGCCGCTTCGTGCGCGGCGGCCCGCACGGCGACGCCGGTCTGACTGGCCGCAAGATCATCGTGGACACGTACGGCGGCTGGGGTGCGCACGGTGGCGGTGCCTTCTCGGGCAAGGACCCCTCCAAGGTGGACCGCTCCGCCGCCTACGCGGCCCGCTGGATCGCGAAGTCGATCGTTGCGGGTGGTCTGGCCCGCCGCTGCCTGGTGCAGCTGGCGTACGCCATCGGCGTAGCGGAGCCGCTGAGCATGCACATGGAGACGTACGGGACCGGCAAGTACGACGACGCGAAGCTGCTGGAGATCGTGAAGAAGAACTTCAAGCTTCGCCCGTACGACATCATCCATGAGCTGAACCTGCGTCGCCCGATCTACTACGAGACCTCCCGCTTCGGTCACTTCGGCCGCAAGGACGAGACCGGCAAGGGCGGCTTCACCTGGGAGGTGCCGAAGAAGCTTGTGGAGTAGATAGTTGAAGGAGGTTCGAAAACGCGTCTCACCTTCCGCGAACGTTTTTTTTTTCGTCTAAGAACTTTTGTGCTTTCATTTTTTCTTTCGGTTGTCACAGCTGTGAGTTTCCCTTTGGAGCATGTTATGTGTGAATGAAACGTCCTTGTCTCACTCCAATCGATGCTCACCCTTTCCTCTTCTTTTTTTTTCCTTATTGTTTTCAATCGCTGATCACGTTGGGTAACAAACGTGTGATGCATTGTGAACCGTGTGCGCTTGCTTTCTCTTTCTCTCTTTTCCCGTTTCCTAACTGAAGCTTTTTTTTATCTCCTGGGTTGTGCTGAACACCATCGTCAGCGGTGCGAAAACCCCTCGTGTGCATGATCAAGAGGAAGAAGCGTTTGTTAACATGCGCGAATCGTATTGACGACAGATGTATACATGCCTTGCGAACGGCGGTTTGTTCCTCTTGTTTTTCAATCACTCACCTCGTCTCACCTGTGCGCTGGCACCATGAAAAAGAAAAACATGACGTCATTCAGAAAAGAAGTCAACACTATCGTGGCTTGGTGCAAAGCTCTTTGGTTGTAATGCGACTCTCTCAAGCACGTTGCACATCACGGTGGTTGTTCCAAGTCGAACAAGAAGGTTTGCTGTGGGCGTTTTTTGCCTGCTGACAATGAGTCCTTTTTTCGGAGGGGGGAGGGAGGGAGGTTTCCTGACAAATGCGAGGTGTTTGGCAACGATCATGCGCAGCCCGATTTCCGGTCGTTTCGCATCTTTGGCCGTTACAAAGATGTTTAAGCTTCCCACACGCTCTTTACTAAATTTATTTTTCTTCTTATTCTGATTTCCTGCTTTCCCTCTCTATCACCCCGTACGAATGCGCCTGAACACGTTGATGTTTATCCGCCACTTTTGAATACACGCGCCGCAGCTCTTCTTTGAAAACGGCGTGTGTGCGTCTGAGGAGCGTCAGGAAGAAAAAAGTAGATGATGCGCCACGCGAGACGCCTCCTGCAGTCTGATCGGCGCACCCGCCATCACATGATGGTGGATGGCGAGATCAACCCGCGCGAGTGGTTCAACTGGCACCCGAAGGAGTACCAGCCGTGGTACTTTGATCGGCACAAGTTCCTCTATGAGCAGGGTCAATACGCCGCCTATCACCACCTCCTGTGCCACCAGGCCTACCGGAAGGACATGGAACACCTCACCCGCTACCCCGAGCCGCGCACGTTCATCATCGACTGCCGCATGTCGCCTGCGAAGATGCATCGGTGGGTGCCGCACAGCAACTGGCTGCCGAGGGACGAGGTGGAGTATGCGCTGCAGCTGACCAACGAGGAGTTCATGGACATGTACGACTTCCCCAAGCCGGCGAAGGACGACGATGTGATTCTTGTCTCGCACAACGGCCTCGCCTCGGAGCAGGCGGGGTGGGAGTGGCGCAAGCAGTACTACCAGCACGTGTACAACTACCGCGGCGGCACGAATGAGCTGTTCGGCGAGGAGTACCAGGACTTCGTGTTGAAGGACCGCCTCGACGCGTGGAAGGGGCCGTATCCGCAGAAGAGCATCTTTGTAGACAAGTGGAGCAAGCGCAAGGTGCTTCTGCGCACCGGGCCGTTTGACCGCCAGTACGAGATGCAGGACTTCGCCCTCCCAGATTTGGAACTGGAGAAGCCGCGTCATTCCGAGGACGGGCCGCGACAGAACATGCCGTACGGTCTGCAGTGATGCTTGGTGATGAGGCCTGCGTTGGTGTTGTGAATGTGCGAGAAGGGAGCGACATGGAGAGAGGGACTCGATTTGATCGTCTTCTCAGCGCATGCGCGTCCGCGTTGGTTTGCGTTTGTTTCCTTTGTGCGCCCTTACGCTGGCTTCGGAAGCCGCGAAGGAAAGATACACGTGAACCGTCAACCGCCTGCGCTGGCGTGGAGGAGTTTTGATGTCTTGTATTCGTTCGTGATGCGTTGCACCGCAGGTACGCACCCTCCTCCCCCCCAAAAAAGAGTTTGCGTCTCGATGCATCCTTCATAAAAGTGAAAGGAGAGTGCACGTGACCCATCGCCAGCCCCTTCCACACCTGTTTCGCGATGCGAGTAGGAACAGGGAAAGTGGGCGAGAAAGCGCATCTCACACAACCGCAAAGACGACCGTTCTTTTTTTTCTTCTGCTTCCTTCAACTTCACGCAATCCTGTTGTTCCCCACTTAATTACCCTTAAGGATAATCCGTGGCTTTGCAAATAGAGGACAATCGAGGCACATCCGAACTCTCTCGCGCACACACAGGCGTGTACTCAACAGCGCATTTGCAGGGGTTCACATCACGGTTCGACCACCTCTCCTCCCTTGAATTATGGACACGTGCCGCCATCCTATTTAGCCCCTTAACATAACAATAATCTTTTTCGCTCTTCTCCGGTGTTTTCTGCTGAGGGGGCACCATCAGCTTAAAAGAAGAGCAACTCTCGCTGCCGCCATTCCCTTTGCCGGCAAACACCTTTGCATTTAATGCTGGGCAGACTTGTGCGCTCCTGCGGGGCGGTGGCGCACGCACCAGCCGCGTCGTGTCCGCTGTGGACGTCAATGCGCCTCTCGCAATCCCACAGCTCTGTGGTGAAGCGCCCCAGCAGACGGCGGTACGCGGCGGCCAACACACGCGGCCGTGTTGGCCAGGCGAAGGACCTGCTGACGTTGATGAAAGCGAAGCCTGCGGACGAGGCCAAGGCGTTCTACGACGGCCTCCTCCCACGCGACAAGCTCGACGTAGTGCGACTGCTGCATGAGAAGCGTAGGAAGCGGAAGAACGACCACAGCGCCAGCGCACTGCCCAAGTTCTACAGCGTCGTCTTCGAGAAGAATTACTTCTTCAGAGAAGAGGACGTGATCGAGGAGAGCACGCTGGGTCGTGGCCCGGGCGGACAGGCCACCAACCGCCGCATGCAGACAGCTATCGTGCGACACGTGCCTTCGCACATCATCGTTAAGTTCAGTCGCTTTCCCTCACTGTGGCTCAATCGACGTGCTGCACGTGAGCTGCTGAACCTGCGGCTGGAGGAGCACCTTCTGGGTCCGGCGTCACGTCTGGGCAAGGCGCGCGTGGCGCGAGAGCGACGTCAGCGTCGCCGACAACGCACGGTGGAGTACTTGACTCAAAAAGGCAGCCGCCTGCAGGCGAAGGAGGCGCACGATTGTCGCTGGGCCGCGTTTCTCGAGGGGACGGTGCCTTTGCCGGCGAGCGCCACCCAGCAGATGGGTTTGGCAGCGACAGGAGACCCTGTGACGGTGGCTCTATTGTTTGGTGCAGAGTGTCGCAGCTGGTGGCCCAAGGTGGCCGCTGCAGTGCACGCCGCTGTTGCCGCTGCCGCTGCGACGAGAGAAAGCAGCAAGAGGAACTTCGTCAAGGTGCCGCTGCTGCTGCGCCACCTCTTCCCTGCAACGTACGCCGGCGCCAGTAAAGCTGAACACGAGCAGTTTGAGAAGTGCAAGGCGAGCGAGACCGCACGGGCGAACGTTGCGCGCGCCTTTGTGTGCTTCTGCGAGCTCTTCGGGCTGCGACTGCGGTGGGATCCAGAGCGCCTTTCCAATGCATCGCACCAGCGATGCTCTCTCCAGAGGGATGGCTTGAACTGGGTGGAGTACCGCCCACGCATATGTCGCGATGGCCATCTCACCCTTGTAGCCCGAACATGTTGGCCACACGTGTACGTGAGTCTGCGCGAACTGAACATGCAGGCGGAAGCACGCGCCATTGTCGTCTTTCTCAAAAGAGAAGCGAAGTCTTCAGGTCACGGTGAGTCGGCGGCGTGGGCGCAGGAGGCGTTAGCGTGTCTCAAGCAGGCGGTGCGTGAGACTAGATCAAGCGACTCGCAAGACACTCACACCGAGGGAATCACAACCGACAATCCGGCGACTCACGCATCCGCAGTTTGATGCTGCACCTTCACCTCCACCAAAATTCCCCAATACTTTCCGCTTCTTCTTTTGCCGCGGCTTTGTGTGCTTGAAAAAAAAAGGCATCTCTTTCCTCGAGTGATCTGTCGGAGCAAGCACCAACGAGATGGGAGCGGCCTTTACTCTTTTTACCTTCTTTCTTTCTTCACACGCATCACCGCCACGGTGCACACGACAACAGAAACATCGGAGCTACAACACAAATTTGCACGTTTGCGTTTGTTATTGTCACTTTAAATGGCAAAACTGGTGTGGGCGCCGATGGCGATGCGCAGCTGAAAATGATAAGAAATATTGCGCTGAGCGCCTATTCACTTCCGCGAGGAGCGGAGGAGCTTCCGCCACTGTCCACTGCTAGCCAACCACAGTACCCTATTTTTCTCCCCTTCCCGTTTACTTCTCTGATGCTTTTCTTTGCTTGTGTCCGCACCTTCACGTGCCATACGTACGACACCGATACGCAGATTGGTTCGATCATCCATCAAGTCAAAATCTTTTTTTTTCCTCTACGAAGAGGACGCACTCCCATTTTCTCTCCCTTTCACCGCCGTCTCCTCCAAAAATATTAACGAAGAGGAAAGCAAACAAAAAAAGCTTCTTTGCGTGTGTGCTCCCTCAGCGTTTTTTCTTCTATTATTATTATTCGCTTTGATCAGTGTAACAGCTATTGACTATTTCTTTTCTCTTCTCTGTTTTCTGTTTGTTTTTCCCGTGATACAACATGGCAGCGTTCAGCCGTCTTCTCGGGGTGCAGCTCCCCTACATTGTGGAGGTGGGCATCTTCTTGGTCCTCGCCTACCTCACCGCCTGGGTGCTCACCGCCGTCATGTTCGCGCGGATTCACAAGTTTAAGATTCCCGGCCCCTTCTCGGCCCTGCCGATTGTCGGCGGCGTGATAACCATGATCAAGGACCCCTACGAGTTCTGGGAGCGCCAGCGTCAGTACGACCCCCACGGTTACAGCTGGCTGGCCATCCTGAACCAGTTTGTCGTCTTCGTCACCCGCGCCGACCTCTGCCACAAGATCTTTGCCACGAACAGCGATGACACCCTGACGCTGCAGCTGCACCCCAACGGCAAGGTGATTCTGGGTGACAACAACATCGCCTTCCAGAGCGGCCCCGGCCATAAGGCGCTGCGCTCGACCTTCATGAACCTCTTCACCACCAAGGCCCTCTCTCTCTACCTGCCGATCCAGGAGCGCCTGATCCACGAGCACCTGGCCCGGTGGGTGAAGGACTACCCGTGGGGCGGCGAGCCGCATGAGATGCGCATGAAGATCCGTGAGATGAACTGCGAGACCTCCCAGACCGTCTTCCTCGGCGAGCACCTGCACAACCGCGACGAGTTCACGTACAACTACAACATCATCACCCACGGCTTCCTCTCCGCGCCGCTGTACTTCCCCGGCACGGCCCTCTACAAGTCCGTGCAGGCCCGTAAGTTGGCCATGGTGGAGCTGCAGGCCGCCGTGCGTCGCAGCAAGGCCCGCATGTCGAAGCCGGACGCGGAGGCGCACTGCCTGCTGGACTTCTGGACGGCGACGGTGCTGGAGAAGGTGAAGGAGGCGGAGGAGGAGGGCGGCGAGGCACCGGCCTACTCGACGGACCACGCCATGGCTGACACGATGCTCGACTTCCTCTTCGCCTCACAGGACGCGTCGACTGCCAGTCTGACGATGATCACGACGACGATGGCGGACCGGCCGGAGATCCTCGAGCGCGTGCGCAAGGAGCAGACCCGCCTGCGCCCCAACAACGAGCCGCTCACCTACGACCTTGTGCAGGAGATGGCCTTCACGCGTCAGTGCGTGATGGAGCAGCTGCGCATCTTCCCGCCGGCGCCGATGGTGCCGATGAAGGCGCACAGCGACTTCCAGCTGGACGACAAGACGGTGGTGCCGAAGGGGAGCATGATCATCCCGTCGCTGGTGGCGTGCTGCCGCGAGGGCTTCTCGAACCCCGAGCAGTACGACCCCGACCGCATGGGCCCCGAGCGCCAGGAGGACCGCAAGTTCGCGAAGCAGTTCATCCCGTTCGGTGTCGGCCCGCACCGCTGTGTCGGCTACAACTACGCCATCAACCACCTCACGGTGTTCCTCGCCCTCATCGCGCACCACGTCGAGTGGCAGCGCACGCGCACCCCTGACTCCGACAAGGTCGTCTACCTCCCCACGCTCTACCCGTACGACTGCCTGCTGACGTGGCGCTACCGCAAGGGTATGGAGCCGAAGGAAAAGGCGGTGAAAGCCGAGTAAGATACTCGCGCACATGCCCACGCAGAGAAGTATCCCTTCCCATAGAGCGACGCCAGTACTCACGGTGCGGTAGTAAATAAAACAAAAAGAAGAGCCTTTTGTTTCCTTCTCCGTCTTGATCATTGCGGCGGAAGCAGACGCATAGCAGAGTGCGCGATGCCCTCCGTCTCCCCAGCACCTGCCCTCGCTGTGGGCTGGGGGGAGGGGGGCTTCAATTCCCTCCATTGAACAAAGTTGGAGACGCCGCCTGATACCGGCCCCGCTCCTTCTTCCTTCCGCTCTCTTTTGCAAGGAAGAAGAACCGCCGCCACCACAAAAGAAAATGAATTCGACGTGTCACCGCGCAGGTGCGACAGGAGAAAAGAAAATATTCGTTTTGGTTGGTTTTAAAGAGAAAAAGTCTTTATTATTTTTCCAAAGTAACGTGAACGGAGTGAAATGCTCCTCGCCTTTTTCATTTCAGCAAATTGCATCACGAAGAAAAGGACCGTATTGTTGTTTTTGAGCATATTTGCCTTCTAACTTACGAAAACCGACCAGGAGAGGAGAAGTTAAATGAGACGGAACAGTTTTCTGGCTGCGGTTTGTTGAGGCTTGCCGGCTTGCAGGGGCGATTATACACAGGTAAGCAAGCTCTGCGGTTTGTCTTTGTTTTCCTTCTCTTCCTTGGATGCCTCTGCGTGTCGTCTGGAGGACCCGTCAGCCATCACCGGCGGTTTTCACCCTTATATATCCTTAGCACCAAAAAACACCCAAAAAAATAAACGCACGGAGGCAAAGAAGAGCAGACCGACTTTTTGTTATCGACGTAGCTGCACCGTCTCACTTCCTCAGTCAGCAATAACACTTTGACCGGAATTACTTGGAGTGGTCCGAGCGTCCGTTTGCTGTCGAAGGCCCAAGTGAAGAACGGTGCCACCACGTGCCTGCTTTTCTTTTTCTTTTCTAACATCTGCATTTTTCGTCGAAAGACTGAACCCACAAAAATAAGGGTGAGAAACAGATGGGAGAAAGCCCCTTCTCTGCGATAGTGCTTGTCACGCACTCCAGCGGGTGCGCGTGCTTTAATGCACTGTGAAATAAACAAAAACAACCGCTCCTGTATGCCACTATTAAAGGAGAGTGAAAGAGAATACTACCGGAGGCTGTCATCCACGCCTCTCACTGTCGGCAACGCCTTTGTTTTTCCCCTCAAAATTATATATATATATTTGCGCACTTAGGGAAAGTGTAGAAATGTGTATTGATTTCCTTCGATGTCTTTTTTTTTTTGTGTTCCTGTATTCGCATTTCCGTTTGAGGCTGTGGCTCGTGTGTTGATGTCGCCACCGCGTGCAGATAAAACTGTTAAAGATAAGAGAGAAAGTTGCTTTGTGATGTTTTTTTGTTTTTCTTCCGTCTGTGCTTTCAAAGCTTGTTTGACACGTGACTTCCGGTAGTATTCCAAGTGAAAAGAGAAATGATAGGAAAGAAAGGAGAGGACAGGACGAGGGTGTCGGCTCACGTTGCATGCCTTTTTGGTTGGGATTGGTGCTTCGTGATACCGTTGCAGTTTCAAGCTCAGTAGGGACGGGACGAGAGGTGAGAGAGCGGGAAGACTCACAGTGCATCGTCGTCTTCTATACCCCTTGTTGCCCTCGCTTTTTTTTTTCTGCTTTCACCGCAGTTTTCAGCCTTACAAAGCGGATGTCCCCGTGCTTCTTTCGTTGTGTTGGTCTCGCTGCGTTTTGTTGTTCTTCGTTCCGGCGTGCGGCAACGGCCTCGCTTCCCTGCGGGGCTTTTGATCCTCCTCGCGATTCAGCTGCCAACGTTCGTGCGTAATCGCGTTGCCGCACAAGCGTCTCCACATGACACCACTACTATCTTTTTTTTTGATTCTCACTGCTCCTCTTCGTCTTTCGTTTGCTCACCTTTGCTAAACCAACAACACAGAGAAAAAACAACAACACGAGTGCTTGCTGGTTTGTTTGGTGTGTGTGCGTGCCAGTAAGTCATAAGCTTGTCGTACGCAAAAGGTTAGTTTCATAGTCGTGGTGTGCATCAGCGGATTTTCTGCTCGTTTTCGCTGAACGGACGTTCACAGGACTCCTGCCGTGGTCGTTCTGTGGTGGTTCCGTCAATCAAGATAATCACTGCCACTGTTACTCAAGAAATCGAACTTGGGTCTGGAATGACGGAGCAGGAAGCGTTGAGCGCGGCTGGCGTGGCCCCTGCGGAGCCCATGGACTCACAGCTTTACTACGTGCGCTACTACTCGGGACACACCGGCCGGTACGGTAACGAGTTTTTAGAGTTCGAAATCACCGACAACGGCACGCTCAAGTACGTGAACAACAGCAACTATAGAAACGAGTTCATCATCAAGAAGCAGGCGCGGGTTTCCCCTGCGGTCATTGATGAGCTGAAGAAGCTCGTTGTGCAGTACGGCGTGTGCGAGAGCGACGATGAGAAGTGGCCGACTCCGGATCGCAATGGGCGACAGGAGCTGGAGATCCACTTTGGCAACACGCACATCTCCCTCGTCACGAACAAGCTGACTTCCATCGGCGACATCCCGCAGAGCGCGGAGAGCGAAGGCTTAAAGAACTTCTACAACTTTGTCCGCGACGCGAAGGCGCTTATTTTTGCCCTCGTTTCGATCCACTTTAAGATCAAGCCGATCTAGGTGAGACTCCCGCTCTGCTGGGATATGAAAAGGCTTCCCAGTTGCACTATAATACGTTCACTTGTGTGGTAACGAGCGCTAAAGAGCGAGAGAGAAAAGTGTGAGAGACAAGACACTGCGTACACCAAGAAGTGCGGCGATGTGATTGCGTGGAGATGACTCCGTGTACGAAGCGAAGGTGACCCACCCACAGAGGCTGCGGTGACGCTCGGATTGAGCACGCAACGTGGTGAGGAATTCGCTGCACGCTGCGTTGCACACGATGCTCTCGCTGTCCATCAAGGTGTTCTGGCAGCACGCATGATATCTGGAATTTTTGGGATGGCTCTACCTCCCTCGTCTTCTCTTCATTTGCAGAGAGATGTGAGTTCCTCCCCTCCTCTTCTTTCCTCTTCCTTAGCCTGCGTATGGATCCCTTCACACTGCTTCGTCTCTTCTGCTTCACCTTTATCTCTATTCCCCTCCCCCCCCCCCCGCCTCGTGTTTGCTGGTGGTGCGTAGTGTGCTATGACAGTTACATGGAGCAGCGACACTTTATCTACCGAAATTTGTTAAATAACTAAACTTCCTTTACAGGCACAAAAGTAGCAGCCGTGATCGTTCACGCAAAACACAAAAGACCAGCAACAAAAAAAGACAGTAGCAAGAATCAGTATATAATGAAAAGGGACGCTCGGGCAGATAAGCAAAGGTAAACGTGCAAGTCGACCGTTGTTTTTCTTTAACCGTGTGTATGGTGTTCCTTTGTGTTCTCTCCCTCTCGTTCCTTTGTACCGAGTGTACCTATCATACTTAGTATTCCCTTCTTTTATTGTTTTAACTTCCTGACAACATCCCTACTGACGGTGTTGGCTTCTACCGCTTTGTCTCTTCGGTGTTTTTTCATCGTTTGAGGCGTACTGTACTGCAACTTAACCGAAAAAAGAGACAACGTTTTGCGAATATCTCCAAATAGCGTTGACAAGGGAAACTGTTCACCTTTTGTTTTGCTGTGTGACCTTCTGCGACGGCACCGGCAGCAGCGTGAACCATGTCCTTCTCCGTAAAAGGCGGGAGCTTTTCCTCCTCCCACCCCAGCCCAGGCCTGCACCCGTACGTGTCGCCTTCGCTGCTGCCGCAACAGCATGGCCAACAGGCGCCGCCGTCCTTCTCGCTGGGCGATGAGCAATACATTGGTGTGCCGAAGCGCATCGGGGTGGACCCCACCAAGTACAAAACAACAATTTGCCGCAACTGGGAGCAGACGGGTGCGTGCAACTTTCGTGGCTGCACCTTCGCGCACGGTGTCGAGGAGCTGCGGGCCCCGCTGCGGCCCGACGGACACACACCGATTCTCCGACCGCAGCACATTTCGCCCGGCGGCACCCCTCCGCTGCGCGCGGCCCAGCCGCCCCCACCGCCGCCCTCGGGTGGGCACTACACACTGGAACAGCTGCTCGACATGCTCTACAAGGAGGTGCTCCACCAACGCGAGCTCGTCACGGTGCATGTGGAGGCGAACACGACGCTCGAAGGGATGCTGCGCCGGGAGCACGCCCATCACGAGGAGGCGCGGCGGCAGCTCAGCGAACGCACACAGCAGTGCGACTTACTCGCGCGTGAGTTGCTGGCGCGCAATCTGCAGCTGCGCAAGGCTGCGGACACATCGCCTGAAATTAAAGCGCTGCTCGATCAGTGGGAGACGCAACTCGCCAGCTTCACCGAAATAGATGTGCGGAAGGACGATCTGCTCTTCACCACCACGGCAACGTCGTCCACAGACGACGGCGAGGACGCCGGCAAGGAGTACGAGAACGCTCGCATAGAAGAGCTACTTCGCGCTCTCCAGCGTTGAGAAGAACCTAAAGCGAAGACGTGCTTTCTTCTTTGATCGGCTGTTTCCTCTGCTCTCTCTTGGCCGCGAGGCGACCACACAAGCGGGAGACATTGAAGTCCTCCTTCTTTTAAGTTTCTTTTGCTTTCTACCCCTTTTATCTGTCTCTCCGAAGGATGTTCACTCTTTTCTTTTCCACTTCCACTTTCTCTTGTATGGTTGACATCTGATAGGTGCACGGGGACTGTGGGAAAGGCTGCCACACGTGGACACAATGACGGCCCTTTCCGGTTTGAACCGGCGCTGCATGGCAGGCGATGGAGTTCTGTTCCGTCGAGGAGAAGAGAGGGGGAAAGAATCTGACCGAGAAAAGCGCATCCGTTACGTTGGCGCTACTCCCAACACATAGAAGGGCAACAAGGCGGATGGTTGTGGCGACGCTCTTCTCTTTCGTTTTTCTCACCGCTCGCTCCGGACACAGGTGCCACGTTGTAAGTGACGCATGGCGACTGTGCCTTATTTCTCGTTGGTGCTTTCTGTATATATCTATATCTAGATGCGTGTTTGGTGCGAGTGTTTGATGCGGTGCCTCTTTCTCTCTCCCGCGCCCTCTCTCTCTTTCTATCTGTGTCGAGTGTGAAATGCGGAGTGTGTGTGTGTGTGTGTGCAGCGGCAGTTTTGGACGCCCGCAAAACTCTTCTCCGCTTCTCGTTTTTTATATTTTGGTACTGAGCAGTGGTTTCACCATACAACAGACACATTTCGTGCCCCGATGGCTTGGTTTTATGATGATTCGTCAAAAAAACACCGTTGCTTCCTATGCCACAAGGAAACGCGGTAGTAGAGCTTGCCTAAGTTTGTGTGTGTACGTGTGTTGATTGACCTGCGCGGGGAGCTCCCTTGCCGTGTTCGGCCTACGTCTTGTTGCTGAGACGCGTACATGCCAGTGCGACTGGCGCGTGCGCAGAGTACTGAAACATTTTTGTTTCGTTTTTTGTTTATAATTATTATTTCCTCTTGTTCTTTTCCCTCTGTCAAAGCTGGAAGGATGAATGGCGATTCGATGTCCGTTACTTACACAAGAAAGTATCATTTAATTAAAGGGCACAAGGAGGATACATGGATGGATTTGAGGACCAATCTCTTCTCTTTCCGCCCTTCGGCATTTCACGGTGAGTGACGACTGCAGTTTTTCATCGCTGCGTGTGCGCTGTGCGGCTCGCGGCAATTGACACGCATTAAAACCGCATTGAGTGCGTATGTGTGTGGGCAAGTGATTCGATGGAGACGTGGTGTCGAGCTGATGACGCTCGCCCCGTTTCCCTTTTGCATCGACTGCCGTGACGACTCACTTTTTGTGACTCGTTGGCCCTCTTCAACTCCTGCTCTTGCGCGTGCTTTCACAATTCTGACTCTTCCGTTTTCACGCAAGCCCAACGAAGCAGTTTTCGGCTTAAACCCTTTTCCACAGTTGTAGATAGAGGGTTGTAAAACAGTAGTGTTAATAGTTTTTTTCTCTATTCTATTTAGCAGGTACTGTTTTGTTTTTTAAAGGGTAGACGTGATTGTTTTCTCCATCGCACACGAATTCCGCCAAGGGGTTCATCTTCTCCAGTTTCTTCTTGTTTTCGGCGTTCTAGATTAGAACTCGTTGTGCGCGCTTGCGTTGCTGCCTTCGTTGTGTCCGTCGCATCGTGCGGGACAACGCCCTCTCCCCACGCCGCTCACACATTTCCGTTTCATCTCCTTTTGCTTTCGATCTTTGAATCTTTTTTATTTGTTTTTTCCTCCTCTCTCTCTCTCTCTCTCTTCCTTTGGAGGGCGCGTGCGTGTGTCTGCGGAATTCTCAACTTTAGCTGCCGTCACGATGGGCAAAACAAAGAAGCACGGGAAGCCGTCCAAGCCGACCTCCAAGAAGCCCAACAAGAATGATAAAAACAAGAGGAGGGCAAAATTCGTAGACCCGACCAGCAGCGTCAGTCGTGACGTACGCGAGAGCGTTGCGGCGCTGGTCGAGGAAATCGAGCGCGGTGAGCCCGTGGAGGAGGAGAAAAGGCACTCGATCGACAAGGCCGAGAGGAAGCGTCTGGAGCTGGCGGAGAAGGAAGGCATCTCCGTCAAGAGCGGCATGACGAAGAAGCAGGCAACCAAAATCGCAAACCGTCTCAAGGCGCAGCAGAGCGCCACCCACAACAGCGAAGGCGACCACGACGAGGAGAGCGACGAGGACGACGGCAACGGCACGGAGGAGGACTACAGCGATACCGCCAACGAACCCGCACGAGAGTACCGCAAAGGCGGCTACCACCACGTCGTGGTGGGCGAGATCTACAACAACCGCTACCGCATTGTCAAGAAGCTCGGCTGGGGTTACTTCTCCACCGTCTGGCTCGTGTGGGACTACGACAAGGAGCGCTACCAGGCAATGAAGATTCAAAAATCGGCGGCTAACTACAGCGAGGCGGCGTACGACGAGATCAAGTTGCTGACAGAGATTATGGAGGCGGACCCGCACAAGAACCACTGCTGTGCGCGCCTCAATGACTACTTCAAGCACGCTGGCCCGAACGGCACCCACGTGTGTATGGTCTTCGACGTGTACGGCGAGAACCTTCTCTCCTTGATGGAGCGCTACGAGTACCGTGGCATTCCCCTCCCCATCGTCAAGTGTATCGCGCGGCAGGTACTCATCGGGCTCGATCACATCAACACCATCGACATCATCCACACCGATCTGAAGCCTGAGAACGTGCTGCTGTCGACCCCGAAGCACTCCATCATCTCCCTCATGAAGCGCTTTCACCCCCCGCCGCTGCACCAGCGGCCGAAGCTGACGGAGAGGGACCCCAAGACGATGACCAAGTCGCAGCGTCGCCGCTACTACAAGAAACTGGCCAAGGAGGAACGGAAGACCCTCCTCGGCGAGGACCACAACGGTACCAACGACAGCGACGGTGATGACAGTAGCAGCGCCAACGGCGAGGTGGACTCGGAGGGCAGCAAGACGGACCCCGAGTGGGAGGTGGAGCGCTTTCACCACGTCATACTCGCCGACTTTGGCAATAGCTGCTGGACGTACAAGCAGTTCACGGACGAGGTGCAGACACGTCAGTACCGCTGTCCCGAGGTCATTTTGGGTGAGCCGTACTCCACACCGATTGACATCTGGTCGTGCGCGTGCATGCTGTTCGAGCTCATTACCGGCCAGTTTCTCTTCGACCCGAAGAAGGGCGATGACTACTCGCGGGATGAGGACCATCTCGCCCTCATGTCAGAGCTGCTCGGCGATCTGCCGGAGAGCATGCGTCTCGGCTCCGGCAAGTACCGTAGCTCCTACTACAACTCCAAGGGGGAGCTGCGTAACATCAAGGACCTGCAATACTGGAACTTGGAGGATGTGCTGCATCAGCGACACAAGTTCACCCGCAAAAAGGCGAAGGAGATTGCGGAGTTTCTGTTGCCCATGCTGGAATACTCTCCGGAGACGCGCGCCACGCCCGCTGCCATGCTGCGCGACCACGACGCCTTCTTCGACATCGAGGACGACGACTACGCACCGCTCTGCTTCGTCGACGAGGGCAGCGGGGACGAGGATGAAGAGGACGAGGACGAGGACGCCGACGCCGACAGCGAAGACTCAGCGGACTCCTACTCTTCTGCGTCCTCGAGCGAGCGGAAGCTGAGCCGCTCCCGGCAGGCCGACAACGACGCTGATAGAACGGAAACCTTCCGCTACTGGGAGGAGCACCCTATCTTAAATCGGTCGTATCTGGAGGAGCGGGGGCTGACGATTGGCGACATTCAGACAGTGCTGGCAGGCAACCTGCTAGAGAGTCGCGCGGCGCAGGAGGCGGCAGCGGAGGTCATTCGCCTCCTGTCGGAAGAGACGGATCGTCTCTCGACTGACCGCGGCAGCGACGGCCACGAGGCGGACAAGGAGGACGAGGGGGAGGGCAGCGACGACTACGAAGATGACAGCGACGACGCGCCTTCGCCAATTGCTGACGGCATCGCGAACGCTCATCACGACGGTGGTGATGTTGGTTGTGACAAAAAGGGTACCGTGGACGAGGAGAGCGACGCGGAGAGCGATGAGGAGAGCGATGAGGAGGGCGATGAGGAGGGCGATGAGGACGCACCACTGAGGAAGAATAATAATAAATAATTGTGGAACAAGAAGGACGTGGACCCAACGCTCTCTCGCCAGACAGGATCCTCGGCACACAAACATTGGACCGTTGTGTCAGGCACGACTGATGCTGGGCGGCGACCCAATCAATTATCGTGGTGCTCTCTTTGCTCTTCTTTCTTGTGTTCAACTTCTCGCTCGTTGGAGAGTGGTTGGAGAACGAAGAAGAGCATCGAGAACATATTGTGTTTGCCATCGTTTTTTGTTTTATAGATAACTGCTGTGATTTTTCTTCTTCTTTATCTTGGAAGGGTTGATGGTGCTTTCCAGTTGGTGCGCCTTTCGAGTTGCCCACTTGCCGTTGGGCTCAGATCTACGTTTCACTGCGTGGTATCCGTATGTTTAATAAACGTTTCTGCATCGACAACACCGGTGGTTGAGTCCCTCTCTGGTTCAAGCAGCCGAAAGAAGGGAAATTGAACGACAGGAGAGCATCGATGGAAAAAGTTGCGTTTGCGCTTCTTTGATATGTCCTTCTCCCCTCCTTTCATCAAAAGCCGCGTGCTTCACAGCGCACGACACCGTAGTGCAGTCTCCTCTTTCACGTGTAACGGACACTTCTCTCCCTTCTCTTCCACGCCTCTCCAACGCAACTGTTTTTCTCTTTCCTTTTGCCACTTCCCTCGCGTTCCTTAACACGCACATACAAACAACTCCATTCGAAACGCTTGCGCCCCCCCCCCCCACACACACACACACACACACGCTCGTCTTCAAAAACAACGACACTAACAATTTCATCAATAGGTAACCAGAATGTCCAAGAAGCAGGAAGTCAAGGTCTACGGCCCGAACGTGCCGAAGGACGAGCTCGTGTACGGCGTCGTGCACATCTTCGCCTCCTTCAATGACACCTTCGTCCACGTGACGGACACGTCGGGCCGCGAAACGTACGTGAAGGTCACCGGCGGCATGAAGGTGAAGGCGGACCGCGATGAGTCGTCGCCCTACGCCGCCATGATGGCTGCCCAGGACGTGGTGGCCCGCTGCAAGGAGTGCGGCATCACTGCCCTGCACGTCAAGATGCGCGCCGTCGGCGGTGTGCGCACCAAGTCCCCTGGCCCCGGCGCGCAGGCCGCCCTCCGCGCCCTCGCCCGTGCTGGCATGAAGATCGGCCGCATCGAGGATGTCACCCCGATCCCGACCGACTCCACCCGCCGCAAGGGCTCCCGCCGCGGTCGCCGTCTGTAAGCTCTGCTGGCGCGGCAGACCACTGGAACTCTGGTCTTTCTTTTCTTATTATTTATTGATTTCATGCTCGAATTTTACCAACCAAAAAGATGGAGGAGCGGCGACAAATTTCTTTTGTCCCCCAGCCGTGCCGTGCTTTTCTGCCTCAGAGTGCGTCATCACACCTTTTGAGCGGTGCAGACGTGGAAGAGAAAGAAGGCGGCGTCGTCTGCGCGGCGGGTGCCTCTGTACGCTGGATCAGTTCCCAAGCGCTGCCGCGTTGCTTCTTCTCAGTCTGCTTCTCTGTCAAGTGTGTGCATCGGCTCGCAGGCGGCTGGTGCAGAGCTTCGTTTCGCAAAGCGAAAGGAAAAGAACACGATCCTGTCATCAGCTGCGCAACGCCTTGCATGTGCCGTTGGCTGCTCTGCAAGTGCTCGCCACTCGTGCTTTCTTCATTCTTTCCCGCCCTCTCCGCCCACTTTATTCTTCTTCAATGAATTAAACGAAAAACAATATGCTCTTCTTTTGTTTTCCTCTGCCGTGTTCACCACAAATTGACACAACCGTACGTGGTTCAACGGAAACGCGAGGAGCGCATTTGTTTTGGTTTTTCTTCTCGTGACGTTGTGATTCACGCACGCACCCACGCTTCGTTGCACTGAGCTGAATTGTGCCTGTCTTTGGCTGCCCCCCTCCTTTTTTTCTCTTTCTGCCGTATCACACGCCTTATTATTCGCTTATCGCAGGAGAGAATGTTTCGTTTCTGCTCTCGTCGCTTGGTAGCCCGCACGCTGCCGCTGCTCGCCTTTCAGCACGACCTGCCCGAGGCATTTGAGTTCATCGAGAACAAGGTCGTCGACAAGGACATCCACGCTCCTTACGAGAACATGGAGACGCTGCGCCTGACGGTGACGCGCCAGGACGAGTTCATCTTCAGGGAGACACCAGTGAAGTGTGTCACGATCACCGGCGTGAACGGCGAGAACGGCGTCTACCCGGGCCACGCCTACGAGATCATGCAGCTGGCGCCGGCACCGCTGGCGATTGAGATGCCCGACGGGACCGTCAAGAAGTATTTCACGAGCGGCGGCTTTGCGCACATCAACAACGAGGGCTCCTGCGACATTAACTGTGTAGAATGCATTCCTTTCGCTGACCTCGATGTGGAGGCGGCCGAGAAGGCGCTGGCACAGCAGAACGCTGCACTGAGCAGCGCCAAGGACGACAAGGCCAAGGCGCTGGTGGAGGTTCGTATTGGCGTGTTGGAGGCTGTGATCCGTGCCCTGAAGCACATGTAAGATGGCTGGCTGTGATGGTGTTCTTATCGGGTCTTCGCTCCTCCGCGCACGATCTCCCTCAGCAGCCACGCGGGGTGCGGCCCGTCGTGTTGCTCGCTCGACGAGTGGAGCCTCCCACGCACCTGCCCTCACGCTCTTCCCGTAGCGGACCGCGCACGGAGACGCGGACAGCACCGCTGTTCAGATTTCGTTTGTTGTGAAGTTAAACGGTCAGCAGCTGTGCGTGGTGCCCCGCAGCGAAGAACCAACAGTTGACCTTTTAGCCACTAGGGAGTTTTTCATAAATCACCGTAGTATAGGAAAACAGCACGATATTAAAGATAACGAATACGCCAAAAGAACTGCGCTGGCCCTCTCGAGGTGTATTCGGCGCAAATTGTGCGATGCCTTTGCAGCGCTTCGCCTTTTCCGCCTTTGGCTTTGTGTTTGGGAGGACAGCAAGAAAGGCTACCGTCCCCCCATGCAAGGTGGTACGTTGTAGGCAAAAGCGATAACGACGTGGTGTCTTGACGAAAGATAGAAACTTAACGATCTTCGTCATGTGGTTCTTTTCATCCTCCTCGATTTACGCCGCGACGCCTCATGAAGACTTGCTTTCTTTGCTTCCATGTTCTTTCGTTTCGACATTTAATAGGGGTGGCGACAGCGGCTGCCGGCGTCGTCCCCCTGGACTATTCCACTCTTGCTCTTCTTTCCCTTCTTTTTCCCTTTTCTGAGAACGTTTAGTTCCACCTCGCGCACCCACGGACGAGCGGGCCGAAAGAAGCTGGCAGCCATTGGCGCTTTCACAAATGTCAGAGCAACCGATCTCCATCCACTACCAGCAGATGGAGGAGTGGCTGGAGGATCGCAAGTCTGTGTTCTCGCGCAAGCACAAAAAGCAGTACGCAGACCTGCTAGCTTTGGCTCCGCGGCTGGTGCAGATGGCCCAGTACGACATCCCCGCCTTGGAGAAGCAAATCAAAAAGAACGAAACCGCCGTGGAGGAGTGCCACCGCGTGGGTGAGGAGGCGGCGAAGACGCAACAGAAGCTGCGTGATAAGCGAACTGCGATGTTGCTTGAGTACGGAATTGAAGTGGAGGCGTCTGGCGAGAGCGGCGTCATCGATGCGGTAAATCAACGTATCGGTGCGGCGTGTGTGAAGCTGAACACCGCGTTTCGAGAGTACATCCAGGCCCAGGCCGGCTCCCTCAAAGCGTCCTACAACGCGCACCTCGACAGAACGGCGGCCGGCTTCTTTGGCGCCGACGCCTTTGCGCTGCATTTCCCATGGCTGCAGCGCGCTGTAGAGGAGGCGGAACTGCCGCTGCCCCACAGCACTGCGCCCGATCAGGCAGACGACTACGCAGCGGCTGCAGGGCCGCAGATTGACTGGGGCGACGACGACGATGTGTTCGCGGAGAGGGAGACAGGGGTGGGAGCTGCCGCTGCCTCCGCCGCCGCCGTGGAAATTAACTGGGATGCGGTCGAGATGGAGGCCCGCCCGGAGGAGAACGAGGGACTTCCGCCCAGTGACGGTAAGCACTTCTCTATCGATCTTTCGCTTGCAAAGCACCGTGTGAGCATCTTGGCAGAGCTGCAAGCCGCTGCGTGCTTTTGCCGAGAGCGGAACGCCATTCAGCACGTCGGCGCGAGTGGTCCGACTGAGGAGGTGTATGCGCTGCTCTCCGATTCCCGAGAAGCTGAGTTTGCGCGAATGAAGGAGAACTTTCGCAGCAAGGACGCTTTCATTGACCGCGTTGACCGTTTTGAGCAGCAGATGATGGTGGCGAAGAACCGGCACGCCACACACGAGGCCAAAAAGCACGACGCAGAGGTGGAGCTGGCAAGATTGAAGCCGCAGCATGCCGAGTTACTCGCGAAGACAGCCACCACGAGAGACAGCGCGCTAGCCTGTTTGGGGCAGATGTTCCCCGACCGCAGAATCCTCATCGTCGGCGACGTGAACAAGTACATCGCATGATTTCACTGCCGTCGCGTTTTTCGTTCTCTGTTGCGCAACGACGTCCTGCCTCTTCGTTCCTTCACTGCGAGGAGCTCAATCTGCCTTTTATTTTGCTTTGCGAGGCGCTACGATGACAGGAGGTGTGGTGCCACGGCGCCTCTATGGAGTGCTCAGCGGTGGTAGAAGGGACAACTGGGCTGTTTTGGTGAATGAAGTACGTGTCGCTGCTGAGCGCCACCAGCGTTTCCTTTCTTGATGAGACGACGGCAAAAATACGTCAAAGCAATCGTTTTTCGGCGAGGCTGCGGCCTCCGGTGGTTGCGCTGCAACGATCTGTGCTCGCCCCCCTATGCGTTCTTTCGGCTGTGAAAACTACCGTCCTCCTGTGCTTTTATTCGGTGGTAGTAGAGGAATCACACACGGGAAACGAGTAACTACGACAACGACACTACCTTTCAATGACCTGTACTTGTGCCCTCAGGGACTACCTTCTTCCTTCGGCAATGCGCATTCCACTTCATCTCTTCTTCACCTTCCCTCTCTTCTTTGATCTCGACGTACACTCGCCGCTCTCTCCCATTTGATCCCCCGTATGGCGCGTCATACAGAGCTGCATTTCGATTGCAATATCGAGACTCTCTCCCATTATTGTTGTGAAGAACCCTCGCTGACTTCGTGCCTTCGCCGTTCCGCTCCGCTGCGTTGTCGTTTGCTGAGACCCTCTTCCGCCATTCCCACCCCGCTCGCTGGAAGAAGTCTGCTGTCTGATCTCACCAAAAAAGATCACCATAGCACAAGCAATCACGCAGCGAGCGACTAACGCGGAGGCGATGGAGGGATCCAAGAAGTTTGAGGATGCGGCCCTGCGGGGTATCACGCGCCATCATGTGTGGAAGAGCCGGACCAGTGACTTGACGGTGATTAACCTCCGCGACCCTAGCGAGTTGTTGACCACGCAGGAGCCGGCCCCGCCCCTGGCGCTGGCAGCGGCGGCGGCAGCAACGGTGGCGGCCGAAGTGAAGCGGCAGGCCGCCCCGTCCTCGACGCCCCAGCAGCCGCGGCCTACGACAGGAAAGCAAGAAAGTTTGAGCGCGCTCCTGTCGAAGCTGCAGCTGGGCCGCCCAGCCACGGAGGCCGTGACCCATCCCAAGGCAGCGCACATGGCGACCCCTGCGGCCGCCCCCGCGGCATCGTCCGCGTCCCCTTCTGCGCCGTCTTCGCAGCCACTCGCACCCGCCGTGGCGTCGCTGGTCATGTCGTCGGCCGCCGCGGCCGCATCGCCCGCCTTGTCGTCTCTGTCGGCTGCCCCACCGGTGCACGTCGTGGAGACGCATCACCCGACCTTTCCTGACCTGAAGGAGTCATCGTCGCCCGCGGTGGGCCAATTTGAGTTCATCACCGGAACGAACATCCCCGGCCAGGGCGTCGTGAAGAAGACGGAGGGCCTGAACGAGGTGTCCAGCATGGCACTCTTCCACGACCCACTGTGGGGAGGGTCTTCCCTGCTGGATGGCTTCGGAGCCGCCCCGCCGCCGGTGAAGAGGTCGCCGAAGCCGCCGTCCCGCACCGCGCTATCGGGGCTGTACGTCACGGCCGCGGCCACCACCGGTACCACCGCTAACATCAGCATGAACAACACGGGCACGTCCACTGCACACCTCTTCAACACGACGCCGCCGGCTGCCGTACACACGCCGGTGGCCTCGCCACCCGTGCCGACGATGGCGCCGCAGCCCATGCAGATGATGGGCGGATTGGTTTCTGCCCCCCCGCTGGCCACCTCCTACCCGATGTACACGATGCCGCTGCAGTACGTGGCTCAGCCACAGTTTCCAGGCAGTGTCATGTACAACTCGGCCGCGTTTTTCCCCTACGGTGCCACGGCGATGATGATGCCGCAGCCGCAGCACGTGCAGCAGGGCTATCCCGTGGCCCCGGCAGCCGTGATGCGGCCCGGGACGAACATCAAGGCGATGCCCTTTGTGCCCGGAAGCACGATGTAATGATGCGGAGAGCGTGCCTATGCATGCGAGTGTAGATGGGTGTGCCACTGAACGATTTTTTGCCGCCTCGTCTTAGCAACGACGCAGATAGAAACGCTGGAAGTTTTTTTTTGGCTTTTCCTGGCCACGAAGCGGTGTTCTCGGGGAAACATGCAAAACCAAAAACTTGCCGCGGCGTCTGTGTATCTATTTGCCTTGCGGTGCTAATAAAGGTGTGCGGGTGCGAGATTTGTGAAGTTTGTGAAGTGTTTGCAGCTCTGATTATCTCGCTTCGTCTGCTTACGCTTTAAACTTCATGAAGGTATAATTCTTTTTCTCTCTTTGTCTTCTGGCCATCGCCTTGTTATCTTCGTTTCCCTTGTTTCTTTTATCCCGTTTAGCCGTTTCGCTTCTCTTCTTATTTTATTATTCTTCATGCTCTTTTTTGATTTCCGTCAACGACTTGTCGGTGTGCAGCTGTGGCCTTACTTAAGATTGAGAAGTTTTAATAGTGTGATTTTTCCTCCCCACACCTGTGATCGTTTGACTGACGTACCACTTTCACGTGATGGCAGGAATAGAAGGCTGATTCGGAGCGGGGCAGTCGCAAGCACCTGCTCGTCCGCGCACGTCTGCTCTGGAATGTGTGTGTGTGAAGCTGCATGTGTATGTGACAAGTTACAAGGGTGAGGCCTCTTTTCTTGTTTCTTCTCTCGTTTTCTTCCGTTTTCAGTCTGTTTTTTTTTCTCTTCTTTTCACTGCATCAAGGATACAAAAGGCACTATTTATTGCTGCAGTAAGGTTGGAACCGCTGAAAGTGACACGGTGACGTTTTCTTCATGCACAGGATCCAGTTTAGTGGAGGATGCTGCAAACGAGCTAAGGTTATCTTCCAGTTGCTTTGTTACGTTCTTTTCCTTCTCTCCCACGAAAAAGAAAAGAAAAGAAAATAAAAGGTTTTCTCCACACCCACGCGGAAGAAATCGGCATCGAATGTGAAGGGCTGTCTCTGCTTCAACTCGGGGTGGTCTCAACAAATTCTAAATGCCGAAAAGTCTTGTGTCCCTTCATTTTTTTTTCTTCTCTGTAGCTTTTCTCTGATTTCCTTTTCAAGCTGTTCATGTTAAGTCAAACTCACCAACCGCAAACAAAAAAGACCTGGAGCTGGTACAGCACACACGGTCAAAAATGTGAAGATGATGCGTCTCTTGCGAAGACAATTACTCTGTGTAGTAGTTGAGTCGTCAAACACTGACATGCTTCACTTCAAGCTGACTCAACGGAGAAGGCTGAGGGCAGGATGTTGGACGACATCTTGAGACTTTTGAGGTGCACTTTTTTTTGTGAAGTAAAATAAAACGTCGACCGTAATGCGGCTTTGCGGGGCTTAAAACTGCCGTAATTTTCGCAGAGCACTCCACGCACAACCGTTGCGAGGCGGCACCATCTTTGCTTTTCCCTCTCCTCTTTCTTGTAACCACGCGATCTTTTCTCTCCCCCACCCCTACACGTATTAAAAACACCAAACGATGCCTTTTTCTTTTCGTCATGTTCAGAGTTCTTAATTTTTTTTTTTAAAGAAATCAGGATCTTCAGTGACGACAGATTTTGGCTCAATCATCGTTGAACACCAAAACATAAAGATTCTTAATCAGCCGCAGAAACGGCGGAAATAAACCCTTTGTCAGAAAAGGAAGAAGATAACGGGGTACACAAGTAGCAATCTAATCATGTCGTCGCGTGCTCGTGCATCCAAGACTCCGGCGCAGGCGCGCTTGGCCGAGGTTGTGGCGTCCTACGTCCAGCACCTCATTCACCTCCAGGCCAACTACGCGGAGTCAGTGCTGGACGGGAACGTGTTCCCGCCACCGAACGACAAATTCGCTTCTCACGACTTCTTTTGTGCGACTCACACGCCGCCCATTTCAGTTGAGAAGTACACGGATCGACTGGTGACGTACATGCAGTGCTCCCCCGAGGTGTTCATGTTCGCCCTGGCCTACCTGCGCCGTTTGGTGCTTAACGGCTTTCCGCTGCATTCTCGCTCTATCCATCGACTCCTCCTCACGTCCGTGCTTGTGGCCCTAAAGTGTCGCGATGACGTGTACTACCACATGAGCTTCTACGCGGAGGTGGGTGGAGTGACCCCGAAGGATCTGTGCATTATGGAGATCCGCTTCCTTTCAGACCTGATCCACTTCCAAGGCGAGGTATCCGTTGCTGAATACCAAACAGTAATGAACGGCATCACACGCGCGACGCAGCGCCGCTTGACGAAGAGCAGCAGCAACGATTCTGAGCTGAGCAGCCAGGGTGGCCTGTCCGCTGGCACGTCCACCACGTCTACTCCGGGTGATGTAGCAACCCTGAACGATAGCGACGCGGCCTTTGCTCCGTCGTGGACCAGCGAATGTGAGATTTACCCCGGCATCTAGAGAAAAAACGCGGTAGAGGAGACATGGCAAGTTGACATCTCTCCCTTTTTTTTTTTTCGAGTCTTCGAAGTCCATTGAACGAGTCAATTGCGTGTGTCTTACAAATTACATTACGTCCTTTTTTCTTGTTTCGTCATTTCACATATTTTTCGCCTTTTCATGCGCTTTCGCGTGTGCGTGTCGAGGAAATCCGTTGATGCTGCCTTCCATTTTGAATGGAGTTTCCTCTTTTCCTTTTTTTGGGTTTCTCCATGTTTGTCCGAAGAAGCGTAGTCCTTTTTAGAAAAGTCGTCTATGTGTTACCACACGGAGGTGGGCGGAAAGTGCGCCTTTTCTTTCGCAGCAGCCTTTGCGAGACTTCGTAGTATTATTTCCGCACTTCACGTAACGTCTCCCTGTTTCCTTTTAAACCTTTTTTTTCCGCTTTGAGTTACACCCACCGCTGAGCATGACACTCTAATTCGCATTTAGTGTTTTAATTTTCTATTATTCTTGTTCGTCTTGTCTCTCTTGGGTAGAAGTGACAAGTCTTGTTTTTTATTTTGACTACTTAAATAAGAGCCTCTGTTGGGACGCTGATGTTGTTGAGTGTGAAACGTCACCAACGTGTGGGGAGCCATCGCTACCTGACAGAAACACAAATACAGGAGAAACTGAATGGCCGAAAAGTGTGTGTGTGTGCGAGAGAGCAGTATTTGCGCGTCCAACAGTTCGCGCACGAGTTGTGAGATCTAGTGACGCAGCAAGTTTTTCTTTGTCCCCCCCCCCTCACCCCCTTTCTTCACTTTAGCATAAATGACGTGGCACGTCTGCAAACCCAAACCGGATACCGTAATGATGCAAAGAATTCAAAAGCTTTTTTTTCAATTTGTAAGATGAATAACTCATTACTCGGTGGTTTGCACGATCGCCTCAAGAACAATAAGTTTTTTTTTTTGGTAAGACGAGAAGACACGAACAACCACGAACCTCGCCTCTCGTTCTCCGCGGTGGGTATTGACAACTGCTTCTCTATCAATTACTTTCTTTTTGTTACAGGTAGCTTTTATTTACCTTCGAACACCTTTCAAATGGGCTGTTCAGGGCGAGTTGAGCTTGCTTCGGCTTTATTCAGTCTCCTACCTATATTGAGAACTCTCTCTCACCTTATCTATCTATCTATATATTGTTTAATGGTATTATTATTATTATATTCATTAATTTATTATTTATTATTTACTGTATTATTGTATTATTTATTTGTTTTCTTTTTTCCCTTTTCCTTCTCGCGTATGATGGTCTGTTTCTCTTCCGACAATTCAATCACCCCTTCAAACTGCGCGTGCCGGCGGCTGTAGAAACAAGCGCGTTTTCACTCGCTCCTCGAATGCTTCAGGTGTTTGGTGTGGTGGCGGTTTGCGAATTGTTTGAACTTTGACTGTTTTTGTGTTGTGTTTTCTCTTCTTTTTCTTTGCTAGTACGTCTGCGCGTTTCACCGATTCTCAGTTGAAGATGCGACTTGCTTTTCTCTAAAAACTTTTTCTCGCGGTGCTCCTGTTTGTCGTGCTTGTATCCTGCGAACATAAGCTTTTTGTTCGTGTTACTTTATAGCTTAGCTTTAACCCGAGAGACAATAATTCTACTTTGGGCATATGTGCCGCGATTTTTGCTTTCTGTCTTTGTTTTAAACTTACTTTGGCTTCTTGTTGCTCAGCACCACCTCCTTTTTGTTATCGTCTTCACCTTCTTGTTTTTGTTTTCCATGCGAGCCGACAGCGTGAGGAAGAGAGAGCGCACCGCACGTGAATTTCGGAAAGCAGAAAGTCTTTAATCCAAAAGCGCCGCGGTCTGCAGAACTTGAGAAAGGAAAAAAATGTATCAAAACGTGTGTACAAGCAGCAAAGGGTTTTGTGTCTCGCTCTTGTACCTCTCTGCAGCCAACGGTTGCTACGATCATAGTGCGAAAGCAGAAACGGTGTTCTAACAAAGGAAGCAACTATTTATCTCCAGCTTACAAACTATACAAACTGAAGTGCATTCAGACACCTTCATTAATCTAAAAGAGTGTGCGAACTGTTTGTGTTGTATCATTAAAACAATCAAACACACAATACGCTAGTAGTGCCAACAAAATCTAAAAACGACCAAAAGCTATACAACAGCGTGCCAGCTGCCGCGTGCGCCTTCCGAGTCACAGCTGCTCATCAAACAGGACGGAGTAGCGTGCTCTACCTTGGCACGAACAATAGGGCCATTCCATAGGGGATGCGTCACAAGAATAAGATAACACTTCCGTTGCCCTGCTGTTCTGCATATTGCGAACCAAGACATCCTATTGCTGTTTGTTTTCCCTCTCCATGTTTCTGGTCGTTCCTCTTTTGTCGTACTCCAATGCCTTTTCTTTTTGCTGTACACAATCGTGTCCGGTTGCAGGAAGAGTAACAGAAGGGAGTTCGCCACACGTGCAAATTCGCAAAGAGAAAAGTAGAAGCTGAAGGAATCGAGGAGTGCTGGGACTTTTGTCAAAGCAGTCCTCTAAAGTCGTCTGAGGGTGCCGTTTTCTTGTGCCCCTTCCCTTAACGGTTGCGTGACGTACACCGTCGTTCTCTCTGCTCGGCAATGCCCAAAGGGTTCGCCGTGCACTCATTGACGGCCCCGCAGAAGGAAGTCGTCATTGACGAGGCGCTCATTCGCAGCGGTATCACATTCAAACCGTCCTTCACCACGGAGGATGACCGTATTCGTGTAGTGGGCAACCAAGAAAAAGCGTTGCGGGAGAGTAAGGTGCGTAAAGAGGCGGCAAAGATTGATCTTGGTCAGGTCCAGACCCTTCTCTTGTCCTTTCGCCGAATTGAGCGAATTGAGAACTTGAGCAGCCTCCGCTCCCTGACGAAGCTGCACCTCGACAACAATCGTATCCAGCGCATTGAGAACCTCGAGAGCCTGGCGCACCTGCAGTGGTTGGACCTGAGCTACAACGCGATCGAGACGATAGAGGGATTGGCGTCTTTGCAAGAGCTGCAGTGTCTCTCCCTCTATTCGAACAAAATTGCCGCCGTCGATGGTCTTGCGGGCCTGCCAAAGCTCGACACGCTTAGCCTGGGCCGCAACCCCATCGAACACTTGGATGACACAGTGCACTACCTCCATAAACTTCCCCACCTGCAAGTCCTGACGCTGAAGGAGTGCCCCTTAGTCGATCTACCGCACTACCGTTCCCGCGTGGTGGCGTTTGTGCGTAAGCTCAAATTTTTAGACGGTCACCTTATTCAAAAAGAGGAGGCCGCAAGGGCGCGGGAGGACCAGCGAGAGAACTTGCTCACGGTCGACGAGGAGGACGAGGCGCTGGCGACGGCGGCTAAGGCGAGGGCAGAGCAGGAGGCTGTCGCGTCGTCGTACCAGCAGTACAACTGCCCAGATGAGACGTCGCTCTTCGACGAGCTGATGCACCTTGATCCTGAGGGACGGAACATGGAGGCGATTCTGCGCAGCGATGCCGTCTACCCGGTGGCAAAGGAGCCGATGGAGCGCCACCAGAGCGAGTTCAACGAGCAGCTGAAGCAGCTGACGGCGGCGATGAAGGACATCCGCGAGCACCGCGACGCCGACGACCAGGCCTACCACCAGGCGGTGGACCACCTCATCCGCAACGGGGCGGCCAGGTCGCAGGCCTCCCTTCAACAGTTCGAGCATCTCCTAAAGCAGTCGGTGCCGAAAGGGGTGTCCCGGCAACGGCAAAAGCCCGGCAACGCCCTCACACCGCAAACCGTCGAGTCTCTGCAGGCCGCAGCTGAGAAGCTGCGACAGGACCTCTTTGAGCAGGAGGCGACGCTGTACGACGCACTGGAAGTGCTGCACAACTCCACCATCGCGAAGTGGAAGGCCGATGGCGTCGAGGTGGTCCTGCAGAGCGCGTTTGAAGCGCTCTTGCGGCTGGAGGCCGATTTCCAGGTGCAGGTGCGGCACATCTTCGACACGGTGTTTGAGCAGCGGCAACGCGGCGACAACGGCGGTCGCGGACTGCACTACGGCAGCCAAGACGACGCCACCCTCGCCTCCCTCGACAACAGGGAGGAGTACCAGCGGACCGCGAACGATTGGTACGAGCTGCGACGCAAACGTGTGGAGGAGCTGGAGATGTACCACCTCAAGGCAGAAGAGGCGCTGCTCTCGACCCGGGCCAACGCGATCCGCGCGGCCGAGCAGGAGCGCCATCGGCAGCGCATTCATGAGGTGACGGAGTACATCAATGAAGCAAACGACATCATCGATGGACATAGTGGCTGAATGGGCCGCGCTGATGGCGTTTCTGTGTGCGGATTTTCGCATTTGCGGGAACGAGGACGTTCCGTGCCAAATCGTTCTTTCTGGTGGCGCACTGCGATCCTGACCCCCCCCCCCCCCCCCCCCTTCCCAATGTGAGGAGAATTCATTCGGAGGTGATATGTATAAAGTGTGGAGGTGTTACGCCTCTTCTCTCTCTCTTCGTCTTAGTCGACCATGTATTCTACCAAAGTAACGATGCGGCAACGCGCATAATCATTAGAAAGTGAAAATGGAAATGAAAACACGTTCATTTGAAAGCGACTGAAGTGAAAGGGAAAGGTTTGAGCTGCGGTCCGAAGACACCTGCACACACTGATAAGCTCGTTGCACGGCGGCTTTCCAAGCTGCCCAACTGTTTTTTTCATGTGCAGCTTCCTAAACCCTTCTCATTCGCACCTGACGCACCGCGTCTGCTTTACATCCAGGTAAACGCGATGATGGAGAATTACGGTGTTTTCACTTCTTCCTTCTCTTCCTTTCCTCCCCCCCCCCCTCTCCCCCTTCCTCTCCCCCGCAAATCTGAACGGCGCCACAGAAAATAGAGTAGTAGAGCCGCAATCATGGGAGCGTTCATGTACTTGAACGAGCTGTGGAAGAAGAAGTCTTCCGATGTGATGCGCTTCATCCAGCGCATCCGCTCGTGGGAGTTCCGTCATCAGCACACCATCGTCCGCCTGCGCCGCCCGACCCGCCCGGAGAAGGCCCGCATGCTCGGCTACAAGACGAAGCAGGGCTTCTGCGTGTTCCGCGTGCGCGTGCGCCGCGGTGGCCGCAAACGCCCGGTGCACAAGGGTATCACCTACGGTAAGCCGAAGACGAGCGGCGTGCTCGGCATGAAGCTGAACAAGAACAACCAGGCCGTCGCTGAGCAGCGTCTGGGCAAGCGCTTCGGCAACCTGCGCGTGCTGAACTCGTACTGGGTGAACATGGACTCCACCTTCAAGTGGTACGAGGTCATCGCCGTCGACCCCATGTGCAAGACCATCCGCCGCGACCCCCGCATCAACTGGATCGTCAACTCCGTGCACAAGCACCGTGAGCAGCGCGGTCTCACCTCTGCGGGTCGCAAGCACCGCGGTCTGCGCCACAAGGGCCACAAGGCCTCCAAGCTGCGCCCGTCCTACCGCGCTGCGTGGCGCCGCAACAACCGCATCGTCTTCCTGCGCAAGCGTTAAACCGGTTTGCAACGTCGCTCTTTTTCTCACTCTTCGTTTTCTGTTTTCCTTTTCTTCTTTCAATCAATGATTTAGAAAAAAAAAAGAAAAGCAGAGGTGTTTAGAAGTATTAGGTTTCGCGGTCTTAAGCGTGGATGCCTAGTGCGCTGCTTTGATTAACTCATTGGTGCAGCCCCGTCTCTGGGCTTCTCGTGTGTACGGCGTTTGCTTTGTTTGCTGTCACCGATCACCTCTCCCTCTCCACTGTGCAGTGAAGAAGCTTGCTGGACGGACGGTGTCCCGCAGGGAACACCTCGGACGCGCTGTGTTAATGAGTGCCTTCCCTACCTGCGCTTCTTCCCCGGTGATCTCTTTAGTTCCTTTCTGCTTTCTTCGCCCGCCTTTCTCTTTTCTCTCTTCCGCTTTCGAGTTGCGGCTCGAACGGACTTACGCTTTTATCGTTCTGTTTTGTGTCGGGCGTTTGGCTTTTCAGTCCCGTCATCACTATTGTGATTTGCTGCATCAACTGTGTTGCCTTGTAGCAAGCACAACGGCATTGAACACCGCGGAACGTGCGTCTCTCTCTCCGCCACAAGGAAGGGAAAAAGCGTATATTTCGTTACTCGATTCTTCTCATCACTTAGAAGGAAGACGGCGCAATGCCTGTAGAGCCTGAAGTTCTTCCCACGCCGAGTCGGCTACCGCCCGATGACGCGATGTACGTCGTGGGCCGCCTTGTGTGGTACATCCTCATTATTGTGATTGTCATCTTTGGCATCATTCCAGCGCTGTGCGGCACCGTATTCCCTCCCTTTTCGGCTCTCTGGACCGTTCTTGCCGGCGTCTCGCCGTACGCGTGGGCGTCGATGGGCATCGGCATGGGCATCTCTCTCTCCATCATCGGTGCCGCGTGGGGCATCCTGACCAGTGGCGCGTCCATCAGCGGCGCCGCCATCCGCGCGCCGGAGATTCGCAGCAAGAATCTCATTTCCATCATTTTCTGCGAGGCCGTCGCCATTTACGGCGTCATTCTCTCCATCATCATGATGGGTAAGATCCAGGCGAGCACCGCCTCCGTTGGCGCGAACGGTGTGTACGCCTACGGCGCCATCGCAGGTGGCTACACGCTGTTTGCGGCGGGCATTGCGGTGGGCATCGGCAATATGGCATGCGGCATCTCCGTTGGCATTGTCGGCAGCAGCTGCGCGATCGCCGATGCGCACAGCAGCAGCCTGTTCGTGAAGGTGCTCGTCATTGAGATTTTCGCCTCCGCGCTTGGGATTTTCGCCGTCATCACGGGTATTTTGATGGCGCAGAAGGTGGAGATGCCGTAGCGGAACAAAAGGCTAAGATGAAACGTCACGGACTCCAACCCACCGATGCGCCGAGACACAGGCGCGCGTTAATGGCTGTTGATCACCAAACGGATTGATGATCAGCATTCAACGCCGGGTTTTTTTTCTCGTGTAGTAGCGTTCGTGTTGTTGTTCTTCTAGTTCCTTCTACTTTATCGCGAGTTTTGAAACGGCAATTCTTTTTCTTTTGGCACTCATTTGTAGTTTGTCTTGTCGTTCTTTATGAAAGCACTTTTACTCACAAGCCCCACATACCCGGCCAACACCGGGACACACAGCGGCGTGCGACGGCGCGGCAGAAAAGGAAAAGTGAAGGGATCGCGTTTTCCTTCTTTCCATTGCCACAGCCGGGCGGGGCGAGTTTCTGATAGAAAGTGGTTTTTCTTTTGGCTGAAGCGTGTTGCGAGTGTTCGTTTGACGAATCCGGTGCCTGATATCTTGTGTGTGCGTGTGTGTGAATAAGGGAAAAAAAGACGTTGCACTTTAGCGACATTGTTGCGTTGGCTTCCGTCTCCAACTTTTCCACTTGTTGTTCGGCTCGCTCTTATCTTTTGGTGGTGGCTGCGCATGGACTCTGTAGATGGCGCTGTCATTGAAGTTTTAGCGAGGCGATCAAGCGTTGTATTATTCCTTTCTTCTTCTCTTGTTACAGCATTGTTGCGTGCCTGCAAATGAGCGGAGAACAGTAAGACAAGCTGCTCCTCGTCCGAGAAGAGCAACCACCTTCTTTTACCCTTTCACCAAGGTATCGGGGTGTTTTCCCTGCCTCCAGCAGCTCTGTACTCGTATCTACTGTCTTTTTTGCTGCCTCTTCTTCTCCTTTTCTTTTTCTCCCTTTAGCTGACCCTCCTTCTGTGCAACAGCCGTGGAAAGTCCACGCACTTAGCGGCAAGGCTGTGCACGTTGTTGAACGTTACAGCAACGACAAACGGAAAAGAAGAGCCTGCTTGCGCCGCGTGGCATGCGATGCCAACGTCTCAGTTAGTCTTGCAGCGGTACATTGACCTGCTCGAGAGAAATGAATTGGATGCCGCCTTCAATTATCTCGCGGAGGACGTGATTTATGTCACCTGGCTAGGCATCGTGGAGGGCAAGGACAACGTCGTCACCTTCCTGCGGGATAACGTTCGCTTTATGCACTTTAGAACGAACTTCAATCGCTGGAGAAGCGTCCAACACTGCTTAGACGCAGACTTGAAAACGTTTGGCACCCCCGGCTCCAGCGAAACGTCGTTTTTTAATCAGGAGGGATACGATTCTCAAGGCTACGCTACCTATGAGCGCGACGGGACAGTGGCCAAATACGCAAAGGCCCCCCTGGAACACTACAGAGTGAAGCAAACAGTGGTGATTCGCGACAATCAAATCGTATTGGTAACGCTGACTCAGCAGCTTTAGATGGCGCCTCCATTCGCCCCTTGGCTTGCCGAACGCTTCTCACTGCAAAGCCAACGATTTTGACGAAGCGCTTGATCAGAAAAGAGAAATGAAGAAGAAAAGGTAGTGTTTGGTTTATCTGACGAGGGTCATGCGGCGCTGACGCTTTTGTGGGTGCAGTCTGTCGCTTTTTTGCATGGTCGTTTGGAGGCGAAGGTGGCGGTGTCCACCTCCGTGAAGCGCTCTCGCCCTTGCACGTCTTTCCCCGCTGTCAGATGTTCTGCTCTCGTTTTGTGGGAGTTCTCCTTCTTCACCTTTAAACTGTAAAGGAGATGTGCTACCTTTTCTTTCCTGGAGGCGCTACCTTCGTACCTTCATTGCGATTGCGTTCGACGCTCTGCGTGTTTTACAACCTGACAAAAGGCTTTTAACGCAGTACCGTTTACTGGGAGATGCAGTGGGCCATCCCCCTTCTGCTTAGCGCTTGTCTTGGAACTGCTTAAAATGGATCTTTTCCCCCTCCCGCCTCTCTGTCATTTTCCCGCTGCTCTTGCATCACGTAACTCCATTGCGGATGGAAGCACTCTTTTGAGTTTCTATTACGACAAGCTGTCTTATACCCATCCGAGGAAATCTGTCTTTCTTTTTGCGGCGTTGCAGGAGCACACATTTCTTCCTCGACGTGACTCGAATTGAAGAAACCACCTCGCTTCGAAACAACCAAGCACCGAACATCAGCCACTCTCTATACAACCGCGTAAGCAGCGAAGTGTAGGCTGTCCCATTGCCTTCTTCTCACCGTTAGTGCAGAATTCACTCATATCGACTGAAATACAAAAAAAGTTGAAAGGAAAAAAATGCAAGCCACAGTTGCTGAGCGGGAGCGTGAGATTGAGGCCAACATCGCGATCCGCGAGCGCGAGATCGCCAGCCTTGAGCAGGAGAAGGCCGATCTGCAGGCTGGCATGGCCGCAGGCAATCCCGAGATGCGTGACGATCCGCTGCTGGCTTCCTTTCCAGCACTCGATTACTGTGGCAAGAAGCCCCGCCTGCCTATCAGGTCCATCCCGGTGGAGCAGTGCGGCAACACGATGATCCAGCTCGACATCGCCAAGAAGGCCATCGAGCAGCAGAACCAGAAGGACCGCGTGGCGATCCAGGAGCTGCTCCGCCTCATTCGCGAACAGGAGAAGAACCGCAAGGTGATTACGGAGAGGACTGCCAAGGTCGTCGACAGCGCCGGCCTCGACATGAAGTCACTCATGGCGCGCAGCCGCCGCGACGCGACGAAGACGAATCAAGAGGAGAGTGAGACCTCCGTCGCGGAGTTGGAGGCGCGCACGCGTCTCATCGACCGCGAGGTGAAGGCAGCGAAGGTCATCGCCGAGAAGAAAGGTGAGGCCCTCGTTGCGTTGTCGAAGTTAGTCGACAAGCGGCGCGGCACCATCGACGACGTCGACTCCCTGTACAATCAAATCCGCATCGTAGACCGCGACTCCGCCGTCGAGACGGAGGAGTTGGAGCGTCTGCGTGCGGAGACGGAGGACGCCGACGCGTGGCTGGCGGAGCGGCCGGACCCGGCGGGCTCGGTGGCCCGCAAAGTCATCGACGAGGACGCTGCGAATGTGAAGGGCGAGCGGGAGCAGACCATCAACGAGCAGCGCATCCCCCAGGAGCGCGTGATCAAGGCGCAGGATTACCGCATCGCGCAGCTCGAGAAGCGCGTGAAGGTGGTGGATGCGGCTCTCAAGAACAACGGCCTCTCGCGCGAGGTGGCGAAGATTGTGTCCCGCAGCTGGTCTCAGAGGGACGTGGAGGTGCCAGAGGATGAGGAGGAGCTCTACGACATCGAGAAGATCATCCCGGCGCAGGAGAAGATCCACCCGGGCGTGTACAACCTGCTCCTCACCGAAAAAGAGAAGACGGCGCGCAACGTGAGCATTCTCACCATCACCTCAAAGGAAAAGGAGGAGGTGATCGCGTCTCTTTCGACCAAACTAGAAAACCTTGCGGCTCAATGCAATGCCGCAATTCAAGAGCTTGACATCTACGCTTCTGAGGCGGCATTTGCGGAGGAGGAGCAGCGCGTCCAGGCGCTCAAGTGGGTGCGTGAGCAGCGGCAGTACTGTGACAAACTTGCGTCCGAGAAGACGCGGCTGGAGACGGCGAGCCATCAATCCTACTAGACTGCTCTGTGCTGTTGTTTTCCCCTTCGCTGTAACGCGTGCAGTCATCAGGTGTGACGAAGCACACACACACACACACACACACACCCGCACGCATGACCAGGAGTCGCTAACAGAAATTAAAAGCGCGTTTTGCCTTTTATGTTGACTAGTTGTGTGTTCCTTTGAGGGGCCTCTCCTTTTCATCGTCGTGGGACGCTTTCTTTTCTTTCCCTCTCGGCCGGACGGCATTTTTCCCCGTTCATCAGGCGTTTGGCTTTTCTCAGGGCTTCACGGTTTAACGTCTTCGCCCCACATTTGCCTGTTGCAGACGACTCCCTCCATGTAGTCCCGTCGGGTGGATTGAAGGCGTTGCTGACGTCTCCTTTTTTTTCTTTTCTTTTCGGCATCTCACAAGACTCGTTTTGGTTTGATGCTCCTCCATATATATCCGTTTTATATCCCTCGTTGTTTTTCCTTTTTGTTGCTGTTCGTCTCACTGTGAAGATCGCTGTCTGTTGGGAGACCACAGCGACAAATGAGCAACGATCTACATTGTGCGGCGTGCGTGGAAGCCGTGCTAGCGGCTATTGATTCTTCTGTGCTCGTGTTTTTTCCCTGGCTTCTGTTCATCTCTGTACCGTCGTGTTGTCCGTTTATTTATTCTTCTCGTTTCTCTCTGGTGTGTCGGTCCTCGTGGCACATAACAAACATCTTAGGATTGAAGAGGAAGTTCAACGTGAAGACGGCAGCGTTTCGTCTTCTGCGCGCACTGCCACAGTTCTTTTTTTTTTTTAGTAAAGGGCGAGCGCGCTTTTTCTTTGAAAGGAAATGCGGATTAGGGTCCATGCGAGGCGCCGGCACTCAACTGTGGACGTTTGGCGGGAGGTGGAGCGTTTGCGAGCCGCACTCGGACAGTTCATCGCGTGCGGCTTTAAGCTCTCGCGTTGGCAGACCTCTGCTTTCGAATGGACAAAGAAGTGGTTTGCGTTCCGCGGACTCGCGCACCTTTCAGTTTGGCTCCTCCTCTTCTGTATCTTCTATTCTGGTCTCTCTTCTTGCATCCCCCTGGTCACCTCCTCTCGCGTCGGGCGTACGTAGGTGCGTGCACCACTACCTGGGACTGCAGGTTTCATCTTTTGATAGTTTTCTAAACAAATTTGTGAAAGAGGTTCAGTAATCTTGCGTCGCTTTTCTTTCACGTTCGTTCCTACTTGTTCGTCAGCTCGTTTTGCAGCCGTGTACCTCCGCCCAAGCATCGCAGACACCTTTGTCGTTGCTTTCATTCGCTGTCTGTGCATCATCTACCTTTCTGCATTCGTTTCTTTTCTGTTTTGCGTTTGCTGTTTCTTTGCTGTGGTGCCTGCACGCACCTCTGAGCTCTCCCACCTTTCACCATTTCTGTCATGACGTTGTTACGTTAACGCCACACACGTTCTTTCTTCCGTCCCCTCCCACAATTCCATCTCTCTCCTTCTTTTCTTTTTGCTTCGGTTTGTAGTGCCTGGAACAATGTCGAACAGCGCTTCCGGAGACATGGTCAGCGTGCCCAGCATAGCTAGTATGGCGAGCATGGCCAGTGGGATGAGCTCGGAGGAGAGCGAAATGCCGAACATCCACCGCGGCGTCGATGCGGCGGTCTTCATGATGTGGAATAACCAGTATGAAGGGGCGCTGGAGAGCCTGCGTGCCGAGAAGGACAGAAATCCTCGCTACGCGCTGGAGTGGGCGAACGTGAGTCTCGTCAAGACGTTGATGAGCTCCACCAACGAGGACCGCGAGAAGCTGCTGGACCTTTACAAGGCCGCCGACTCGCTGTCAACCTCCACCAAGTACAACGAACCAATGTTCACCGACGACGACGACGACGACGACGAAGAAGAAGAGGAGTGCATGGAGAAGAGCCGGAAGCAGCTCAAAAAGGAGAAGAAGCAGAACAAGAAGGCCTTCAAGGCTCGCAAGAAGCACGCCAAGAAGAGTGGCGAGTTCTTCGATCAGACGTGGAAGCTCGAGTGCGATGTGATCTACGCGGACGCGCTTCTCATGCGCTCGATTTGCCAGCTGATGATGAACTCGTACATCAAAGGCGGCATCAACCTGCGCAAGGCGTGGGGGTGCTACCATAGCCTGATCCAGATCGTCGAGAAGGACACGGAGAACAAGATCCCGAAGGAGCTGAAGATGTGCATCAAGTACGGCACTGGCACCTTCTACGCTTTTCTTGCTCTGGTGCCCGCCAACCTGATGAAGCTGCTGAGCATTATCGGCTTTATCTCGGACAAGGACCTCGGCGAGCAGTACCTCACGGAGGTGTTTGAGAGCAACACCATCCGCTCCCCGTTCGCAGCCTTGGTGCTGTGCACCCTCTACCTCTTCCTGCCAACCGGTCTCGGCAACGTCGAGCTCACCCTGTCGCGCGCGAATCGCATCCTGGTTACGATGAACGAGCGCTACCCGAAGAACACGTACTTCAACGGCTACGCGAACTTCTATTACCGCAAAAAGGGCGAGGTTGTACCCGCCGTGAAGTCCATCACATTGGCAGCCGAGAACGCCGAGAAGGCCGGTCTCGTGCCGCTCCTCATCAAATACCTCTACGCCGACACCCTCTTCATGAACCAGCAGTGGGCCGAGGCGCTCGTACAGTACACCAAGATTCTCGACCATCTCGCCAAGACCAAGGAGAAGTTCGCCTACACAGGCCAAATCGTGCTCTCTGTCGCGGCGTGCTATGTGATGCGGAACAACGACAGGGACGCGATGGTGTGGTTCAAGAAGGTGGACTCCATGTACAACCCGAAGTCGAAGAACGACTCCAACTCACCCAAGTTTGCGTACCGCGTCATCTCCAACCCGCGCCTGCTGCCGCTCGCTGGCGTGTACATGCTGTACATTAATCGTGATCTTGCCCACATGAACAAGGAGCAGGGGGAGCGCGTGCTGAGCGAGCTGATGCGCGTGACGAAGGACAAGGACCTCACTGGACCCGAGGCGGAGCACATGTACAACCTCTTTGTCGGCGTCATCAAGAAGGGTAGTGAGGACATCGACGCCGCCTTCTCCTACATGAACAAAATATTTGATAACGAGAAGAAGATCCCGCAGGACTCGATGATTCTGCCGTTTGCGTATTACGAGACAGCTGAGATGGAATTCCGCCGCGGCAACATGAAGAAGTCCAAGGAGCTTTTCGAGAAGGGCAGCAGAATCAAAGGAGACGGCAACGAAACATTATCGAACCGCTACAGCATAGCGATGAAGCAGCTGCGCCGTGCGATGGATGAGCGCAACTGATGAGGTGCTGCGTTCTCTAGACAAGGTGTGTTTTTCCTATCGTAATGAGACCAGAAAGACCCCCTTAACGAAGACTCTCTATATAAGAACTAAGCCAATCTGCATACGTGTCGTTCCCGCCTTTCAGTTTTTTCTTCTCCTCTCATTTGATAGATCTCTCGTGTTTTTTCTTTTTAAATATTTTTTTTTGTGTTGCGTTGTCCGTGCTATCCTGTCTCCTCTCTTGTGTGTGCGTGTTTGGTCGATAAACGATGCTGCCGCCTTGGATGCAAGCTGACTCGCCCCACCAGTCGCACTCGTGCCATACCAAAGAAAAGGGAAACCATTTCAGAGACACCGGGCTTTACAGGTGCGCGCCGCGGTGAGATCTGAATTGTGCTTCGCCGCCTCTTGTTTTGTGTGCTTGAAATGATGCGGCTCGCAACCGCCGATTCCCTTTGTTGCCCTACGCGAACGCAACGGGAAAAGGAAAACCTCACCGTTAAATCGGCTGCTGCAACCACAGGAAGGAAAAGTCTTGTACGAGGTTTGGTTTCAACCCCAGCAGGCAAAATTGAATTGGATTTGTTTCCGTCTCGTCTTCCGTCACTCAACGCGTCGCGATATTTGTTTGCGAAATAATTCCATCTGCATCACTGTCACAACAGCACCGTATGCATTCGGAACAAAGAAGGCAGACGAAATCGTACATGCTATGACTGCGTACACGCACCACATCGTTCAGTTCTCCTTCGAAGCATTTTCCCGGTTAATTGGTAAAATCTCCTGAAACTTTTAAAAGTGCAGACCATTTTTCTTCTTCTAGTTCAATTCGCCTTGTTCCCTCTCTTTCCCCAAAGAAGTGTCCTTTCCTCGGTTACTCAATCGTACCGGACTCCCAAGCACTTCTCCCCATTCCTAGTAACCTCTCTGATAAGTGAGAAGCGGGGTTTATATATTGAACTTCGAAGACAAAAGGTGAGGCGCTTTTGCGGTGTTGCCGCTGATTTGTGCGTTTGTTTGTTGGCCAGCGAACACTTTGCGCGTTTATGATTTCTGGCGGCGTCTTTCGGTTCTTATTGAATTGCGACTTTTTAAATTGCTGTTTCTCTTTTCTCTCTCTCCTCATTTACTCTCTTTTACCGTTCCGTTGTTTTTGGCTCGCGCTTTGGGAAATAATAAAGAGAAGGATTTCGGCTCCTCGTAAACAGTACTTGTAACAACAACGGAAAACCGGGCGACGACCAAGAGAAGAATGAACGCAGAGTTCAGCAAGAGTTCTATGGAGTGCTGTGCGTGTACGGACTGGGACGGCGTGCGTTACTCTCGCGTTGCCTTTTTTCTTTTTGCCGTTCGCTGCAGCAGGCATGAACAACGCTGTAGAAGCGCTTTTGGCTGGGCAACGTAACTCCGTTTTCTCCTTAAAAATGAGGGATCGGGAACTGCAAAAGAGTCGTGTGCGTTCGTTGAACTCTACTGCCTCCGTGCTCAGCATTTGCGGAAGAAGGACAACAGCTTTGGCGCCAGCACAGATTTTAAGGCTCTACTCACCTCTTCCGTGTGTTTAGCTGTCCTTACTGTCTTTCTCTCCTCCCCCTTCCCCCCACATAATCAACTTTTCTTTTTCCTTTTATCTCTCTCTCACGCACACGCACACGCACACGCACACGCGCAGCAGTTGCTTCTTTTTTTTTTTCGAATAACACTCGCCTTGTGCGCCGTCGAGCTCTGCTGCACGGCAGACAAGGGCTGGAGTGTGGCGCAAATGAGTTACAACCCGCAAGGCGTTGACGACGCGTCCGGCAACTACGATTGTAGCAACCAGGCTAAACAGGACGACGGGTCGTACCGCGCCTCTGTGGGCGACGCCTACACCACTGAGTTGGTTACCGATCCAAATGCAGTGGCCACGGAGCAGACGCCAGGCGAGAACGACACCGTGGCCACGCAGTCAAACGGCTATGACTACAACAACTACTACGACCCTGCCTCGTATCAAAACTACTACTATCAAGACGATGACGGCAACTACTACTACTACACGGATCCGCAGCAGACGGTGTCGAATGATGTGCCGGAAAACATCAACGTCAACGTGACGCCCACGCCGCAGAACATCGTGCGCTCCTACGAGTACGAGTCGTACGCCCCGCACAGCTTCAACTGGTTTGTCGACATCGTCGTCGACACCTTCTTCTCAAGGCCCTTCCGTGTTTACCTCACGGTGCTGCTGTACTGCGCTGCGGTGTTCATCGCCGCATTGGGGCTCAACTTTTCCTTTGCCATGCTGTACCGCATGTACTCGCCGCCCATCCCGAACGCTAGCAAGGACCTCCAGCCGTTCGGCTACTTCGCGATGTTCTTTTACCTCAGCTTCGTCTTGGTGGGTGCCTTCTGCGCCCTCATGGACATGGTGCGCAACTTGTGGGTGCAGAAGCGCGAGGACGTGGTGTTCTGGGGCATGTCGCACCAGTACTTCTCCAAGCGGAAGCCTCCCTACGTGGTGTACCTCGTCATCATCCTCATCACGGTGGCGCTGCCGCTGCTGTGGGGCGTCATTGAGGCGGGCATCAGCAAGCAGTCCATCGTCTACGTTGCCCAGCGCTACGCCAACGTCGCCGTGCTGGTGGCGACCTTTCTGGTCGTGGGGTGCTACGTGTGGTTCTTCTGGCGGGCGCTGGTCTACAAGCGCTCCTCGATTAACAAGCGAAAGGAGCGGGACGACTTCGAGCTGCGGCGGCGAGCCTTCCGCGACAAGCCGGAGAAGATGAACAAAATGCACTGGTACCACGCCTCGACGGTGCTGGAGGAGTTCGGCGTGGACAGCAACACGCTCTTGTACAACTCCTTCATGTTCACCGTCGGTGGTGTGCCGTTGTTTGCCTTGTACGCCGGCCAGGCATTGAGCACGTACACCGGCACCCCGTCTGTTGCGTGGCCCGCGGTGGCCAGCGTAGCGCTCATGTGCATCTATGTCCTCTCCTGGATGACGCTGCTGCGGCGGAAAAACCAGTGGGCGGCCTACATCTCTTTTGGCCTCATCGTCGTGATGCTGGCCTTGGGTCTTGCCGGTTCTGCGGTTGGCGGGTACCCCAAAATGGCCGGCGTCGTCGTTGTCCTCTTCGCCGCTGCGCAGGGCATGGTGACGCGGAAGCGCAAGCACTCCCTCACCCGCCGCGAGCTGAGCGCGACGCTGAAGATCCCTCTCAGCCCCGAGAGCGACGAGGAGAAGCCGAAGGAGTTCCGCGTGGACACGTACCTCTTCTGCTGCAAGAACCTCATTCTGGACTACATGAAGTGCTGCGACGTTAAGAAGTACTTCGGTTACCGACACCCCGACGTTGTGGAGGCGGAGCGGCGCTTCATGCTCAGCCGAATAGCGCTGCGCGTTGATCAGAAGGCTTTCCTTATTTGGTGGATCATTGTTATGCTGGCCGTTGCCTTTGTCGTTGCCTACTCCACCGCGGTCAGTTACACGTTCTCCTCCACCATCGCGAGTGCAAGCAACGCTGCGGTACTCGGAACGCTACCTGCGATGCCGCTGTGCCAGACAGTTTACAACGCGGCCGGCAAGGCCCCACTCAAGATGTTGGATTTGGCCTTTCTGGCCGCGCTCTCTTACACGTGGGGCACCAACGGTGATACAGACTTCGCCACCTGGTTCTCTTCCAAGCCGTCGTTGGTGCGGCAGTTCCCTGTGGCGCTGCCCCGCTCGCTGAAGCTGGCGACGGGCAGCACCAACATCTCCTTTTCTGACTACGTGGACGTGTCGACCAACTACCACGTCATCACACTCAACTCGAACAGCAAAGGCTTGGCGCTCTTCCGCGACCTGGACGACTGGGGGGAGTCGATCGCGCTGCAGGTGGCCGGGGCGGTTGCGCCGCTGATTAACATTTGGGACGAGCAGGACAGAGCGGCGTTTGTGAGGAAAGGGCGTTTTCTCAAAAACTGGTTTCCCCCCTCGACGGCGCTCGACGAGGTGACGAACTACATCGTTGCCTTGAATTCCACCGGCACCTTAGGCGGGCTTTTAGTTGTCGGCGATCAGTTCAACGGCGGCTATGCGAAGCGGCTGTCGTTGAATGTGAGCGTGCCGTTCGTCGCCTTCAACCCACCAGGCACCAAGTACACGGACGGATTCCTTGGCAACGGTACCCAGTTGACATCGGTGCGCAGCTTGTGGTCCTACATCGACTCGCTCGAAGACACTGCCAGCACGGAGTACTACCCATGCAACAACACCCTGTCCGCCAATCGCTGTGGCCGAATTAGCACGGTGATTGAATACCTGCGAAATACCTGCGGAGACGGCGCGGGTCGCGCAATGAATCAGATCTAGACTCGTTAAATGGTTCTTTGCCCCACCTCCCCCTTTATTGGTGTTCACATCGACGTTGTGGATTTTGTCTCTGATTTTGTTTCTTCTGTTGGGCACCGACCGTTTTTTATGTTAGACTAACTCTGCTGTAGAATATATATATATATATATTTGTGTGCGTAACTGTTGTTTCTCCTCCTTTTTTCTTTTGCATCCCCACCTCTTAGACACACAGGGTAGATTGTATTGCGGCGACCTTCACGTCCCTTTTTCTGTTGGTGTTTGCTGCGCAGCAACTGTGGTGCGGGGGATGCCTTCGCTCAACCGATTGGAAACTCAAACGCAGCTGTAAGCGAACAGAAAAAGAGACTTGCGTAAAGCACGTTTGTGCTGTGTTGTTGGTTTTCACGGCTTCTCTCCTCTTCCTGGCGATTTGTTGGCGCGTCGTATTTTCTTCCCCCTTGGTCTCTCTCTTTGTGTATCCGTACTGAAACTGTGTTTTTTGCTGTTGTGGTTCCTTCGTGATGGGTGCCACGTGATGCTCCCTTTTTCATTGCTGTTTTGTTTCTGATATATCTTTTCTTTGCGCAGTTTTTTTTTTCCTTTTCTTGTTCAACTATAGAGATTGTTTGCAGCAAGCTGACAAATGCACTATGCATACGAGCGGGTGTTTCACCGACTGTGTTGTTTCTCTGCTTTTGCGGTAAGAAAGGACGCCTTGTCGTGATAGGTCAAGTTTCGTTTTCAGGAAACAGGCAAATAAAGTCCTCTACGCAAAACAGGAACACTCAACGAATAAGAGTTCGTTGTTGCGGCGTTACGCTGCCGTTTTTGTTTTCTCCAACGCGCTTCTCTCCCCACGCGCTTTTGTGATCTCCAATCTTGCCTCACCTTTTCCTCCGCTCCTCCTTCCCCTGTGTGCGCCGGACACCACTACCACACGACGGGATCTTTGACAACAGTTGACTTCCAGAGGTCTTTCCTTATTCACTTATCCATCTTAGAAGAGCAGCCACCAACATGTTCCGCCGCACTTACATGGCTGCGCTGCAGCGTTCCCGTGTCTCCTTTGCTGCTGCCCCCGCCGCCTCGACCGCGGCCAAGGGTGGTCCCGCTGTGGCCCCTGCGTCTGCCACCGCGAAGACGCCCGCCGGCGCGAAGGCCACGGCTGCAAAAAAACATGAAATGCCCAAACTGACAACGAAGGCCGGTGCGTCCACGACTGGCGGTGACACCATCATCGACAAAGTGATTCTCGTTGCATCCATCACTGCGGTGCTAATGTGGTGGAACACCGTCCCTGGACCGCAACACCAGCACTGAGCAGCTCACAACTAGTAGTAGTAGGTATAGAATTCGGTCTCTTGCTGCACACGCCACATCCAGCTCTATTTTGTGAATTCTGGTGTTTACAGGAGAACAGAACCAACAACATTTAGTTCTACATACACATATTGGATGCGGATGAGTGTTGGAGTTTGAAAGACAAGGTGTGCTGAGTGCGCAGAAGAGGTTGAATGTAGTTATCTATAAAGGAGAGAAGACCATTGCGGGGAACGTCACCTATTTGTGTCCTCTGGCACACGTTTCTTGTGTCTTCTCGAAACACGTAAATCACTGCGCTAAGATTTCACGAGTAGGAAGTATGTAAACTTTTTTGTCTGCCTGCGTTTCAGCGCAGTCAGCTCTCTTTTCAACGTCTGTTTGCACGACAGCTGCTCAATGACCCTCAGCGATCGGGGTAACTCTCTCACTTCTTGTTTGATGAGGAGGATTGCATGCTAACGCAATGGTGGACTGCCTTTTTCCTGCCTACTCCCCCGTTCCAATTCCACTTGCAACGCTGCCCACGCGTCGCGCACTCTTTCCTGTCTTCGAAACCACGCGATCTGCCTTTCTCGCCTTTCGCTTTCTCTGTTTCTTCCTTTCATCACTGAAAATGCGGTGCGGAACTCGAACACACACACACACACACATACATACATGCACACATATATGTGCGTGCACCGTGCAGTTGGATCCTTCACTTTTTTTTTCTGGTTTACTTAGTCGTCGATGTACGTTGTGTCAACGTCTCGGCCGTCGACCGCCGTGTTCGGTGCAGCGGTTGGCTTCTTTTGTGGCGGTTCCACCGCCTACACCGTTGTGAACCGTGGGACACTCATTTCGCTGTTTGTGTGTCGTGCCGGCGGCCTCGGTATCGACCACGTTCAAGATATTCACCTGCCCTGCACCCTCAAGTACATCTTTGCCGTTCCCATCGCGGAGCAAACACCTCCGTTCAAGCTGTCGCGCCATCTTCTTTTCCTCTGCACCATCAAGCAAGAGGTACTCCTGGTTGCGCTGGAGAAAGCCACGGAGCCGTCGAGAGAGATGAATGCCTTTACCATGACCACCCTCTTCCAAGGTGGGCCGGACGACTGCTTGTATCAGTACGACCCCGGCGAGGTTGATCTGTGCTGCTGCTCGACAGCGGCGCTTGACAACTCGCCATCGTCGTCCCCGACACCACCGCCCTTTGTAGCCTTTGCACTGACGCGCGGTGGACTTTACTTTTTCGACGTGTTTGCTGCTCTGGCCCGCGAAGGGGTGAAGCGCAAGCGCAACAATCACCTCGCGCGGCTGTTTGCTCCAGAGGTAGTGGCGGAGGTGGTGCACCGTGGAAAGTCCGCCGTCTTTACGCACTGCTATCTGCACGCGACCGAGTACGACGTGCGGGATATCGCGTTCGGCTACCACTCCCCCTCCCCCCCTCTCGCGGCATCACTCTTCTCACCGTCACAGCGCGTCGTCTTTGGCGGCGCGAAGGCGAGCAGCGCGGGTGTGCCGTTTTACGTCCTCTACGCCGATGCATCTGGCAAGATGCACGTCTCGGAGTACGAGCTGGCAGTGACGGCAGTGGCGGCGGACAGCGACGAGGCGGGTCGGTCAGCTGCGGGAGCGGCCGCACGCCTCCCCGGGCAGCGCTGGGCACCGTCGTCTCCCACTAGCGAACAGGACTCCTCCTTCTACTTCCACGATCGCCGCCTGCAGCGCCGCGGCTTCCTGCAGTCCAACGTGGACCCGACGGCGCTGCGCATTGTCGGCAGTCGGCACGGGCTTTTTGTCGCGGGCAATCAACTTGTGACACTGATACAGCAGGCGCGGCCGCGCAAGAGCGTGTCCTCGCGCGAGATCCCCTCACACCGCGGCACGCTGGACATGAGCTGCGCCACGGTGTCCGTCGATGCTCGCGACCTCGTCATCAGCTTCAGCGACGGCGTTCTCGTTCGCGTTGTCGTGCAGCCGAGCGAGCTAGGCGGCGACGAGGCGGAGCTCGACTTCCAGTTTGTGCCGCAGCCGGTTCCGACCATCCCGACCGGCATCGTCGCGCTGCGCCACGATCTTTACCTGCTCTACTCCCGCTTTGATAGCACCCTCACCGTCCGCCTTGGCGAGATGACATGCGAGCGCGTACTGGAGAACTGCGGCCCTGTGCTGGACATGACAACTCAGCAGAGCGGGCCGCGGTGCAGCGTCGTTGCCTGCGTGGGCGTGCAGCGCAGCGGTGGTGTCAGCGTCCTGCGCACCGCCGTCATGCAGCGGGAGCAGGGGGCGGTGCCGCTGCAGCACAGTCCCCAACGCATTCTGTGCGCCGGCGGTCTCCTCTGTGTCTCCTCCGTTGTCGCCAACCGTTTCTTCCGGGTGTCGACGCGCTCCTCCACCGTGGATGAGCTCCCGACGAGTGCTTTTCCTGCTGTCGTCGCGAGGCATTCGCTTGTAGAGCTTGGCCAAGACACGGCCCTCGACCAACTCATCATGGTGTCGAGCCGCGGCGTGGTGTGGATGCGGCTGCTGGGGGCGAGTTGCGAGGTGGTGGCGCAGCTGCCGCGCGGCCGTAACGAGTCGGACTACCTCTTTGCCAACGTCCGGTACGGATTGCTGGTGTTGTGCGACGGGAAAGACGTGACGGTGCACCATGGCCAAGACCTCGTCTTCTCCCTTCCCTCCGTCAGCGGTGTGGCGGTGTCGGCGCTCTCCCTCCTCAGCTTTCAGTTGCTGTGTGTCGGCGACTGGGACGGCAACGTGGTGCTGTATGAGTTGCGGCGTCCGCGGCCGGAAGTGGTCGGGCGGCTGCGCCTCGACTCGGTGGCGCGCAGCATCGTCAGCGTTGCGCCGCACCCCGCATCGCTGCAGAAGGGCAGTCCAGTGCACCTTGTTTACATCGGCACCTTGGACGGGCGCCTGTTGGAGACCACCGCCGTTCTCATGGGCAGCGGCGACGTGCGTCGCTCCATCTTTGTCGCTCCCCATCCGCTTGAGCTGCAGGAACTCGGAGGCCACGTGGGGCTGCTGTGCCTCGGCAACGTCCCTTTTGTTGTGCTGTGCAAGCCGGAGGGCGTGCAGCTGACGGGGCTGCACCTGATGGGGGTGTCCGCCGCGGCCACGCTTGACGCGGACCAGAAGTGCTACGCGCTCTACTCGAAGCAAGACGGCCAGCTGCACATCGGCGCCCTCGACAGTCTGGAGAAAACGACGCGCACTTTTCTTCCGCTGGGCGACACCGTCACGCAGCTGCACGACGTACCGTGGTGGGGCGGCTGCGCCGTCGCGGTGCGGAAGGTGGAGCGGGACGAAGTTTTGTTTCTCCCCGCGTCGCTGATCCACAGCCCGTGGGCCACGGACCTCTCCGACTGGCGCGCCGGGGCTGTGCCATTGCTGGAGAACGAGCGTTGCGTTTTTCTGCAGACGATGAGTCTCGACGGTGCCGAGGACACAGACGGCGCAGACAAGGGAGGCGACAGAGAGGAAAGCTCTGCACCAGCGAGCGGGGCGAAGAACGAGGATGATTGGCAGCGGGTCCTTCTTGTCGGGTCGTCCTTCACGTTCCCCGATGAGCAGCGCGCGCGGTCGGGACGCATTACGTGGTTTTCGTTGCGCGAGACCCACCAACGCAAGCGACTTCACATGATGGCCAGCAAGGACATCGGTGGCGCGCTGCAGTGCTGCGCTGTTGTCCCGAACTACAAAGGACGCATCGCGCTCGGCGTGAACGGGTGTGTCTGCGTCTACAAGTGGAACGCCGAGGACCAGACGTTTGTGGCGGAGGAGCGGTGCCGCCTCGGGCTTACCGTGACGAAGCTCATCCCACTGTACCACTCGAAACTGGCGACGTCGGTGCTGGTGGCACTGGATGTGCGGTACAGCGCCTTCTTTGTGGAGGTCGACACACTGCAGGGGAGCCTGAAGGTGCTGTGCCGCGATGCCAACCTGCGCGGCGTCATGGACGGCCACGTCGGCTCCGACACGGACAACCTCTGCCTCTTCGACGACAACCTCAACTTTACCGCGCTCCGGGTGACGCAATTAAAGCCGCCAGATGACGCCGAGAAGAACGCGAGCGCCGCGCCGCAGTACCGTTTTGAGGTTCGCGCGCAGTGCCACCTCGGCGATTTGGTGACGTGTGTACGGCCTGGCAGTTTTGCAGCCACCTCGATGCTCTCGGCTGCCGAGCCGTCGTCGCTATCGGCTGCCGCACCGATGAAGCTGCTGCTTCCCGGCATCGCCGGCCCTCAGCTCGTCTTTGCCACCGTGGGCGGTGCCTTTGGCGTGGTCACGCCCCTGTGCCTGCCCACCTACCTTGTCCTCCACTCGGTTGAGATGGCCTTGGAGCGAGTCACCGCCGGCTTTGCGGCCGGACTAAGCCACCACACCTTCAAGGATGTATTGCAGCCGGGGCAGGAGCGCGGGGTCAGCCTCGTCGCCTCGCAGAACGGCGGCACCCTCGCACGCGATCGCCTAAAGCGGTACGAGGCCATCAACACTGTGGACGGTGACTTTGTGGAGAATTTTTTGCAGCTCTCTTCGACGGAGAAGGCGCATGTGTGCCGAACGGCCTCGGAGGTGCTAGCGTTTGTGTGGACGGAGCGCGTCAATGACGGCGGTGAGTTTGTTGCCCAGCCCCCCAGTCAAGAGCAGTGCCGCTTTCCTGACAGCGCATCGACGAAGCCGCTCGCGCACTACCCACCTGAAATGCTGGCCAAGCTCAACAACTACCTGCAGTCCAACGACCTGCCCAGTCTCCCGCTCTCTCCCACCACCTTGGAGCAACTGTTGATGAACTTACAACGCGTGCACTGATCTGCTCTTTTCTTGTTCCTTGTGCTGCTAGTGCGTATACTTACTGTTGTGTACACGCATCACGATTGCGCATAGATCTCGCGCTGTTGTTATGATGGGCCTTGTGGCGTTCTCGGATATCATTTTCATTGCCCCGTTTAGCTCTATTAATAAATATATTTATCAGCGTTGCGTGGTCGTTGTGTGCTCGCAGTCTGCCTAACAAACGGTAAAAAGAGAACCACGCATCATTTTAGAAATCGAAATATGAATCTGGAGAATTTGCCTTCTTTTCACATTTCCGCGCAATGGAGTCACTTTGAGTTTGGATGTGTGCGTCGGTGCACTTCTGCGTGCTCGCATCACGCTTTTGGTCAAATTAAACCCCGCCCTCCGCGCATAAAGAACGCCACCTCGCGCTCCCCACCGCTAGCAAACCGTGAACTTTTCTCCCCCATTCGCTGTTCCACCGTCCGTGTCGTTGTGCCGTCCCCTTTGCCGGTGCACAAAAAAACGCCGCCGCCTTTTCTTCCTTTTTGGCGTCGTTCACAAACGTTTTCTCTTCGCCCGCATCTCCACCTCCGCGTGCGATCCTTCACACAACTCTCGCAGTTTGTAGACGAGAATGCAGTACCTTGCCGCCTACTCTCTTGTGGCGCTGTCGGGCAACGCCCCGTCCAAGAAGGACGTGGAGGCTGTCCTGAAGGCCGCCGGTGTGTCTGTGGACTCTTCCCGCGTGGACGCCGTGTTTGCCGAGTTGGAGGGCAAGAACCTTGAGGAGGTGATGGCCGAGGGCCGCTCCAAGCTGGTGGGCTCCGGCTCCGCCGCCCCCGCCGCTGGTGGCGCCGCCGCCCCGGCCGCTGGTGGTGCTGCCGCCGCCGCCGACGCGAAGAAGGACGAGCCCGAAGAGGAGGCGGACGACGACATGGGCTTTGGTCTGTTTGACTAATTCCTGTCAACTTCGAACCGTCGCTACTCTACGAGTTGTGCGCGGTGTGAATGCAAGAGTACTACTTCTGGCTCCCAACGCATATGTGCTTTCTAGTTTTTGTTTTCATGTTTTCATTCACCTAGAACAAATCCGCCCCAAAACGAAAGGAAGGCGCACAAGCCAGGCGAGAGAAGGCTATATGTCTTCATGTCTCTCTCGCTGCGGCCTTTTGCTTCTTTTGAGCGAGTGCAAGCGCCATTGGGTGGCCCGTGCCGTGCTCCGAACTGGGTTTGCGTTTCCATGCAGCAGGGAGGTTTATGAATTGGTCATGGGAGGAAATGTCGTTTTCACGCGCAAACTCACCGCAGGAATTAAAAAAAGAAAACAACAAGCGCTTTTCCTGCTGCTAAGAAAAGTTGCTTCTGCTCTCTCCGTGAACGCAGCTGTTTCTCACGCTTTCACGGTTTTCTTCTCTTTCCTTCCCCTTTTCTTCTCATGAAACTATCACTCCTTGCCACTAACTTTGTTGATGAATCACGCAGCCTTAGCCAAAATGCAGTACCTTGCCGCCTACTCTCTTGTGGCGCTGTCGGGCAACGCCCCGTCCAAGAAGGACGTGGAGGCTGTCCTGAAGGCCGCCGGTGTGTCTGTGGACTCTTCCCGCGTGGACGCCGTGTTTGCCGAGTTGGAGGGCAAGAACCTTGAGGAGGTGATGGCCGAGGGCCGCTCCAAGCTGGTGGGCTCCGGCTCCGCCGCCCCCGCCGCTGGTGGCGCCGCCGCCCCGGCCGCTGGTGGTGCTGCCGCCGCCGCCGACGCGAAGAAGGACGAGCCCGAAGAGGAGGCGGACGACGACATGGGCTTTGGTCTGTTTGACTAAATCTCGATGCGTTGCTTTCACTTATTTTTCTTTTCTTCTTTCACCTACCAGCGAAACTGCAGTGGGAGCAAGGACGATTGTGTTGATCGCTGTTTTGAGCAGCCTGTGCTTCTGCATGACAGCAAGCGACCGCATGCCCGCGTCATTGTGCGTCTGTGGTGTGTTTCGGTTCGCAGCGGAAAAGGGTGTGTTCCCCGCGAGTACCGATGCACTTCCGGTGTCCACTGCTTTCGCAAAGAAACGACACCTGCGTAATCCCCTTGACAACTTCTCCCCATCTCCTTCTATCACTGTTATTTTCATTTTCGTGCACTGAAGCATCCTGTGTCGCCAAGGGCAACCGACAACATCTGTTGCGCTTCGTGGCTTCCTATTCCTGCTTGTGCCGCAGCCGCTGATTTACAACAGCGATTTTACCAATCTGAATCGGCACTTTTGTAGTTGTTGCTTTTACCCACCGGCTAAGCCTCCCACTCGGCGTCCGCCATGGCGCTCCAGGACAATAAGGACTCGTTTGAAACCAAGGCTCTGTCCTTGTCAGAGTTTGTCCTTCAGTGCGCCGATTGCCACAAACTGTGCTTAGAGAAGACGGCTCGCGTAGTGGAGAACCGCAGTCGTGCCCCGCGAGGCTGGGACTCTCTCTTCGACACCGTAGCAGCGGAAAGGCGGTCGGAGGATTTGGACATGTGCGAGTCGCGCTGCCAATATATGCGGACCACCTGCCCATCAGGCGAGAAGGTGCTGGAGTACGAAAATGTGTTGGCAACGACGTCGCATCATGCGAAAAAGGTGAAGCCCGATCCCGCCGTTTTGCAGGAGGCGTCGCGGTGCGAGCACGCGGTGGAGATGTTCTCCAACGTGCTCTTCGCTTTGGCGCACAAGCCCAGCAAGGTCGCCTTCTCCACCACGCGGGACCCACGCTCGGGGGCTGAGAAGTACGACAAGACACACGACGGCGCGCCAACTGAAGCGCATCGAAAGGTCCTGGAAGGCGCCAAGAACATTGACGAGGAAATTCTGCGGCGCTGGAGCAAGGCACGCAATGATCGACTGCAGATGGAGAAGCAAGGAATCCTGCGCAGTCCTGAAGATACAGGACCAGGTGCAGCGCCATCAACGCCACCCGAGTCAAGTGGCACGACGCCGAAGTGGTGAAGCACTTTACTTTGGTGGCTGTTTTTGTCGTTTCTGTTGTGTGCTTTCGCGGTGCGCTGCGACCTCTTTTTCCCCTTTCCAGGGTGACGAAGCTCACTGCAGTGCTTCGTTATCCGTATTTACAGATTGTCATCAGGACGCCAATGTGCGGCGTTAAAAACAACAACACAAAGGAACAAAGTGGACTACTTGACTTCATCTCTCTGCTTCACATCGCATCGTCTACTAGTGTCGAACGCGGAAGCAGACATGACATGAAGTGATGACGGTGCTCCTTCCCCATTTCTACCGACTTGACTCTCTCTCTCTCTCTCTTACTTTCTCTGTGGACTGTAACGAAAGATCTCCGATCTAAGCAACACCCTCGCGTTAACGCCAATTTCAGCACTACACTTCCGTTCTTCCCGATGGCCGGCTTTACTCGTGCGTTATGCATCGCTGCACTGTTCGTGGCCACCCTCACCGTCGCCTCTGCAGCACGCAGCTGTGGCATCGATCACTGTACCACCTGCATCGCGAATTATTGCACCTGGTGTGAGGGTGGCTTCTACGCGTGGGGTGGGACGTGCAATGCCTGCACGGCCAACTGTCGCAGCTGCGTTATCGCAGGCCGTTGCACGTCGTGCAATGACGGCTACACGCTCACGTACTTCCCGAACGGGACCAACGGTAAGGAGTTTACCAGGTACGGCGCCTGCGAAGTGAAGGGTCCTGCCACTGCCTGCAGCGATCCGCAATGCACGAGCTGCATTGATGGGACGTGCCTCTACTGTTCCAAAGGATTCTACGCCAAGGACGGCAGATGCGCCTCTTGCGAGGCTGCACACTGCACTCACTGCGAGATTTCCGGCCGCTGTCTCGCATGCGATGCGGGCTATTATCTCCGGTACGTCAACTCCACCGAGAACGAAACGATCATCAGCCACTGGGGCACGTGCATCAACGGCGCCACCTTCTTCAACGCGTACGCTGTTTTGGTGGGCACGGTTGTCGTCGCATTGACCCTCATGGTCGCTTAAAGCAAAGAAGAAGCAAACGCCTTCTTCGCGGAACCGAAGAGAAATGCTTTTTTTAAAATTTCCTCCATCTTTTTGTGTTCAGCTCACCTAAAATGGATTCACCACGGCAGGCATGTGTAGGAGCAAGTGGCCATGGTCGAAACACCCTCACGGTGTGTTCTTCAGCATCATGGCGTTTTCCAGAGGACATTTCGTTCCGGACGCACCTTATTTTTACGATGCTGGTCAAGATCTCTATCGCTTATAGTTCAATATGTATGAATCTGCACGAGGCGGAGCAGTTTCTTTCTTTCTTTACGACCATCATTTTTTCCGTTTATCCTATTCTTTTTTTCGGCAAAAAATCTGTTGAAAGACTAAAGCGAACAAACAGCTTATCCGATCGTGTGCACAGACCCCAGCGGATAACTCTGTCGTATGTTTCTTAAAGTATGCAAATCCATTATTGATTTATGTTTTGTTCATTCCCTCCCCTTTTCATTCGTTAAAACCGCGAGCTGAACCCCCATAAGAAAAGAAAAGATCTGTTGATGATGAGTGGCGCCTTTGTGTCATTTCAGTGCATGTTCATCGTTCTGCGTCCTGCGGCGAACGAAATTCGTTTGCGTGCGCAATGGTGTGCAATGCGAGCGCATCACAATGAAGCAGAGCTGCTGTTTTGCGCGGATGCCGCCTTGAGTCGTATTCTTGGTTTCCGACTATTTCCTTTACTTCCTTCTGATTGAACATCTCCTCTCCTCTTTTTTTTTCTATTTTTCTTCGCAGACAGCAACGAACAGCTTGGCAGGTGGGCACACCTATCTTTCCAGTCGAGGATGCGTATTTCAGCAGCGCCGGTGCTTAACGCCGTAGCGGAAGCGCTTAGCTTTATGGATAGTCAATCCACTCCCAACCCGCTCCGCTTAATGTGTCGGACCTAACAAGCGGTTGTACACGAAGTTGTCAGTGGAGACGATTGGGTGTTGGGACGTATATCACAGACTCGATGCTTCTCATTGGCGAAGGAAGAAGTCGAAAGAGGGAACTGCGTCAACACAGCGTTTCAAATCCACACGCATTGAGATTTGCGGCGCCGTTGCTTACCAGCTGTTGACTCTCCCTCGCTTGATGGAGCTGGTGATGCCGCCGGTGCCGCCGTCGCTCGTGTGCAGCTTGTGATACTCGTGGCCGCGCAGATGCCAATCAGCGGGTGGACCCCATACAGGCTAGGTTCTTCAGAATCTTCCCTGTGTTGGCTGCAGCGCTGCACCTGCGTCGTTTGACATCAGTCGACCGCGAGGGAACAAGAATATCCACGGGGTGGAGCAACTGCTCAGTGCTCAAAGAACTCGATGTGTCCGAGAATGAGTTTCTGGGTGCCCACCGCGGTCTGGTGGGTGCACCACGTCTGGGGAAGTTGACTGCCAGTGAATGCGGACTGCGTAACGTAAATCGTCGAAGCCCCTTTCTGCTGCTTATGGATGCTGCTGTGCGCATGGGAATTAGGTTCTGGCGAGCGTAAGCCCTTTTGGGGAAACCACCATCCGAGGACTGCTCAATGTGTGGGTGATGTAACGCGATTGCCACCTGCCTTTTTGATCTCCTGCTTGCTTTTGCACACATGCTAGGAATAGCGCAGCTTTTGGTGTCAGCTTGGCGCTGGAGTGAAGGAGGCGCACTCCGTCAGCCCCTCGCCACAGCGTCTGAAAGAGAGATTTAGATGACAGGGTGATCACGGCGGAGATCCTACGTTCTGCGCAGGCTTTTAGCTCCGCCTCGGAGTACCCCACAGAAACAGAGTTTTCTTGTGAGGACAGTAAGACATTCTTTTACTGGGTTATATCTTATATTTTAATAAAAGAGAATTTGTTAGTATTCGGGGGAACAAGTCTGGCTGGTACGACAGAACCTCGGTACCGTTATGCTCTTCTTTGTTTACCCCTTCTCTTTCTCTTGCACATGCGTCGTATTGAAAATTGTTGCTAACGTCTTGGAGTTCCAAGGTATCCAAATAATACCCCCCACACATAATTTTCGATGATTTTCGAATATCTATGCCACACACAGGTGCCAAAGAACCCAAATGAACATAACAAAGAAGATTTGCAAAAGAGGCCAGACAAGACGACTTTCCTGCACGAACTACGCACACTCTTCAGCGGCACGATGAAGAAAAAAAGGACCCGCAAATAACCGCGTACTTAAGGGCGGTGCCTCGGACTCCAACGAGGATGATATTCTCCTAGGGGATCTGGTGGCGGATCGACGGGGCAGCGCAGAAGACGAGGACGTACCGGATGAGCGCACCAAAGAGATCTTGGACGAGGCGGAACACTGCCTTGAACCACTGATCGGCAGACGTCTCACCAGCTTTATGACCGTCGTGGCGCTCCATAGACGGCAAACGGGTGTGCACATCTCCTTCACGGTCGGCGCACTTAGTATGCGGAAGATGCGCATGCAAATCCAGAGCGATGATCCACAAGTAATTCTGAATCGGCTGCCCACACCACTCTACTCCTACTGAGGGGAAGTCGCTGAAGAAGACGCAGCAGCACGTCCACAGGATGAATCGTACATCTTGCTAAGGTCGGATGACGCCAGCCTACCGAGGCAACTGAGAGGCGCCAAGTTCATCCTAGGCATTACGACACGAGATCGCCCCAATACACAGGCAAGACGGCGGAGAAGCTCCAGAGCCGGATCGTCATCGAGCACGCCCCGCGCACCGGAACCCGAAACGGTCACGGTGTCCGTGCTGACCATCCAGCCAGAAGAGGCGCTCTACGGTCTCTAAATGCCAACCGCAGTCCCGGCAAGAGAGGAGCCTCAGGCTCCGGACAGGGAGCGGCTCAAAAACAAAGAAAGCCCGGGTTTGAACGGGCGGGGCAGCCGTCCACGTGGGTACGTCTGCTCGCGTCACTGGCATGTTTACAGCCAGAAGCCAGCAAAGGTCTCGCAAGCGGCATGGGAGAAGCTCTCGCCTCACACGCGCAAGCAGCATCGGCTCGCGATCGAAGACCTGGTGAACACGCCGCACGACCTACTCGCACTCGACCTGGCAGCCGCAGCGACCAGGCTAATCCACAGAGCGGCCAAGATGAGGAAGTGGAAGGCGTCCACGATCGTGTCGAAGTTCGCAACGACACACGGAGCGCTGATGCACCCGCCGCTCTACACGGACCAGCCGCACCCGATCAGCCTGAAGGAGTCCCCGGAGTGGACGTCGGCGTACGGGCGGTGGCATCAAATCATAAGCAGCGAAGTCCCCAACCCACCGCCACACGTGGTCAAAACACAGATCGACGACGCCGCGCGGCACCTACAGGACGACCCGGAGGCCCGACTGTTCTTGCAAATGATGTGGAGCTTCGCAGCACGACCGGGAGTCATTGGAGGGCTGAGGCCAACGGACGTGACGTTGCAGACCCCCACGGCGGTGTCGTACCCAGTGGGCCTCACGCACAGGAGAGGCAAGGCAACACACTTTCGCGGGCCCTACCCAGTAGCGTCGCATCTGAGTCGGCAGGACGGTTCGTGCGTGGCGCACCAAATGGCGCAGCGGACGAGCGAGCAGTCGCTCTTCAGGCCTCCCGCAGCAGCCAAGAAGAAGGCCAGAGCGGCGCTGAAGAGGGTGAATCCCGCCCTCGAGCTCGCCTCGATTCGGAAGGGAGCAGTGCACCACCTCGCTCGGGCGGGGGCACCGGAAGCGGAGATCATGAGGTTGACGGGACACACGTCACTCACAACCCTGCGGCGATACCTCAACTATTCCCAGCAACCTACACGGGAGGCCATTCCAGCGCAGGACAGCGCCTCAACCCTCCTCCACGACCCAACGCCGTTGGCCACAAACGACCAATGTGGCACGAGATAGGATTGTCCGTCACGGCGCTCCACAATGAGGTCCGGAGGTTACAGGGCCTGGTGCCCGGCCTGGCACGAGGTAACCCATCGCAGTGGCCCCTCCACCTCAAGAGCGTCACCCTGGCCGACATCGATGCGATCAAGAACATGCTTTCTGCTCGGCTAGTTGCGCATACCGATCTTCTTCGCGCTCTGCGATACTTGGAACCTCAAATGCTCAAACTCTTTCACACGTCTCGTACAATTACATCGACGCGACTTGAACCGGGTGACCTGACGTCAGCAGTGGAGAAGGGAAAGTTTGAGATGTGCCCCATCGGTTTTCACCAGTCGCTGGTACGGGATACGCATTCGGTCACGGTATTTTTTGGGTACCGGAACACACAGGCAGACGGAGACGGATTACGCAGCCGGCCTTGAACGGGCCCACCCGTAAGGAAGCTGTCCCAAAGACTGTTCGCCCCTCACGACTCAGCGTTCGGCAAGATTTGGCGGCCGCGAGGTACATGCCACAGGTAGGTTTTGACGCGTTCTACGACGCCATTCCGTTGCCAGAGTCCGTGAGAAGCAATTTCGTGTTCCGGACACGGCAACAATTCTTTCGCTGCTGCACGCAGCTGACGGGCGCGCGATGGAGCGTAGCTGTAGGCCAGGCCATCACATCAAAAATCGTGGACAGCGACACAACGGTACCGATTCATACCATGATCGATAGTATACTGATAGCGGCAAAAGAAGGCAAAGAGGAAGCTTTCTGCTCGGCGGTGCTCCGTATTGTTGCGAGAATTGTGACGGCGAACCTGCGGACAACCCCCACTACAAGCGATATCACAGCCGTGCCTGACGAGGAGCTGCTCCGGCAGGCGAGCGGTCCCACCACCTTTTTTGGGCGAAGGATACGAATGGAGCACTAACCGGCGGCGAGTACGGAACTCGATCAAAGCGGTGGCGAAACTCAAACTAGGCCTACCAAAAAACGAGTACACAAATAGGCAGTTTGTTAGCCTCATCGCTCTGCTGATGTACATGATGCACACGACACGCCTCAACCCCGCCGATACGTGCCACCTGATGGCGGCATACGGCGGCATCTTTGCACAGATCGACCGACGACGGCATTGGGACGACCCGCTGCCGTTCGTATTGGAAAATGCAACAAAGGCCTTGGAGACACTGGGTCGGCAGCTGCTGGAGAACCGCTGGTGGGACGTCCGGAGCGATCTTGTCGTGGAACGATGGAACTACGGAGATGATGCAGCACAGATGGGTGTCCGACAGAGCGCCGGTTGACGGAACAGAGCTGCCTGCGTCGGGCGGAACGACGCACTTTGCGGTAAGCCATTCGACGCACAGCGAACCGAAGGCGGTTGGATGCATTCTGATGGAGTTACGGAGGGATGGCATAACGCGGGGCACGCGGGTCGCAGTGGTGACAGACCACAGCGCCTGAACGGATTCGGAGGCATCGGCAGCGGTTTTGCTCTGAACAAACTCTACGCCCAAACTAATGAGCTCTTGCACGAAGAAGGAGTTACCGTTCTCTTCTTTTACAGCAACAGGCTACTTAATCCAGCGGATACCTTCTCGCGGCACTTTGGGGACAGTGCAAGGAACGTGGTACTCAGGAAGTCCATTGTGAGCTCAAACCTGCCGTTCTTGAGGCAGCCCGCCGCCGTAGGGTTGGAACGCAGAGAAGTGCTGACTGTGGGGTTCGAGGCTTAACAGCCATACAAGAAAAAAAGTGAAGTGAAGCGAATGTTATGCTGCAGGACCGCCGGCGTGAACGACGTGAGACGGCACACGACCGGCGGGTAAAGCGCGTTTCTTCTTGCCCCTTTATCCTCCACCCGTAGCGCACGCAAAACAAAAACGAAATAAACATCGGAAGTGAGGTACTTGACGGAGAGAGAAGGAGGTGACGATAATTGACGGCAGGCATTTGTGATCAAAGAAGGAGGGAAGCAGCAGAAAAAGAGGGACGAGATCAAACAACAGAAAAGCGAAGTTAATGAAACTGTAAAAGGAAAGAAGATGCGACTGAAAAACGGAAGAGAGAGAGGAATGTAATGACAAGGGGCGAAAGCAAGAGAAATTAAAACAGACACGACGGTGTCCCTGACAGCCGAGAACGCCAAGTGGTTCCCGCAGAGCAGGTGCACCGTCAAGGTGTCCTCTATCTGCCAATCTTTGTCGTGAAGCATGGGGATCGCCGGCGTGCTGTCAGAGCAGTTTGGAAACAACAAGGAGCCGGTAGTGGCGCTGACCACGCACGCCTCGGCACCATCGCCAGTGGTGGAGAAACAACTGCGTTCTGCTTCTACAGGCTTGCTACCGGGGCTGTGTCCCGTGATCGCGCACCGTCCACGTCAGGAGCGCGACAGCAGCGACAGCGGCCTCTGTATGCCTGCAAACTGTTTCGGGCACGTTTTGAACGTTCTTCTAGACGCCCGCCACGACTTGCCTGCGTGTCTGCGCCTCCTGCTGCTCATCGCGAAGCAGCACAAACCGCCACAGCACTATTCCCTCAAGAGGATGTGCAGGGTGCTGATGAACCACCGCATCTCGCCCAAGAATCCCTTCGTCGAGGTGATTGCACCGGCGCTGTGGAAGAGGCAGAGGGCGTGGCCGTGGTGGTGTGTGGCGGGCTCTTCAGGTGCCGGACGCGACGCTCTCTACCGCCGCGGCACCATTCCACGGGGGCGAGGGGCCAAAGAACGTGCGGCAGCTGCCCACCAAGAAGATGCAACTGCAGCAGCAACGGCGGCTTCCTGCTGAACGGCGGAGTGTTGCAACGTCACGTGCTCAACCGTCGGCACACCACGCCAGCTCTAACGTGATGAGCCCTCCGCTTCCTCAACGCTCGCACGGCAACAGGCAATGGAGACGAGCAGGGGCGAAGAAGGGGTACGAAAGGGAGCTGACTCTTGCCGGGAGTTTCTTGAGGGACAGGCGGCCGCCACCACGATAGCGGAGGTGAAAAGAGCACCAGCGCGAAAGAGAGGCATGACACGGCGAGGGCTGCGACAGTTGCTGCGATGTCTGTGCCAGATGTGGTGGTGGTCGACTCGAGGGCCTGGCCACGCCGAACACAACACGGCCCTCTGCACGGCATGAGAGCCGGACACTTTACTGAGCCAA